GCTCCCCACCAATATGCTAGTGCGTAGACGAAGTTACTCATACTGTAAGCCATGGCGAGCCAGAAATTTCCATATGCAATTGTCTTTAGTGTTGCAGTATAAGGAGCTTTCAGCGATCTATTGAAAACCTGGACAGTTTCTTCTTCGAGTGAAAAGATTGCAACGGTCTTGATGGCCGAAACAGCCTCGGTAGCAATAGCGACGGAGTTAGAGAAAGCCTTTGCGTGCCTTTCGTGGAACTTTGCGAGAATTTTCAATCTCAAGAAACCAGATGAAAGTAGGACGGGGATAGTGGCAAGCAATACAACGGCGATTCTCCACGCAACGGCGTGTGCGAGGATGATTCCAGAGACCATGGAAACGATAATCGACAGCACAACTCCGAGAAGGGTTCCAGTAATACCACTCAATGCGTTTGCATCAGCGCTGATATAAGAAATAAGTATACCAGGGCTTCTATTTTCAGATTCATGCCATTGAATGTCTTGTGCGAAAAGAGACTTGAGCGCCAAAACACGGACACGATATAGGAGCTTCTCAGAAACACGACCGAAAGAAGATGCGCTGATGACGTTGGCGAAAAATTCAGCCAAAGCCAAAACGAAGAACAACAATCCATACAAACTTCCGTTACTACGGATGCTGGCTGGGCTGAGACATGGACTTAAACTGCTGACTGTATGGCCGAAAATTACAGCTTCTCCAGAATATGAGCCACCAACTACAACAGCGCCGGCAATGCCCAAGAAAACAAATAGTAAATGAGGTCTAGCCATCGACATAATACCGAAGAACGTAGAGAGGAATGATCGGCCTTTAGTTGCAGTCTTATCATTCTTGGGCGCGAGTGTTTCGCCAGAATCGCTGTTTTCAGCAACTGGCGTAGATTTGCCGGTATTGTCCAATGACTTGACCTTTGCGAATTCCTATGTCGATTAGTTTGAATTATGAAACTCTATGTGAGCGAGTTACTTACAGTATTATCAATCTTTTCTTGCAAATACTCTTCATCTTCATTGGCATCCTCGGTTTGAATCTCAGATATTGGTTCGTCAGAAGAAGCAAGTGTCTGAAGTCGGACAAGGTTTGCAAAAGCGCCGTCTCGAGCAAGTAAATCAGTGTATGTGCCCTGCTCAAGAATCTCACCCTGACTCATGACCACAATGTTATCTGCGTTCTTGATTGTTGACAGCCTGTGGGCAATAGAGATGGTGGTTCTTCCTTCACTAACTCGTTCCAATGCCATTTGAATTAAATGCTCACTGGCCGAATCCAGAGATGCGGTAGCTTCGTCGAGGAGTAAGATAGATGGGCGGCGAACAATAGCACGGGCTAATGCAACACGTTGTTTTTGACCACCACTGAGTCGATTGCCTCCAGGACCAGCTTCTGTAGACATGCCGTATTGCAATCGATCAATAAATCCAAGAGCATCAGCTTCAGTCGCTGCTTCTCTCACAAGTCTAACAATTGTTTGAACGTTGGCTGAACTAGCGGCGAGGGCCTCTTCAGGATTGGCACCTTCACGGATAGCGTGAGCAAGATCTGGTAAGCTTGAGTCTAATAGCGTCTCTCTGAGCTCAATATGTTCTGGAAGTGGTGAATTGACTAAACCATAGGCGATGTTTTCGAGAATTGATCGATCGAGAAGCGTCGAATTTTGAGCGACAGTTCCAATGAAACTTCTCGCACACTTGACATTGATGGTCTTCATGTTGTGTTCACCAATGAAAACATCACCGCGAATAGGGTCGTAAAGACGTTGGACTAAAGCTGCGACAGTGGACTTTCCGCTACCAGAGAGACCGACAAGTGCGGTGTGTTTGTTGGTTGGGATTCTCAAGCTGAATGACTTAAGAACCACCACCTCAGGTCGCGATGGGTATGCAAACTCCACATCTTTGAATTCAAGATCTCCTGGGATTGTAGTGAAGGTTTGGCCTTCCGTTATAGTTGTTCCATCGATCAAGGAGGGCTTATTGATGGTCGCGACCAACTTGATGAATGCGCTACTAGCTGCGGCAAATATTTGCATGAAAGGAGCGATTTGACTGACAATGAAAGATGCTGCATGTTGTTAGTACGAGTCTAAACAATGGTTGTGAATAACTTACAGTCAACAAGGAGGAAGATAACGGTGTATACAGCTCCTACTGTGGTTCCGGAACCACTGTCAACAGAGGCAGCAATTTCTCTACTTCCTTGCCAGAAAGCAAGAGCATTGGCAGAGTAAGCAATGAAGTACAAACAACCAAGCTGGACGGACGCGACAATAGCTTTCATGATTCCCTCTCTTTGTGCCGCACCAATGTGGCGAGCATATACAGCTTCCAAGCGAGAACTGGCACCCATAGCTTGGACCAAAGACATATTAGATAGTCCCGCGGAAGCGATAGCTGTCGCTGCTGCCACATGGTCTGACATTCGGCTTGCATACTTTTGAGTGAAGTGTCCTCCCACCAATGCCATCAAAAGATAGGCTGGAACCAAAGATATGAGCATACCTGCCAGTTTTGCGCTCTTGATGAAAGAAACGATGTATGAGGCGACAAAGTAGGAGATACTGGCAATGAAGATTCCGACTTTCTCAGAAGTTCCTGTTTGAATGGTTTGAAGATCGACATCGAGGCGGGAGGCTACTTCACCAGATGGCAATGTATCGAAAAATGCGACTTCTTGACGTAGAAGGACATCTAGATATCTCATCCGCAGGCGTCTAACAAGACGCTCACCGAGAAGACTCCAACATCCAGTATGAATATAGATCAAACAGAAATTCGCGATGGTCACGTAAATGACATCCAACACTTTGGTCACAACGCTATCTGTAAGTGACGTTGAACTAGTCGAGGAAGTACTACAAGATGTTGAATTGAGGTCGTCTACCAGTTGCCCAAATAAGATACCCAGTAGGGGGAATGGAACCCCAGAAGCGATCGAGGTGATGAATCCAACCACAAGAAGAACATAATCGAGCGGCTCTGGATCACTTGAGAGTAATAGACGTAAGTATTGTCCGCTTTGCTTTTCGGCACCCGAAACCTTGGAGGGCAGACCGACGATTCGATCTTTCAGTGCCGAAAGTTTTGACATGACTGCAATCAAGATGAATGATTGTTACAGAACTCGAATGTCGAAGATACAACACCATGCACTTGAATCAACGAAAAAGTCTCTGCTTTGACAAGCGATGAATTTTTTGTCTATAATCCGCCCGAGAGTGGCACCCTGGTAATGGAGAAGGGTTCTTGGAATTTACATAACAAAAACTCATTCACAAAATTGGGCACGAAAATCGGAGTGCAAAGCATTGGCATGTACATTTGAGAGAAAATGGAAACGCGACTAAGTTCAATTCGACCCCTATCCATTAATGTCAGAAACGGTTTGCTCCGTGGATGAGATGAATGATGTCGTGGAAAACATGGGTTAGAGCTAATGACTCCACAGAGTTCGTATACTAGTTACCCCTCTAACGAATTTGGAGGAGAAGAACAAAATCACATCACTGTTCGGAGTCATGTATTTAATCTGATTAGATGATCTGATAAGATTCGTGTAACAAGTGGCATTATGATGGATACACCAAGGAAAGTATATTGAGTAATGAAAACTTTTAGCAGGTAATTAAAACTGGGAACCGACATCCGTGGTGGCATCTGATGGGTTAGACGAGATGATCTGATAAGATTATAGAAAAGCTAAGAGCACTAAAAGTGGGCCTTATCCAAAAGAGGTATAGTCCAAAGCCATCCCCGGTAGTAACGATCAAGCTTCTGCTAGCTTTCAATGCTAAATGACAAACAGGTATATGCATAAAGTAGTTTACCCGATGAAAACGTCAATTACAACATCCACTTTGCAGGATCATGAATAGCAAAAACTCTTCATGACTACTCGTATCTGTCGATAAGTATAAGGTCAGCTTTTAGACAGATCCCGACAGACTTCAATCAAGCATCAATTTACTGATTCGGGACCGGTGTTATAATGGAGCTCAAGAGCAATCTTAATATTGAGGGTCTATCTCTCATGTACATTCTACCCCGTACTTTAAGGTTCCTTGAAAAGATAGCCAAGGCTGTACACATACGTACCAACTCACTAACAAAAGTATGGACATAGACTGGTACTCGATCGATATAGCTTTCGAAATTATAGTGGACCTTTTCTCCACTTTGAATTAAAATTTTCCTTCCACTTTCAACGGTATCAAGCCAATTGTATGAGCCTTCAAATAGAAAGCTGCTCTTGATTAAATTCCCTAACCTGGAAAAAGGTTAGTAGGGCTTAGCGTTTATACGGTAGTACAAGCTCAAGTGCCACACCGGCATTATTTCCAAGTTGTTCGACATGTTCGATGGATCTGACTCTGAGCGATTATCAGATCAGATCAGATAATAATCAAGCTTGGATTATAGTAAGAATGTCTTACAAATTAGCGTTGACTTTCAATGTTGACGCTTCCTTATAGCCTAATACCTTCGTGGATACCCGTTGTAACCCGCACTTAACCTGTTGCCCTCCACAACCCTCATCCCATACGGCTACTGCGCGATGATGCTGATGTCCATTCCTGTTATCTTCACTCAGCTAGATCACCGTCATTGACTAATGAGATCTTGGGGTGGATCATCAAGAACTTGAGACCGAGTCAAGTATGTCGAGACGATCTCCAATGTCAATATTTTTGCGACTAGACCCCAGTATCAAGGTCCCCAATGCTCTGAAGCTCCAATAAACTACTTCTCTTGCCGTGATCGGGGGTATACATTCTGCAACATGGAGATTCCACAATATACCTTGGCATTGGGCAATGCGTAGCTCGACAGTGAGAAATTTGTGATCAAGTGATTTGAACTACCCTTCGACTACCATCCTAATAATTATTCAAGTGTTTCCCAGCCTTGCCTATCTTCAGTTCTTTGATACTTTCTCTCATGAATAATTATCCCTAGTATCAATAATTTCACTATCAACCATCAACATTTCCAAAAATCATGGATTCCATAATACCCAATACCACTTTTCCACCCTTAGACACTGCTTATCGAAACCTCGCAGATTCACATGTTTCTAGAGGAGAGTTGAACAGAAATCGATCCAGAAATGATTCAGAAACGTACTTGAAGTCAATCAAGAAAACTTTCTCATTTGGAGAATGGAATTTCGATCGTTCCGCTATTCATGAATCTTATGCCCAATTCGTTGCTGCTTTCACAGGGCACGATGAGGTTGCTTTCTACGCTTCCTCTGATATATCCCCAAACTCCCCAACTACAGATAATTCGCAAGAATGTGGCATCATCCACGGTCGCTTGACAGAAGAGTCTCAAAGTGAGCAAGATAGCCGCCCATTGATTTCGTGGGAATTTATTCAAGATATTCCACAATCGATGAAATCTCTCGATTTTGCTTTATATATTACTAAGTCTCGTGATGTGACATCACCATCCGATATAGTAAGTATCTAGCAATGAGACTCAAAAATGCCGCTAACACTCACAGACACCTTTCACAATCGTCATCACTGTGGAGGATTCAACCATCATTGAATCTACTTTATCATATGATCCATCTTTACTACCTGCTTCAGATGCTCCACATATATTCGACGCAGTCATTTCCTATTTACGACGTTCCCCATCAAGTGATGCGGAAGCCGTAGCAAACGAATCGATTCTAAACTTCCCACCACTAATCAGGCCACCCTCTTTCGTTGAAGATGAAAAAGTGTCGGATCTTCAAAGCGAGAAAGTTTTGTTGCATTCGGCTTTTGAGCGACGGGTCACTCAACATCCAAACCGAGTTGCGTTGGATTTCCTGCAATCTCAAGGTTCAGAATCGAAAACCCCCGTGCGAAGAACTTTCACCTACTCAGAACTGAATGAGATCACGACGAGTCTGGCTGAGTATATACTAGTATCCCGAGACAAACAAGAGAGTGGTAGCTCTAAGTTTGTACCTGTCCTGCTTTCGACTTCCGCCGAACTTTATGTTGCCTATTTGGCGATTTTGAAAGCAGGTTTGGCATTTTGCCCACTTCCTATTGAGGCACCTCCTCAGAGGCTAAAGGATATTCATGAAGACTTGATGCCTCAGATTGTTCTAGGCTCAGAGCAATATCGTCATAAGCTTTCTGCCATTTCATCAGAATCTATGAAGTGGATCGATATTGAGTCTTTCATTCACATGAGAACCCGTGACGGCATCACCACCCAAAATCCTCCATCACTACGTACGGTTGCAAGCCCCGAGGAGAACGATGTCGCATATATCATGTATACTTCTGGTTCAACGGGCAAGCCAAAGGGTGTACAGATAACTCATCTCGCAGCAGCTTGCTCGATTGCATCGCATGCTATCACTTCAAAATTGCCACCATCATCGGAAGGAATACCAAGATGGTTTCAATTTGCGGCTCCAACTTTCGACCCTTCGCTAATGGAAATCTTTGTGACATTGTCGTCAGGAGCCACACTTTGCTCTGCTTCACGTGACCTTATTCTGACAGATTTCGAGGCGGTTGTATCTGAACTACAGGCAACGGTCATGATGGCGACACCCAGTATGGCAGCTCTCCTCCGTCGTTCTAAACTTACTTCGCTCAAAAGTTTGTGGACCATGGGTGAGACTGTTCTGCGAAAAAATATCGAAGATTTTGCGCGTTTACCTAGCCCGGATCAGTCTTCTGAACTTTGCAATGCATATGGTCCTACAGAAGCAGCTATTAACTGCACATTAATTCCTAATTTCCACCCTGATGACAGAGGCTCAATTATTGGACCAGCTTTGCCAACATGTTCGCTACTTGTTGTGGATACAAGCTCAGGCTCTGTCAAACCTGTTCCCAGAGGATTCGCTGGTGAGCTTGCTATCGGAGGACCTCAAGTCAGCGTTGGCTATTTGAATCGACCAGAACAAAATGCTAAGGCCTTTGTCGTCAGTCCTAAATTCGGAAGACTTTATCTCACTGGAGACAAAGCTCGGATTGTTACTGATCGTAGGGGTCAACATGTTGTGGAGTTCCTTGGTCGTATGGATACTTCCCAGGTCAAGCTCAGCGGCAGAAGAGTTGATCTCGGCGAGATTGATACAGTCGTGGCGAGTTGCGCAGGAATAAAAGAGGCGGTAACAGTCTCTTATAAGCGATTCGCTAATCAGGCTGGAAGCGAGGAAGCCGTTTGTTTCATCATTCTTGATGCGGATAACACCAAGGAAGACGTGGAAGCTAGGTGTCGTGAGAACGCAGCCAGACTTCTTCCATCATATATGTGTCCCTCAAAGTATTTTGTCTTATCTCAGATGCCAAGATCTTTGGCTGGCAAGATTGACAGAAAATCTCTTTCGGCCATGACAGAGAAACTTTGGAACGAGGAATGCTCAAAGACCACCAACTCGCTTCAGAATGGTGAAGATGCCAGCTCGAATAGTATTGGAGTGCAAGATGAAATCGAAAGACTGATTTGCAACCTACTGTCGGAGCTGGTGGGATCCACTGCGAACTTGAATTCGAACACCAACTTGTTCTCTCTTGGTATTGACAGTTTGAAAGCTATTCGATTTTTGCAATTAGCTAGAGATGCAAGCATCACCGAGCTCAGTATTGCCGATGTACTTGGAGGTGCAACTCCCCTAAAGTTGAGAAACACCATAGTGGAGCGCCGCAAGAATGATACTGGGGAGGCACCTACTCATGATTTTGCAGGCGCTTCTATATCGTTCGATGAATTTGAGGCGAAGCATCGACCTATTTGCAGCGAAAGTCTTGGTATATCGCCGGAAGATATCGCCAAGATCTTGCCCACTACTGCTACACAGTCCGGAATGCTGGCAAGTTTCTTGAGGAGTTCAAAGGATAACAAGCATTATATACACAACTCTGTCCATCACATCAACTCATCAGTTGATATCTCCAGACTCAAGAATTCCTGGATAACCACTGTCCAACGCCATGAATCGTACAGGATGGTCTTTGTAGCCATCGATGATGCGTTATCGCCATTTGGACAATGCGTTCTGAAAGAGTCGTCCAACTTGAGTGTACCAAACTGGAAGGTAGTAACTTGCGAATCTGACGACCCCCAGATTATAGATCAGTGCATACAATCAACACTACGTCAAGCTGAGAACGAAACAATCTTGGATAGACCACCCTATCAAATGACTCTTATCCAATCAACTACTAAAACATTCTTCACTTTCAGTGTTTTCCACGGCATTTTCGACGGTGCTTCTTTACAGCTTTTATTTGATGAAGTCGACCTCGTATATCGTGGATCGGATATTCCCAGAAGAACTGAGATTTCTACCGCGGTGAATATGCACTATGGCTCAGATCCTACCCAAACAATCGAATTCTGGACCTCTCAGTTGAAAGACTGTGACCCGGTTCCTTTCCCGCCACTCACTGGCTTGAAACCAGAAACGATGACAAAGCTGCCATTGACCACTTCAATCAAAGCGTCAATTGGTATAGACGGCCTGCGTGATGGTGCCATGAATTGCTCTACCTCACCTTTGAGCATTCTTCAGGCGGCTTGGGCATTGATTCTTGCCACTTACAAGGATTCCATACACAGCTCAACTTTTGGTAGTGTCATATCTGGTCGATTGGATGAAGACTCGAAAGTTTGCATGGGTCCTACATTCACCACTGTCCCAATCAATATTCCCGCTCAATTGCTCGAGGCAAAAGCAACTAGCGTCTCTTCGATATTGCACGCGATAGCCAAGATTAATGCAGAATCTCTCGGTCATCTCCAGATACCATTGAACTCTATCGTCGCCCCAAATGGAGGCTTGTACTACGATACTCTTCTTGCATTCCAGGACTTTTCTACTGGCACAAACCATTCTGAATTGTGGTCAAAGGTTGACTACCCTGCAATGGCCAATGATTTTGCTGTCATGATTGAGATCTGGCCTGAGGTAGACGGATCGCTTCGTCTCCGAGCAACGTATACAGATGAGTTCTTGAATAATGAATCTGCTACCCTGATGTTGCAGCAATTCAGTGATCTGATCAGTTTTGTCATCCGCAATCCTGAAAACTCTTATATGGATGGTCGATACGCTACTGCTCCATCAATATACCCTCAAGTCATGTCAACCGAATTGACTGGGGCCGGTGCTCTTTTGCATACCGAATTTGAGCGGAACACAAAGATGAATCCTGAGGATATCGCACTCATCTTCATGAATGACTTCACGGGTCAAGATCCAGCAGGAAACGTGAAATGGACATATGCTGAACTTGACCGCAAAGCCAACACACTTGCGTCTTATCTTGTTGAAAGATACGGTCCTTTGGAGAACAAAGTTGTTCCCTTTTCCATGTACAAATCACCAGAGCTCTATGTGGCTATTCTTGGTATTCTGAAAGCTGGTGGCGCCTGGTGTCCAATTGATCCCACGTTTCCCGCATCTCGCAGACACGACTTGATTGTCAGAACAGATGCCAACATGCTTTTGGTGGCAAACGATACTGTGAGTCAAGATGCTCAAGCCATTCCCCAAGGTGTTGTCTTGATCGATATTTCAGAGAACAATGCCACAAATTCTACCTTTAGCTATGATGAAACCAAACCGTCAAGTTTGCCCATCATCAGAAGTAACTCGATGGCATACTTGATCTGGACCAGTGGAACAACAGGTCTGCCTAAAGGTGTACAAGTGCAGCATAGCGCCGCAGCCACAGCTATGCAATCTTTGAAAGAAAGCATACCTGTAAGCCGCTCTGGCGCAGTTCGCTGTCTCCAATTCTCACAACCAACATTCGACGTCTTTGTGCAAGATCTCTTCTACACCTGGGGTTTGCGTGGAACTGTCATCGCAGCACCCAAAGATGTAATGCTTGGCTCTTTCCCGGATCTCGCCAACGCAACCAATGCGACACATGCCCATCTCACTCCTGCTTTTGCAACAATCGTATCTCGCGCGCATTGTCAGACCCTCGAGGTCGTGACAATGATTGGAGAAGCCTTGCCTCAACCTGTCGCAGATGATTGGTCACAGAATATGCTCGCGTATAATACTTATGGTCCTGCTGAAGTTAGTGTTGTATCTACAGTCAAACAATTCGGCGGTTTCGAAAATTCATTCAAGAGCACAAATGTCGGATTACCATTACCTTCTGTGGGCGTCTTTGTGCTCAACAACGAGCGAGTCGTGATGAGACATGGTGTGGGTGAACTGGCTCTGTCGGGTCCACAGGTAGCTCGAGGCTATTGGAAAGATCTATCCAAGGCGGAAGAGAAGTTCCATTGGAATGAGAGTTGTGGAGCCCATATATACATGACCGGAGACATAGTCCGTCAACTTCACGATGGTAGTCTAGAGTTCGTGGGTCGAAGTGATGACTTGGTGAAGATCAACGGGATGCGAGTAGAGTTGAGCGAGATCAGTTTTGCGCTCAGCCATTGCCATCCCGATACGGAACAAGCGGTTACCATGCTCATGGCCCGACCAGATCGTCCGACAAAGGTCTTGGTGACCTTCTTGTCAGTCCCAAGTATTCCTGCTCAAGATTTACTAATTACCAATAAACGCGCAGTCGAGGTTGCCAAAGCCGCCATAGCTGCATCGAAAGCAAATCTCCCAGAGCATATGATTCCTAGCGTTTTCGTAGTGCTAAATCGCATCCCAGTAACCGCATCTGCGAAGATCGACCGTAAAGCACTATCTTGTGCTTACGAAGCTTTAGACCTCGAGGCATGGGAAAGTAACTTCACATCTACCCAGGACTCAGCTTGGACAGAAGAGGAAGAACGACTCCTCGAGCATTTCGCCACATTTTTAGGAACTGAGAGCAAGACTTTCCGATCAAACAGTCGACTTGCAACCTTAGGTTTTGATTCAATCGCTGCAGTGCGCTTCACGGCAAGATTGAAAACTGCCGGTTACAAGGTTTCAGCTGCGCATATGCTGCACTGTCAAACCATCGCGGAACTCTGCAACCTCTTCAATAATCCCGCTTCCAACTCTACTTGTCTTGATTCCTCCTCTAGACTAATCGAGGTGTTCCACTGCGAATGGTTCCCCAAGGTTGCAGAAATATCTTCAATTGGCGATAAAGCATTTTCCGTCTGTCCGACCTTGCCACTGCAGGAAAATCTTCTCAGTGAAACTTTCCGTAACTACGAGTACTATTGGAGTAACCACTTCTTTAATCTCTCTGACAACATCGATCTCGAGCTTTTGAAAGCTGCTTGGTTTAAGGTGGCTCAGAATAACGAAGCTCTTCGTATTGGATTCTTGCCAACGGCTTTGGTGTCTGCAAAGGCAAATTCTGGTTTTGGTGCATCGACGTTCCTTCAATTGATTTACCAGAAGCCATCGGTAGACTGGTCTGTTGTGAAAGTTCCAAACGAGGATTTCTCAACAACTGCAAAAACTCATGCACAACAAATCGCTCGCAAGCATCAGACTAGTGCATTCATCAACTCCCCATGGGCCGTCGTCGTATTTGAACGCAATGATGTTAGAACAATGATGTTTTCCATTCACCACACTATTCATGATGGACCTTCCTTGAAGTTCATCATCGATGATCTTCACGCTGCATACACCTCTCAGGAAAACCTCAGCCCACGCCATCAAATCCGAGAAGCTATTGCACTTTCCTTCATGCAAAGAACCAGTCCACAAGAAGACATGGCCTTCTGGAAAAATACGCTCAAAGACTTTGTTAGCGAAGCAGACGACAGCGTAGAAAAACTGGCCCCAGAAAATAAATCTCGAACCTATAATACGGTATCCATTCCTCTTTCTGTTCCAATCTCCAAATTGCAAACTACAGCTCAAGAATTCCACTGCTCGTCTGCAAATTCCATCCTTCGCGCCGCCTGGGCATGCATGGTATCCGATTTCCTCGAAACGGACCAGAAAATTGTAATTGGTGAAGTGTTGTCCGAACGTCTGGCTTCGTCTTCACTAGAAGATATCATCGGTCCTCTTGTATCTTTAACTCCAGTCCCCATTTTCACATCCGGCACCGCGAGAGAAATAGTCAGCAAACACGATTCCATGAATGTTGCCGCCTACAACCACCGCGATGCCAGTCCAGGTATGCTTCGCAAGCTCATCGGACGACCCAAATTCCAGCCGCTATATCCCGCCGTCTTTGTGTTCCATCCACGCAATACCGAAAGCGAACATAAACATGAGCTCTGGAATGAGATCGAAGATTTCCTAGGTTTGAACGTCGAACATGATCTCACACTCAATGTAGAGGAAAATGCAAACGGCGGCTTCGATCTCGTCGTCTCGGTCGAAGCAGGCGTATTGGATATCCCCGGGGTGGAAGTTCTGTCCAAGCAATTGGATGCTTTGATCGCAGCCATGATTTCCCATCCCGATACTTCTATCCAAGAACTCACCAACTTTTTCCCCACCGAGTTAATCGCTGTCTCCAAATACCGCGAAATGAATCTCCATCCCGTCGTCGACCTGAATAATCCTCTCTGCTGGTTCGAGCACTGGGCCGAAACACACCCTGATTGGGCCGCCGCCGAGATCGCAGAATCAATTGGTCGAGATTCAAGTATCATCCACACATGGAGCTACGCAAAATTGGATCAAGAAGCTAACCGCGTAGCGACATTCATCGCATCATATGGAATTCACGGCCGCATGATCGGTATGTGTCTAGGACGCACACTGACAGCGTTTGCCGTCACAGTCGGAATCTACAAGTCTGGAAACACGTATCTACCAATCGATGAATCGTTGCCGATTGAGCGAAAAACATTCTTGTTGAAAGATAGTAATTCCGCTATATTCTTCTCCGAGGAAACCGTCGATTTTGTCCCTGAAGGATGTCTCCTCGTGAACGTCAATCGCGATCAATACCAATCCGACAGGGATGTCGCTCTGAAAGTTAAAAAGAGCAAAGACGCAGTCGCTTATCTTCTCTATACTTCCGGCTCGACAGGTAACCCCAAGGGAGTCCTCATCAGCTGCGGCAATCTCACATCTTTCTGCGAAGCCCAATCTGAATTCATATGCGAGTATGTCCCTGCGACTCGGGTACTCGGCGGCGTTGGAAGATTCCTCGGACTAGCGAGCAGAGCCTTTGATGTACATGTGGCTGAAATGTTCCTCGCCTGGCGACACGGTCTCTCATGCATCACGGGGGTTAAATCTATGTTGCTGGATGATTTACCTATGGCGTTACAAGAGTTAAAAATTACACATGCGGGCTTTGTGCCGTCGCTCTTGGATCAGTGTGGTTTGATACCGAGTGATGTTCCTCTGTTGAGGTATCTGGGTGTGGGTGGTGAGAAGATTTCTCAACGAACACTTGAAACATGGGGTGATTCGGAGAGCGTTACATTGATCAATGCGTATGGTCCTACCGAAGCCACAATTGGTTGTGCCTCGTCTCCAATTGTGAATTCAAAGGTCAATATGAGAAATGTGGGTCGTCCTCTAGGAGACACTGTTGCCCATGTACTCATTCCTGGTACTCTCACTTACGCCAAGCGAGGAGTAGAAGGTGAACTTTGTCTAACAGGAAGTCTTGTCGGTATTGGTTATCACAACCGTGATACTGTCGCTTTTGTCGAGAATTTCCACGGCGGCAAAATGTATCGCACAGGAGATCTCGTCAGATTGATGCCCGACGATACGATTGAGATTTTCGGTCGCTCAGATGATCAAACTAAGATTCGTGGTCAGCGTCTTGAATTGGGTGAGGTTTCCGAAGCAGTACGCGCGTTGCTACCAGCTGGAAGTAACGTATCCTCTCTTATTACGAAACATCCAGAGCTTTCCAGAATGCAACTGATTTCATTCGTTGCGAGCAATGCTAAGGCTGCGGGAATTGATGAGAAGGTTGAGATGTTAGATACTTTCGAGCAAATCAACGTCAGTATTCGGGCTGGCTGTAGAGAAAGACTTCCAGGATACATGGTTCCGGATGTGGTTATCCCAATCAGCTTCTTGCCTCTTGCTCCCATGTCTGGAAAGGCAGATGTGAAGCAACTCAAAGCTCTCTTTGCTTCGATACCGCTAAGTCACTTGTTATCTGCTGAGAAAGGACAATCGACTGGTAACAGAACTGTTACGGTACGCGAATTGGACGAACAAGAACTTGCTGTTGTTGAGATACTTAAAAGTGTGGTTCCAGCTACCTCTGCAGAATTCACTCCCTCAACCAACATATTCGAGGTTGGGGTCGATAGTTTGGTAGCCATCAGTCTTTCGACCCTGATGAGAAAGGCTGGATACACATGCAGTGTTGCCGATGTTCTTAGCATCAGCACGGTGGAAGAATTAGCATTATTACCACGTGCAGATATTACACCCGAACAGGCCGCTAGAAACAGAGAAAATGCTCTGAAGAAAATTGCTCGTGTCGAAGCTGCCTTCCGGGAGAGTCCTTTAGGTAAAAATTTCGGGATGAACGTTGAAAGCGCCCGACCTTGTTTACCCGTCCAAGAAGCTGTTGTAGCTCGATCATTGAACAAGGAAGCCGGTGCTCTATATGTTAATCATATTACATTTGAGTTATCTTCTGACATCAATATTTCGAAACTCTCCCAGGCTTGGAAAGCCTGTGCAACCGTCAACGAAATTTTGAGGACTTGTTTCTGCCAAATCAACGATGATATCTTGCAAGCTGTACTCAAGAATGAGTCCTTCGATATGCCATGGGCAGAACACGTCTACTCTAAATCCAGCAGACATTGCACTCCGGACAAGATGCAAGAAGCAATTTCTCTAGATATCATGCAAAATATCGAAAACACACCACCAATCCGACTCAACATCTTCACAGAAGGAAGTTCAAAATCCATCCTTTTGATGTCCATGCATCACGCCCTCTACGATGCCGAGTCCCTGGCAGTCCTAATGCAAGATATTCTAATGCGGTATCAAGATATCCCAACCCCTGAGCGACCTTCTGCAGGCGCACTAGTGGAATACGTCGCTTCGCAAGACGAGCTTGCCGCGAAGAAGTTCTGGGTCAATAAATTGGGAGATTACAGCCCTTCACCCTTTCTCAATGAAGTCATCAACGAAGAAGAAAAAACCGAAGCTCAAGTATCCACACGCATTTTAAAGACCAATTTGAACGCCCTCGAAGCTTTTGCTTCCAAATTGCACGTCACTCTTCCGTCATTAACACAAGCGATCTTTGGTCTTGCAATGGCAAAATTACTTTCGATTAATGATTTCGTATTTGGTCTTGTGCTTTCCGGACGTACGGTTACTATTCCCAATATCGAGAAAATCCTTGCTCCAACCATTACGACTGTGCCACAACGAATTGATCTCCGCAAGAGCGACGCTACGATTTTGGATATCTTGACCGCGCTCCAGAAATCTTCAGGTCAAATGCTGCAGTTTCAACATAGCTCTCCGAGATCTATTCACAAATGGGTGGAAGCCGATCGTCCGCTCTTCAACTGTCTCTTTTCGTTCATGAAAACGGGAGAAGAAGAATCGGATAATGGATTGTGGAAATTACTCGATAGTCATATGCCTCCTGATTATCCCTTCGCGGTGGAATTCGAAGCCAGACATCCATCAAATGACCTAGTGATCCGCGCGGGATACACTCCAGAGTTTGGCTCTGCGTCTAAAGTCGACAATCTCCTCGAAATGATCGAGTTGCTCATCGATACCATCTCCAAAAATGACAATATCTCCATCAAAAGTCTCGGTATCCAATCCAATCACAGCATCTCATCATCCTCCGAAATCTTCGATGATGGCGAAGAATTACCCGAAGAGCAAACTATCAAGACCGTCTTACTTGGCCTCGGCGATTTTGCATCCGAAGACGTATCTCGCACCAGCACGTTTTTCCGTCTCGGCATCGACTCCGTCATTGCTATTCGTTTCGCCAAGGAACTCCGCAACATCGGCCTCCCAGTTTCATCTTCGGATATCGGGAGACACCCCAGCATTGCAGCTTTAGCGCGCGCTGTTTCGAGCAAGAGCAAGCTCCAATCGACTGCTGAACCTGCTGTGGCCAAAACGACAAATTTGCTGCATCAACATAAAGCGAGTATTCCTCTGTTGGCGGAAGATGATAAGATTACTGATATCTATCCTTCTACCCCTCTGCAAACCGGTATCTTGACCCAAACTGTCGCCACGGGTGGAAAACTTTATCTGCATCATCCTGCCGTCAAGCTCTCTCCAAATATCGATATCGCGCGTCTAAAGAAAGCATGGACATCGGTAATCGAAGCGCACGATATCCTGCGCACCACGTTCCACTATTTCGAAGGAGCGACTCATCCATGGCTAGCCGCCGTGCACGCAAAACCCGCCATTCAATGGATAGAAGAACAAGCATCTGGATGGATCGACCAAAGCATCGAAAAGATCATCGAAACAACCCGTTTCCCCACTCCCGAGTCTTTCTCGCTGACTCCTCTCAAAATCACAATTCTCCACTCGTCGTTTATGAAAGTCCTCGTCGTGTCAATTCATCACAGTCTCTATGATGGGTTTTCCCTCCCTCTCATTTTCGATTCCTTGTCATCAGCTTACTCGCATGGAATTTCGAAACCTGTAACTCCTTTCTCCGAAGCCGCAAAACTTATTACAGAGCGTCAAGGTAAAAGCGTCGAGTTCTGGCTCAACAGATTGGATAAGTACCAGAGTATCGCCCTCCCATCTTCAACAGTTCCTGCAGATACTACCTCCCTGGCGCAGACGACCATCCAAATGCCCGTTTCGGAAATCCTTCGCCGCTGCCAAGAAATGAATATCAATCTGCAATCCGCGGCTCTGCTCGCATACGCCAAAACCCTCTTCTGTTTTGTCAAGCGTCGTGATATCGTATTCGGACATGTCGTTTCGGGTCGTTCGTTACCTCTTCCAGAGGTAGAACACATCCTCGGTCCGCTCTTTAACACTGTTCCTTTCCGAGTTGTGCTGGATAATCCGGTACTGGGAAACCAGGATTACGCGAGTCAGATCCAAGATGTGGTTATTCAGGGACAGGAAAATCAACATGCTTCCTTGTCTACGATCCAGAAGCTTTGGAGACGGAAAAATATTTTCACGGATGCGCCGTTGTTGGATGCGTTGTTTGTGTTCCAGAAGGTGGGAAAAACAGATGGGCAGAAAGAAAAACTTTGGAGTGTGATGGATGGGGGCGAGAGTCGCGATGCGACGGAGTACGGGTTGAATGTGGAGATTGAACAAGGAGAGGATGAGGTGATTGTTAGTGCTGGATCTCCTGCTGGACGCATCAACACCGAAGATCTGAATCTGATTTGCAAAACTTTTGATGAGGTTTTGAGAGATATTCTTGAGAATCCGCAGAGAAGTGTTGTTGCTCATCCGAAGCAGTTACAAGATTTACCACTTGAGAGAATACCCCAGAGCAAGGTTGAAAATGTGGAAGATCATCGTGATGTAGCGGATGCGCCGATGCTGGAGGTTGTTCGTGCAGCTCTTGCGGAGGTGGCTAATTTACCTACGGACTCCGTGACGTTGCAGACGAGCATCTTTTCCTTGGGCGTCGATTCCATTGCTGCAATCCGTGTCGCGTCTATCTGTCGCAGACGCGATGTATCGATTAGCGTTGCCGATATCCTCCAAGGAAATTCTCTCGGTGGGATCGTCCGGATTCTCGTCGCAAGATCAAAGGTCAATACCCCACCACAAGATGCGACGACAGAGTTTCTATCCCCTGAAGCCAAAGCAAGTGCACTTTCGCTACTCAAATACCCCAAAGATACCGTGCAGGAAATTTTACCGGCGATGGCGGGGCAAGAATACCATTTGGCGAGTTGGCTCAAATGCGGAAGAACTTTCTACGAACCCACTTGGGCCTTCCAGGCTCGCGAGAAGATTGAGACAGTTCGTTTGAGAACTGTGTGGAGGAATTTGCAATTGCGACATCCGATTTTGAGAACGGTGTTTACTGCTCCCACACCCGAATCTGCGTATCAGATTGTTCTGAAACCGGAGGTCATCACCGATGGAACTTTCACTGTTATACCCGCTCAATCAACAGATGAAGATTTAATCTCAGCTGTCCAGCGTCAAGTCCACCACTGGGCTCAACGACCCTCTACACTTTTCACTCCCCCCATCAGTCTCTGTGTAGTGCAGACCGCAACAACAGATGCCGTATTATTCCGCATCCATCATTCTCTCTACGACGCATGGAGCATGATCGCACTCATCAAAGAAGTCTGCACTCTCTACACCCAACCCTCATCCATCTTACCCCCCACACCCGACTTCATCTCCTACGTCAAATACACGCATTCCTCGCTCTCCTCCCCCTCCTCCCTCCTCGCACAAAAATCCTACTGGAAATCCTCACTCCGCTCCGCCCAACCCACCATCCTCAGCCCATCTACCGAGCCAGAAAACAACAAAGAAACCCACCACCAAAACCAAGACCAAGACCAAACCCAAACCCAAAACACAACCCAAACCTTCCTCCTCCTCCAAAACTCCATCCCCCACCTCCACACCCTCCAAACTCTCGCGCGCACCCACAACACCAGCATCAACACCATCCTCATGTTAGCATTTGCACGCGCCCTCTCCCACCTGACCCACACCACGCACCCCACCTTCGGCTTCTTCCAAGTCGGCCGCGCGAGTTCCTTCCACGGCGCAGAAACCGTGCTCGCGCCCACCGTCAATCTCCTCCCCGTCTCGATCCCCGTCTCCGGACGCGCGGAACGTGATCTGCTGCTGGCGATTCAACAAGATATGAGTCAGCGGGTCGCGTGGGAACAGAGTTCTCTGCGAGATGTAGTGACGTGGGCGATGGAGGAGTCGCAGGGACAGCCACGACCGTTGTTCAACGCAAGTCTTAATTTGTTATTCCATGCCCCGGGCAGAAATGCTCCTCCTTCTTCTTCTTCCACCCCAACAAACCAAGCCCCCGAACTCCTCACCCCCCTCCCCATCGGGGTCCCCACGAATTTCGCACCGAAGCGAAAAATTAAAGGGGAGACCGCCGTGCAGCGAATCGAAACGGGGTATTTGGCGACGCAAAATGTGTTTGTGGATGTGGGCGAGGGCGAAAATGATTGTATAGATTTTGGAGTCAAAGCCGATGCGGTTCTGATGGATGAAGCGGAGATTAAAAGATTTGTGGAGGGCATAGCGAGGGAGGTGGAGGGGATTAGGATGGCTTTGGGGAGTGTGGAGGAATGATTTTAGTTTGTGTGTGTTGTGGTGTGTGTGTGTGTGTGTGTGTGTGTGTGTGTGTGTGTGTGTGTGTGGGTGTGGGTGGGTTATATGTATATGTATTTAAGCATCTAGGTAGATAAAGTTGTTTATATCGTTTTTAGGAAGTTTAGAAGTTTGTGTTTTGATTTTTTAGATTTTAGATTCCATTATTAGTTATTAGTTTCGCATTAATTAATTTCATTATATCTCCCTCGCTTTTTTTCTTTTCCTTGATTATTTTATTTGTTTATCTATCTATCTATTCTCTATCCATCACTACCCCGAGTTATAAATAAGTTAAGAATTTAACAAATTAATCTCTAGTCAATCAATTGATATTCATATTATATATTCAAACACATTACATCACATCCCATCACATCACTGCCCGTCCCATCCCACCACATTTCCAAATAAAATGTCAAATAATCCAAGTTTCAATTAGGTAACAACCAAAGAACAAAAGAGATTCATTTAACTAAGCAGCTAGCTACTCGGGTATCATAATCGTATCCCCATGATCCAAAGATATCTATCATATCTTCACATAACCGCTAAAAAGTCCAGCAAATCATTATCCGTTGCATCCATGTGCATATCATATCCAGTACATATCCAACCAGGTATCATCCTATCCTATCCGGCCTTTCCCACCCCCATCTCATACCCATACCCATAACATCATAAGCATTAATCATTAATCAAACAAGGCAAAAGAAAATATTCCCTCTCATTCCTCACCATCTTCCTCCCCTCCCCCCTTCTCCATCATCCCAAATGATTCTTTCATCTCCCCTCCTTCTCCCACTTCCCCCACCAATAGTAGTCCTCCTCTTTGGCATATAACCCTCCTCAGGTCCCTTCTGCCTTTCCTTCAACCTATCCAAAACCTCTCTATCTCCATCGACCCTCCCTGAAAAGCTTGCCCCTCTCCCTAACCCCGATGCATACCCATCATCCCTTGCCTGTCTCTCCCTCAACCTAGCATACATATCATCATCCTCCTTTTTCAATCTCGATGCACCATCTCTCCTATCGATTCCTCTCTCCACCTCCTTTCCTCTACTAGGCACAGAGGGTCTTCTCCTAATCTCTTCATCCTCCTTCGCGAATGCCTTAACCTGTTCCGCCAACCTCCTTGCATCATCCGCTGCCTTTCTTTCCGACATCTCTGCCTTCCTCATTCTTTCTTCCCTCTCTTTATCATCTAATGCCTTCACTATTTCTCTCTCGCGTCTATGTTGATCTTCTCTTCTCTTTTGCTCATGCTCATCTGCTCTACGAAGCTCATCATCTCTTCTTCTTCTTCCCCTTTCTCTTGCTAATTCTTCCTCCTTTTCTCTTGCTAATTCTTCTTCCCTTTTGCGATCGGAAGATCGAGCTCTTTCCCTTTCTCGAAGAAGTTCTTCTTCCCTACCTCTTTCTTGCTCTAGTTCTCGATCTCTCAAGAATTTCTGATACTCGACCTCCCTTCTCTCAAGTTCTGCCGCTTTCCTCATTTCTTCTCTCTCCCTCTCTTCTTCCCTCTTTCGTTCCCTCCTTGCTTTATGAAGTAGCTCAAAAGTATTCTGTTTATCTCTCTCATATTCTTTTTGTCTCTCTTTTTCCCTATCTTCTTCCTCACGACGGATACGCATATCTACCAATGCCTTCTCACGACTAGGTGAACGCGAGGGAGGTTCAGGAGCTAGAATAATTGGAAGTTCCTTCAAAGGTCTCTCTCTTTCCTTGCTATGATCCCTCTGATCTCGATGATGTTCTACAATGACCGTACGAACAGGATTGAGGCTGCCATTAGGACTACGTCTTGAAGTTGAACGATCATCTACCAAAAGGTTCTTTGAGTAGAATTCTTCCGTGGCGGGTGAATCTGGAGCATATTTTGGAAGAGCCTTGGAACCCTCTGGACTATCTGGTGCATCGACAATAACGATACGTTCTTTAGGATGTTTGCGACGTGGTGTGAGAGCTGAGACCAAAGCACTTTTCTTTCTTACAAGACGAAGGCGAGGTTCCCGACCTGGCGATTTGTCTTTCTTGTCACCTGGAGAGTAACGATATGTACTTGTTGTTGTAGATTTATGAGGTGAAGGCTTGGCGGTAGGAGGTACTTTAAGTCCTTGGTCGAGGTATTCTTTGCTGGAAAGTTCGTCGTTGGATTCAAGAATGCGAGGAGGATGTTCGTTGGTGATGAGAGCAGCACAAGAGATTCCATCTTTTGCATTAGGGCAGACTATTGTTTGATGAAACTCGACTGTTCGCTTGGGGTAGCAGTCGGTATAGATGTGTGTCACGCACATTGTGACAGTGAACTTTGAGACTTCGGCTCGGATGTGCTGGGGTAGAACTTGTCGTCCAAGACCTGACTTCGACTTGTATTATCGAGTTGATATCAAAACGATGAGAAGCTTCCCACTGGGTCTAGGACTTCTTTGAGTTGAAGAGTAAGATGTATTCGCTCGAGGTGATAGGTATGTATGGATGTATGAATGTATATGTATGTGAAAGTTGTTTCGTATTATATTGTATGACTGAAGAGAAGAGTTGGTATATAGAGAGATGTGTGTTGTAAGATACAACAAGTATGGTTGTATAAAGGTTGAGTGGAGTATATCAAAGCGATAGGAATGTGAAGGATGTTGGATTAGGTTAAACACAAGCAGTGATATGTTTAACAAAAGAGAGAATGTGGAGAGAAACGTGCGGATAGGATGGAGGGAGGGTATAGAGGAATTAAGTATTCCCTCTTAACACTTGAATAGATTTGACTGTACCAGGAGTGTGACTGCCTAATGAAAAGGTCTTATAGTATCCTTTAGGTCAATACTTGTGGCCGGTGACTGTGCATTTAGCGTGGATTGGTTCCAAACTTGTATTTCAGTAGAAAAGGTGTGGGTGGGTGAGTGAGTGAGTGAGTGGGTATTGAATATAAAAGAAAAAAATAAAGTCAACCAACTTTGCATTACACTTTTTTGCTATCTTGGAATAAGGTTCTGTAAATGCAAGTATTAATCGATAGTCGAAAGTATGACTGGGGAATGGGAATAGAGAAGATGGCCTTTTTTCCAAAGATTTTAGTGCAATATGAAGATGTTGAGTTTATGTATGGTACGAATAGTAGGAAAGGTAGGATTGTTAAGAAAATGTATAAAAATGTTACAAAAATGTTATAAAAATGTCAAGAAAATGGATGTCAAGAAAGTTTCCTTTCTCAGTAAGAAAGCGGCGAATGAAAAAGGCGCCTCAGCCACTCAAAGGGCTGAGTAAGACCCAAATCGAACCCAGATGGTCAACCAACTTCCAAAGTAGTACCAAGTTAGGAATCGAGGCTTAAAATGAACCCATGAAAGTTAATAATGATGGGTGACGGAAAAGATCAAAATGCAGGAGTAAAAAGACAAAAATGCACGAGTAAAAAGACAAAAATGCTGCATGGAGTATGTGGTCAGCTTGGTTTGTGATGAATGTCATGACATCCAAATGATTGGAATGTGACAGTTGCTATTGTGAAAATGTCGAAGGATACTCGAGCACCTCACGGAATCATATGAAAGGAGATTGATTGTAAGAGAGGAAGAGACACGAAAAGTACGAATGTCCGAAAATAGAATCCCGATCAAATGGAAACGAATCCCATGGAGAAGAGGGTCCAGAGTAAGCCGAGTCTCAAGGTCGTCGAGGTCGTATCTGTCGTAAACGTGTAAATTGTCGCGGGACGGCCCTCAAATCTGCAGACCACAAACGCGCGTGTTGAAAGGAGGTTAGAGCAGCTCTTATTCTATCCTATGAGAATGAAATCCACCGAGGAGAAGGGAGGAGAAGGCGTTTCATAAAAGAATGACCTCTCTTCCGACCCCAAAGAAGATTTGAAGATTGACCACTGCTCGACGGGTGGAATCCAATGAAGGGATTATAGATGTAATGAGATGAAAAAGAAAAAGTTGGAGACTCGAGTTGATGTTCATGAAGAGGTCGGATGGCCAATTGTTTCTCCTCGACCCCTGCTATCTACTGCTTTGGGTAAGGTGATTACTTCATTGGGTAACAATTTATATGGAGAGATTTCACTCGGTCTCTTTTGCAGGTCACGCTTACACCTCATCGAGGAATATCCTGATTTATATTGAATTTATTTATTGAAGACCTACCTACGTACCTACGTACCTACGTACCCAACCTTGGATGTGTTGTTGATTCAAGGATGGAAAAAATAAACATATTGAGAGCCGCAACATTCCCCCAGATGTTGGTATAACGTTTCACGATCCAGATAAGTCTACTCTGCACGTTAAGTTGGCATACATACATGCTCATTCTACGGTTTCTGTAAGCGCTTTCAAAGCGAGCACGATTAGCAATACTAACGACAGGATTCACTCATTTGATACTCCCTAGCGCCTCCAGCTTCTATCCCAAATCCACCAGATAACTCCTTCCCTACCTGTCTACATAACTCATCTTCATAAAATCATAAGGTTACTTAAGAATGATGATTCCCACCGCAAGGCCATCCGATCAGACCCCGATGATGCACATCATACCGACTATCAATCTAGCACTAATAACATATTGAGCATATCCGTGCATTGACTCTCCAGTCATATGATCAAATGATTTCCGTGGGAATCCAACAATCGTCATTGGAAGTCGAGGTCGGCCTCTATCTAAATTTGTGAAAGTTATATATATAGATATATATCCAAGGTATAGGTATTCCGAAGGAGTAGATTATCAATCGATTCAGTCTACTACATACCTAGACATCTATAGCTACCTATTACCTTGTAGATAAGAATACTACGCCGATCATGTGTATATACCTAGTACTACGAGTACCTACCTATGGATACCTACTAGGTACCTATGGATACCTTTAAATCTATCTACCTACTCATGTACTTACAATATTTCAAGATACTCACAAAAATCCCAAGTCATTCATTCATTCTCCCAGCGAACAAAATCCTCAAATTCCAATTCCCAAACACCAACGTAAAATTATCTAAACAATATCGTACTTTCATAATTTAATACCTACTCAGCTATTCACCTACGATACCTAGGTACCTAGTAATCAATAATTATTCATATCCCCGGGGCAATCACACACACACACACAGCCACAGCCAGTCACATCCACAGCCACACTTGATCATCTCATCCATCCCCGGCCATTCCATACATCCATTCATCTACCAAGTATCTCCCCAGCTCCCATCTCCCCTCTCTAAATGACGATATTATACATCCAACTACCCTCCCTTATACTTCCTTCCCTCCCTACAATCCATCTAGTATCCATCTACCTACAACCAACCCATCTACCCCTCCACAACCCATCCACTTCTCAATCCCATGACGAAATTATACATACATTCATACATCTCCAGCTATACCTAATTAGTAGTTCTTAAATCCAATCCATTTATAGATATCCATCTCATATTCGTATTTCCTGCTCAGATCACTATTACTATTACTAGGTCTAGGCAGAGTATCGTAGATACCTAGATATTACTATTACTATCTACTATAAGTAAATAAATTCAAGTTAAATATATAATTTATTTATTCATTTATTAATTCATTCATTTATTAATTCATTCATTTATTAACTACTTGAAACCTATCTAAATGAGTAGTAGATAAGATCTTACCTACCTAGTATATATTAACCTTCTATATAAATACATATATTTCTACTATCTACAATCTCATCTATTCATAGTAATATTATCAAAAAATAAATATCTAATAAATAAACAAATAAATAAATAAATATTCAATAAATATTCAATAAATATCTCCTCATCCTCATTATTATTATTATTACTATAATCAATTATAATCCCTTCCTTAGCGCTCCCATCCCTCATCTATTATCCCTCATCTATTATCCCTCATCTATTATTCATTAATTACATTCATCCTCCTTTATAATCCTCGCAACCTCCTATATACATACCTAGTACTTATCTAGGTAATTAGACCATCTAAGCCTTACAATATTACAATATTATGTTATTACATCCTACTATACTATACCTACCTACTCGACTAGTCGTATACTATGTTATATTATATCATATTGTATTATATTAACATATCAAATAAATTACCTACCAATCAACCAACCAACTAACTAACCATACCTACAATCAAAATCAAAACCACCATCAAAATCTCAATCAAAATCTCAAAATATTATATTCCCCTCTAAGAATTCCCCCTCTTCTCCCCTCAACCTAACATAACATCCAACCCTAAACTTCCAATAAGCCATACCTACCTATATATATTCCACAATCCTAGCGATAAGGGTCTAAAGCTTATTAGTTGTCATACAATTTCTTTCCACACCACAGCCGCCAGGGGAAAGAGGGGGGGAAAAAAATTAAAAAAAAAAATTCCAACAAGATGGTTAAGGATGAAGGATTGCATGCATACTATTTACTTCAGAGGGATGGTGTCACGCAGGTACCCTTGATGATTGAAAGGCTATGAATACTTGATTATCTCGGCTACAGGATCTTGGTTAGTCTCGTGCATGACTGCGGATATATGACTCGATTGCTGTCTTAGATAGACTTGAGTGGCCAACATGATAAAAAACTTCAATAAAGATGATTTTGGAATGAGCCTCCCTCATGCATGCATGTAAGAAGCCTATATAGTAAGCCACGTGTGGTGCTTGCCCTTGCATTTCGGGATCAATTTTTTGCATGGCCACCACAAGCTTGAATCGTAAGATATCACCGTGGACCCCTCCAATATCGAAACACGTGATGATGGTGACATCTGCCACTATCATCTGAAACCTAAGAGTAATGTCTTTAAGAAGTCTTCAATTGTGATTGATATAATGAAGAGTATCTCCTCGAATATCGACTTTTAATCCACTTTGCAAGGGAACACCCTCTATTGCTTCCCTCTTTCTCGCTCAGACAAATGGTCACCTTGACCAACGTTTTATCAGCTGCTCTTTATGAACATTCTTTAGTTGTAACCTTTGTAGATTTACGGCCTCGAGATTTTCCTGTAAATTCTTGATTTCCTCCTCAAATGTATTGAATGACGATACAATATCTGGATCAAGTAGTTGAACCTCCCCGTATACTGAATCAGCTTGAAGGGCATTGTAAAGAAGTTTCATTGTGGCATCGGCATTATGCACATGTGAAGATATGGTGGTTTCAGTTGTTAACTCAAGATTGGCCATGTGACTCTTAAGTTTCTCTGTCCTTTCTTGAAGAGATTTCTCCAGAAATTCAGTCCGCGCGTCATCAGTATCGCTTTCATTGGGCAGTGTGATGCCTAAATTGCGAAGTAATTGTTGTTCGGCGTCCATCTCTTCAAACATTGAAGAACGTCGGCGATTACTACGGGATTGTGCTTGTACCTGAGAGTTTTGTCGTTGACGTGTGATGGATTTGCTAGACTGTGAAGCTGCTTGATGTTGAAGCTCTTTCTTTCCGGTGTCTATTGCAAATTTAGTGGCCATCTGATGACACTGGTATTCTTCAATATGTTCTGCATATATCTCTGTACGCTTGACGAGAAAACTAAGGCATTCTTGCATCTAATGGATTGGTTAGAGATCTGTGTCTATTTGTCAATGTAAAGAAACCTACGTATTTCAAAGCTTGGTAAGCTCGATCTTGACCCGAATCTCCTTTGGCAGCGATTTCCCGTAATGCTGGTTCCAAATATTGCTGTTCGGCAGACATTTGAGCCACAGGTAATACCTCGGAATATAATGATTCGAGCTCTTCTTGTAATTCGGCGACTTCCTGCTTGTTTCCACTCAGGGGATCTGCACCAGAAGTACCATTAAGAGCCTCGAGGTATATTCGGTCAAGCTTTGTCCTAACTCCATCGACAGTATGTTTAATGTACCTCGCACAAAGATCCCGTATTCTTGAAATAGTATCATGATCTTCTGAAGATCCAGGATCAAGCTCTTCTGCAAGCTTTTGCAAACTTGCCAATAGTCTATCATCCGCCTTGAAAATCTCGTCCACTGTCTGTTTGGCATCGGATTGTGATATTTTGTTTTGTTGCTCCAAGTCCGAGAGCTGATACATCAAATTTTGAGACAGTTCCTCCACTGCTGAGGAGACCTGACCATTTTCTGCTTCCCATTTCCGTAGCTGTTTTGCATCTACTTCTGTTCGAGCTACTCCCACCTTCTTATTGTTCTTGACAATTAAAGCCAGGGCGTTTTGTTGTGATCGGAGTGCTTCACTTTGTTTTTCAATCGCGGTAGTAGATCGTTGTAATTCCTCGATAGCGGTATGGAGTTGTTCATCACTCAGATCGGATATACTCGATGAATTTGGTAAACTTGCTACTTTGTCTGCATCTCCTGATTGTGACAGTACCCCGTATCTATCTTATATTAGCATCATTCGCAGAATATATGGGCTCCAACTCACAGTGCAACTTCATCCTTGGTCAATAGTGTTTCTGGACCAAGGTATTTTGAAATCCAGGCTTCAACCGCAGCTGGACTACGAGCATAATCGGATTTGATTGCATTACGATCAAAAGGTATGCCATAATCTTCTAGGATCTGTAAAAGAAGTTCAAGGTTGCCGCCTTGCATAATGGTTGAAGTTCGTGGTGCCACAACCTTTCGAAAGTTTTGATGCACGTCTGAGGCTAGATTTAGCTATGGACTCTGAGAGAATGTAAAGATTTTGATGCAGATTTAGAAAGATGAAGATTTTAGGATTCTAGAAAACATTGATCCGCAAGTTCTGAAAGAGAAGGAATAGAACACGGGCTCGGGGCGTATTATCAATTTTGTGCTGAATTGGTGATATTCGTTTGTTTACATTGCATCGCCAGTGAATGCTGGAGATTTATATTTACCCCACAAATTTGATGTCGGACAACAACTTATTATTACCTTCTGATTTGTCCCATTGCAAAACCCTACATGCACCAGGATCCAATGTTTGGAAGTCTTTTTACCTTTCTTGAGTGAGGAGCCAAAATATGTTAAGAATTGAAGAAATCATCGCATTTCTCACAATCTCTCAAAAATATGAGGTTGGCAGGCATGAGGATACATTTTCCTCCGATATAGGTCATGATTGTGGGAGATAAGCTTTGATTGAGCTCTCCGGGTTCCCACTCGGTTATGACAGTCGTGATGAAGACATATTATCTACCTACCTAGATAACATAAGAATTTTCGTTCTCTTTTTTATGTTTAACTTTGCCCTCTTGTATACTTTCGGTGTATAGGAAATGAGAAGAGTCAATTCCATTGACATAAGTTGAAAAGCCATCTGAAGGCATTCATAATGACTCCGAAGATCTCTGAATTTATCTCTGATGGATTCGAGGCTCTCAAATTGGTGAGTGTTGATATCTCTAAGCGTTTTAGAAGACCCTTTGTTGACATAATGTAGGTAGCTCAACTATCATGGAGACGCAATGTGAAAGCGTGGATTCAAGTCCCTTTTGGCATTGTTTTGATTCTTCTAGCATGCTTCGGTATCAATGCTCTTATAGGACTCAGTTCAGTCTCATTCCCTGCATCCGTGGCATGCTTGATTTTGCTATTTCTTATTTTGAATCTTATTGATCAGGTTATTGGTCACCAAAGAACGAGAGCTTTGGTATCAATTATTGATATTCCAGCTGGATGGGCTCTTCGATATATCAATCTTTTTTTCACGCCCTCGTGAGTCATCATCTTTATATAAACGAGATCAGATGTTAAAGGTTGATAGTTTCGTCCTATTGCCCTTGAGTGATAGTATAACTGCTACAGAAGTAGGTAAGATTATAGGAGTATTCCGTGAGTACAATGACGCTGTATTCAGCTTTCTATCACTGATTGTTTCAAGTTGTTGGGTTCTTGGTTATGTTCGCTGTCACAGCCTGGCTGGTTCGCGGTCTGCAAGTTTTAGTAGGCTCTACCAAGCGTGCTATCACTGAAAGGGCAGAGGAAATGGGCGCCGAGAATGATGCTATTCCTCTCGCAGTGTCGAGTAATACCAACTTCACGTCAACCGATACAATTAGTCCTATACAAGAACAAGAGTTGGCTGTGGTTAGAGGTGCTAGAGATCCACGAGAGTCACCCGAGACAGAGAGCCCACCCCCAGTGACTATCTCTAGTACCACTCAAGTTCAACAAGAGCCATTACCACTCACACGAGCTCAAATATGGGCGGCATTCATTAACAGGAACTTAGATTTACTCACATATACCGTCATGTTCCTTTTCATAGGAATTCCAGTTTACTATGCTACCGGATATGCAATGCCAGTACAACTTACTTTTAACGTTCTAGCTTACTTTGCAGCACAATCCCTCCCAGTCCGTTGGAAGCAATTTTTACACCCTGTTTTACTATCATCTGGCATCACTATCCTTGGTATATGGATCTTGGGACTTGTTAAAGGCAACAATCTAGATGGAATTTTAGGAGATTACAAAACCAATACCAAATACATCGCCTACTGGGATGGAGAAAGCAACCTCCCTCTACCCGGTGCTGGTGATATCTTGTGAGTACTCCCATCTCGCAACAATTCTCTGATTGCCACGAAATCCGGGAATCTCAGCTGACCACCTTCATCACTATAGTAACAGCGTTCTCGACGCCTCCATCGTCTCCCTCGCTCTCCCCATGTTTCAATACCGCCACGAATTAAAATCACACTTCATTCCCATCACAATCCCCAGTGTTGTTCTCGCTATCGCTTCACTATTCGGTTATCCCCCTCTCTGCTACTCTCTCGGCATATCCCCTCCAATCTCTCTTTCATTCTCTGTGCGTTCTTTAACTCTCGCCCTCGCTACCCCTGCCGCTACCAACCTGTAAGTACATTGCATTCTTTTCCAAGTTTCCAGATCCACCGAACAACAAACTAACCTTTTCCTATCTCAAGCGGAGGGAATACCAACGCAGCTGCCGCTCTTGCCATCATGTCCGGTATCCTTGGTGTTCTTATCGGGCAACGTCTTCTTACTTTCCTCAAAATCCGCCCTGATGATTACATAACCATCGGAGTCGCCATGGGTGGAAATGCAAGCGCAATAGCTACTGCATTATTGTTAGTTAGTGATCCGAGAGCTGCAGCTTTAAGTAGTTTGAGTATGAGTCTTTTTGGGATTGTGACTCTGGCGTTGACTTCCGTGCCGCCGGTAGTAGAGATTATTAGGGGGTTGGTCGGGTTGTAGGAATCTCGAATTAAGATAAAGGGGAAGATACGTAAATGTTGATATTATAGAGATTAGAAAATGAAATGATGTATGGTTTAGATGTGGAGGGGAAAGGATCTTGGATAATATCATGAAGATGTACGAATAAATATACATGTTTAATATCACTTCTTCGATCTCCTCTGATCCCTTCAAATTCTCACACCTCTACACCTCTCACAACGCTCAACAGCACATCGCGCAGACCTCTACCGGTGGTAGACGGGGGACACCGCGCACAGGGCGAGAGCGGGAGATGGGGAAGGCCTATAGGGGAAGCTTTTATAGCGCATATTGCTTATTCTTTATATTTCTTATACTTTTATATTCGTATATTTTTTATACCTCTTATACCTTTTATACCTTTTATATCTCTTATATTTCTTATATCTTTTATATCTTTTATATCTTTTATATCTCTTATATCTCTCATATCTTTTATACCTCTTACATTTTTTATACCTCTCATATCTTTTATACTTTTCATATCTTTTATATCTCTTATATTTCTTATACCTTTTACACTTCTCACACTTCTTATATCTCTCATACCTCTCACACCTCTCACACCTTTTATACCTCTCACACCTCTCATACCTCTTACATCTTTTATACCTCTCACACCTCTTACACCTCTCATACCTCTCACACCTCTCACACAACCACATAGTATATACCAACTAAAACCATCCAATCCCAATCTAACAATCAACCTTCCCCACCTATCCTTCCAATTCTCCATTCTCCATCTTCCATCTTCCATTTATAGGTATAGGAAAGGTATAGGTACCTATAAATATGTAGTATTTTCATATTAGCTACAATATACAACGAAATACAAATACAGCTGGCTATATATCTAGGTATGCCATGTTGATTTATTCGATGTGTAATGTATTTCAATGAAAACTCAATGATGCGATTTATCTCACGCTCACATATCGTAGTCGTGTTCTGAAAGTGGACTCAAGGGGGAGTGTTAGTATTCGATGTTGCGGATCACTAGATACTTGGTAGTGCGGATGTGTACTAGGTAGTTATGGAATTTGTATTTTGTTTAGGTGGGTAGGTAGGTAGTAAGAGCATTAGCTTTAATGCGATTTTCTATTATAGGAGATGGATTATTCCAGGGGGTTAAGAAAAGGCTTGTCTATCAAACTGACTGCGAAGTGCGAGACCGTTTGAATGCAGACCTTCCTGCTTCTCTTCCTCTCAAACTCTCCACAACCAATTCATCTATACCCCCTTCCTCTCTTCTCCATTTCCCCTTCTAACTCTCACACCCTACAACTTCCCCTCAAGCACCATCTTTCCCCCCATAAACCCACACAAACCCATCAAGCCCATCTGAAACAACCAAAACCAAATACCCTTATACCTTCCCTTTCCACCCACACCCCCCTGACTATACCCCCTCATATAAACCCACCTGCTAATCGTCCACGCACCCCCCAACACGGCCGCCGACCTTGGAAACTCCAATCCAGCAACCAACATCGCCGCAACCGCTACCGAGTGATTCTCTGTGAAATTCGCATGTGCGCGCTGCGCGCAGTTGAATTGATGTGCTGCGGTGTCGGTACGGGAGGAAGGGGCATAGGCGGCTGGATAGTCGATTTTGGCGGCTTTGCGGTAGGAACCGGTGTTGATGCCGTGCCAGAAGTTAAGGACGAAGGTGGAGGTTGCGGCGAGGATTACGTAGCTGGGAGGGAGGTGTTAGTGGGATGGGAGAATGGATGTGGGGGGTACAGGAAGGGGAAATTGTGTACATACCCGTAATCGGCATCGAGAGTGATGGTAACCATTTTTCTGGATTGATTTGGATCTTTTGAGATGTGTTGTTTCGTTTGGAAAATGTATCAAATTATAGAAATCGAGTTGTAGGTGTATAAATCCTCTTCAAAAATGGCAAATCGAACGAATTGATTAGAGAAACTGTTCTTTCCTCTTCTTGCTTTCCTCAACAAAAAACAGCAAGTCCCCTCACAATATAAACAAACCCAAACTCAAAAAATCCACCCCAACCCACACCGCATCCACATCCCCATCCACCCAAGCAAGCGTATTAGAAATCAAAAGATCGCTCCAAAGTCCAAAGTCCTTCTGTCTCCATCGAAACACAGACCTTCCGAACTCCAAACCATGAATGTGGAGAAGGAAAATCGTAGACCTCGGACATTGATCTCCTCCGCGCCCCGACTCATGGTGTCCTTTTTCCTCCGTGTCGTCGGTCGGACTCACCTTCGTGACCTTCGTGCCATGTATCTACACATATGGATACATCCACATGCGTAGATATGTGAGTGAGTATGTGTATGTGTATGGGAAATTGCCCGTCTCCGTCCATACGATAGGAATCTCACCTACCTCTGTTCTCGTAAACATGCGTGCGTGGTAAATCAGGTACGATGAGAATTAAGCATCTTTGTCATCCGGCATCCATCAATCGGCGAGACACATCACATCTCACTCCGAATACACTTACTTCGCTCACAAATCCCATCATATCCTACCACGTCCGGACATTCTCCCTCGGAGACGGGGTGCTAACTGAGAAATGAGATAAGAAGAGAGGAGGGGAATGCGTGAATTTATACTCACTCATGGCATATCTGGATTAATAATATATCTATTGTCCGAAAAGTACTATATTAGCGTGGCTAGTGAGTAGATAACTTGATTGATTGATTGATCAATTAAAAGGGATGATATTTGAGCACGCCATGTCCATGAAATATCATATCATTGAAGTTGGTTTGCTCTGTCAGCATGGGATTAGTATTCCGTTGTTGAGAATACATGTATTGGCAACTTAGAATGGGGAATTGCATATTATGCTTACCTACGACTCCATGCTGAACCAAACCATCGGGTATCAATTTCTTTCCTGCCCTTCCGGTTTCAAAACAGCATACAAGAAGTTTATCTATCAAATCAATATCAATGCAACCAACTCATTATACATTCATTCATTCATACATACAAACCTACCTATAAACTCAACTTCTCATTATCAACATCTCAATCTCAATTCTCAATTTAATCCCCTTGCCCCCTCTTCTCGTTTCCAAACAATATCCCCTATACCTCATCGTCTACCTACCCATTCATCGATTCCAATATTCTAAGCTTTTTCAAATATACTCAAAACTTTGCACCATTCTCTTTATATTGCAAGTTCATATATATCACAATGTCAAATATCCAACAATAATCAGTCCAACATTCACTCCAAAATCTCTAACTCCCCAACTCCCCAATTCAAAATCGACATCGACATCGACATCTTGATAAACAGATAAACTAATAAACTAATAAACAAAGTCCACATATATTACACTCTATACCACTCCCTCATCTCCTCTCATCTACTATTTCTCCCTCCCTTCCCTTCCCTTCCCTCCCTTTCTCTCCTACTTCATTACAAAATGAAACCCTCTCATCTAATCTTTTCTATCCATCCACCCATCCACCCATCCATCCATCCATCCATCCATCCACTTCCTGAAGATCTAAACATTACTGAGAGAAAAAAGCGTAGGTAGTTAGTAAGGAGGGATAAAAAGTAAAAAGGTGTAAGATATGTAATAAGAGATATATGATTATTTAGCGTTTAGTAAGGAAGATGTGAAGTATAAGAAACAAGATACAAGATATTGAGATTTATAAAAAGAGCTAGTTAGCGATAAGAAGTAGAAAGATATGGTACTAGGTGTGAAGTTTAAAGTATAATTAATGTGTTGAGATTAGATTCAGTAGAAAAATTTGAGTAGAACTTATCTAGGTAGTAAAGAGGAGCTGGAAGGTGTGAGATGAGATATGAGATATAAGATACGAGGATTCAATGATTCAATAGAGAGGGTTAATGTTCATCAGTGAATAGGAATGAATCTAGACTTTGATTTTTACACTGGTCAATAATATCAGTAGTAATTCATCGGGATTTATATTGAAACATCGCTCTGCACTGTGATATAATGTAATTGCCATTATTCCCAGGCTATATATCATACACTCACCAATCAACAATCTATCATTCTCATTCTCATTTCCCCTTCAATCCTCACTCAAACCTCCCTTAAACCCCATCATACCCATTCTTCCCCTTCACCACCCCAAACGCTCCACCCCCCTTCCCAAACATAGCCCTCAAATCCCTCGCCAACAACTCCGGCTTCTCGTGCGCATAAAAGTGTCCTCCTCCCTCTTTCAAATTATCACTCTCAAAAACCACATCCCCCAACTTTCTCCCCCACGCCTTCGGCAACACCACCAACTCCTTCGGATTAAACGTCAATCCCAATTTCACCCCCCCAATGTAAATACTCGAATCAGCCATCGTCAGTTTTCCTTCCCCAGGCTGCGTATGCATGACTTCATAGTAAATCCTATGAGCGGCTCCGGGGCCCGCGCGCGAAAATTGATAGATAGATATCCAGGTGAAGATTTGATCGTCGGTCCACGGATACGCATCCGTCCAATCGTGGAGTTTTTCATAAATCCACGCGAGTAATGCGACGGGAGAATCGTGCAGTGCGTAGGCGAGTGTTTGCGGCTTGGTGGATTGTTCCGCAAAGTATCCGCGGCCTTCCTCTTCGAACCATTTGGTTCGAGCGAGTCCCTCCAGCTCGGCTTGTGAATAGGAAGGGGATGCCTCTTGGTCGGTGGGAGCTTTCCCTAGGATCATATTGATATGACTTGCTTTGCACTGTGTGATGTTAATATCTTTATAGACATGACAAATATACCCAGAATCCAAGACATAAAACTTACATGTTTAGGATAAAATTTTCCAATAGCTCTCGTGACGAACATACCCCAATCACCACCCTGCGTAACATACTCATCATAACCCAATTGCAACATCAATTTGTGACAAGTTTCCGCATACTGAGCTATTGCGAATCCACGTTTCTTGACTCCTTCGCTAAATCCATAATTGGGAAGTGAAGGGGCAACAATATGAAATGCTGGACCTCCTGGTTGTTGAAGAAGTGGAAGAAGTTGGACAACTTCCAAGAATGATCCTGGCCCTATTGATGCATTCACATTAGCATTCATCCATTTCTTCTCCTTTCTCCTTTCTCCCTTCGAAAAAATCTTCACCAATCTTCATCCCCACCCCTAACAAAAAGAAAAGAAGAAAAGAATCACGTACACCCATGCACAAAAAGCAACGGCACCGCCCCCTTCACCTCACTCTTCTGCCATACAAAATGCACATCCAACTCGCCGAAGCCATCGACCTCGACGCCCGTTGTAAACTGCGTTCCCTCCAACTTCTTATTAAGTTTTTCCTCCGCAACTCTCCAATCCCATTGCTCCCACGCTTTCGCCAGCCGCTTTACGTCGGACAACGGAGCACCCATATCCCACTCTGCATTGTCGAGTTCGTCGGGGAATTCGGCGAGTGAAAGCTTAGTTTTGAGTGTGTCTATTTTGGCTTGGGGGACGGCGATTTGGAAGGGTTGGGGAGACATGGTGATGTGATTTGATGTGGTGGGATGAGATGAGATTTGAGGAGTGCAATGGAGTTGTTTGATTGAGATGGGATGGAAGTATATCAGATAAGTTCCAAGCACGAAACGATAAAGCCGTAGGATAAAAAGTTCGATACTTATCACCAGGTAATCTAATTTCAGGTAATCGAATCGATATTAATCACAGAAGAAAGAGAAAGTCAACATCCGATAATCTCAAATATACATACTCGTACCCACAAGCTCGCACTTCGGAGCTACCTCCCCTCCCGACTCTCCTACCCCGCATCAAACCCACCAAGGGTTCTACGGGATCAACAAACCAATCCACAACGGCGTCCACATCGGCTTTAATGCACGAATAAACGTCATAGGAGATGAGTACCGCACAACCTCCACCAGTTCTATACGTAAGGACCTCGGGATCCTAGGTATATTTTTGAGTCCGTAATTTTTTATCCCGAAAAATAACTTATTCATATCCTTCAAAGTTCTTTTTGAGAGAGGATATACTTATATTTTAAGGTTTCGGGATTATTATATAGTCTTGCATATGTATCTAGTATTGTTGACTAGCGGTACCTACGATAGGTACTATTAGATAGATAGTTAATTACCTACCCTCCCTACTTTATGAAAACAACTTCAAATCGTTCTTTTACACAAAGAAACAAACTATCTAACTTACTACACTCGTACCTAGACAATTTACCCCCCTCCTCCTTCTCCTTGAGATTCTAATCTTCAATCCTCGTTATCATCACTCAGTACATCATACCTCCTCCTCCTCCTCCTCCTCCTCCTCCTCCAGAAGAAGCCTCTCAAGTTTCAAAAAGCATTTACGAGGTTTTATAAAAAGATAAATCACCTTTCACTCAATCAGTATCGTGATTCCAATAAATCCCTAAATCCCCAATCCCAAAGATCCATAAATTCACTCTTTTCCTATATCACATGTCCGTATAATACACCTATACATCATATACATCATATACATCATATACATCATATACATCATATACATCATACACATCATACACATCCCCAATCCCCCTCTTTAAACCTCCCATTCCCATTACCATTCCCATTCCCAAAACCCAAAAGCATCTATCTATCTATCCATCTCCATCTCCAGGATCAAAAACCCGGCATAATTTTTCCCGCAAAGAAGCGAATTCGAAACTCGAAACTCGAAATTCGAAACGCGGAATCCGGATGATATACCGGTATATCGTATTCATCCGGATATCCATATAGGAAGAAGTAGACACGAAACGTCACGGTTAGGTTGGCGTACGGCACGTGGAATTGGATCGAAGGGCCGATAGCAGCTATCATATCATAGACTATCACCCTGCAATTACTCATCACTACTCACTCGTAGGTGGTAGTCTCGAGATAGTATTATACAGTGTATGTGTATATGTAATAATCTAGATAATTTCGTTGAAAAGGTAGATAGGTAGATAGGTATACTAGATATACTAGATAATGTTAGCTCAGTTCCAAGAGTTTACGAAGCAGATTTATCTTTTCGCAAGTACGTACGTATTCCTAATATCTCATAGCTACTCTGTACTATTCTTCTTACTTACAATCCATCGAAGCCCCTCCCCTCTCTTTCTATGTACTCTCCAGCTTCGCTTGAATAATCTTAAATCATTCTTTCCTAATTAAGTCATAGTTTAATACATACTAAACTAACTACTCTATTATAAACAAATATTTTACTTTCAATCTTAACGATTAGTATAACAATCGATAAATAGCGAAATAATCAAAATAATCAAAATACCTAATATCTACTATCTACCCTCTACTACCTACCCTCTACTACCTACCCTCTACTACCTACCCTCTACTACCTACCCTCTACTACCTACCCTCTACTAACCCCCCTCTACCCTCTACTCAACATCTCCTAATCCAGAATTTCTATCATTCTACTATACCATATAATCAATATATATATATATATATATATACATACACATTCACCTATAAACAATACTACAAAAACAAACAACTTCATTCATTAAAATTTCCATTTCCATTTCCATAATCAAGTTCCCTCCTCATAATCAAGTTCCCTCCTCATAATCAAGTTCCCCGAGGGCCTCATAAACTACCTACCTACCTAGGTAGCTAACTTAAGCACTCCAATAAATCCACACAACGACAATAACGACCAAACGCCATTACATTAACATGTTACTAATAACCCACAAGCGCCTCCCGAGTCATCCATAAGGTATTACCTGATTCTCATTACGCCTATAAACATCATCATTAATATCAATATCAATATCAATATCAATATCAATATCAATATCAATATCAATATCAATATCAATATCAATATCAATATCAATATCAATATCAATATCAATATCAATATCAATATCAATATCAATATCAATATCAATATCAATATCAATATCAATATCAATATCAATATCAATATCAATATCAATATCAATATCAATATCAATATCAACGTGCATATCAATTTATCTCCTCTACTTCCTCTTTCGCTTCAACTCCCAATTAACATCCTCATATTCATCCGTCAATTCATCCGGAACAACCGAATTATCTTCCACAACCCCGAGGGGCAAAGCAGACTGAACCGATTCCGTAACCAAGGCCTCTTCTGACGATATCGATTTCTCAATCCCTTTATCGCCCAGAAGGAAGTCTCCAAAATATTTGATAACATTAAAAACTTCTTCTCCCGTCGGAATGATGTTTTCTTTGGGAAGTAAGAAGCCATAGCTGCCGGTATCTCGTAGCTTGATTTGATAACTATATCGCACTCGTAATTCGTGATAAAACCAATCGATGGCGGAGCCACCTCCAGTTTCCATTCTGCTTGTCGATGAGTGGCCGGGTATTTTCGAAGAAACGGCACCTTCACAAGCGGAAGCGACAGTATATTGTTCGCCACTCGATATTCTAATAGCCTTTGCAAGTCCCATGCCAAGTTCTTCCAGATTTTCCAAACTCGGTGGGTCGGCCAAGCATGAATAAGAATAAGGATATAAAACTTGTTGAGAATATGAATGTAAATCCAAGAAACCAACAAAATGTACATTATTGTTCTCCGTCTCATTCTTAGCCCATTCTGCAAATCGATGGGATTCCACAGCCTGGAAAGGTGCATCTCCCGGGTAACTTTCGGAACAAGGATTACTTTGAGTCGAAGCACCCCATTCAAAGCCGAATCCACGGTCTAGATCAACACCTCGACAGAATCGAAGATTGGTTTGCTGTCTATTCTTGCGCCACAAACGGTCGTTCTCCCAAGTATACACATATCCATCCACATTGATAGTGGGAATGAGGACAAAGTCGAATTCTTGTAGAAGCTTTGTAATCGCAGGCGATTTTCCATAAGAAGTGATCAAAGACCAGGCAGTGTATGTAACGGAGCTCACGGATATCCATTCTCGAGCATGGAATCCACCGGATAAAATGATCGTTTGTCGTGGCTTGAGATTCTCCAAAGGTAGATTTGGAGATACGCCAATCCTTAAAGCTGGAATGTCGCGACCTTCGTAAGAAGTTCCAATGCTGATCATTCGAACGTGTGTTGAGAACATGGAAGACATCAGGCGCATCCATGGGACAATGACGGATAGTGGTTGATAGTTTTGAAAGAATACGTTGTCCATCCCATCGACAGTACTAGTTCTCAAAGCCGGGGTGAATGCTTTTTCAATATGTTTCGAGGGAAAAGCTACATCAGCATATGCCGTCGATGGATACGATTGATAAATGCTCTTCGCCAAGTCAGGCATTAGATACGAGTATGAAGTCTGTAGAGATTTCGGCAAGAGGCCGAGTAAGGAGGGAATCTTTTTCATCAGTTAGCACTTCGACAACAGTAAAGACTGTTTCACGTACATCATCTTCTCGCAAATGAATATCCGCCCAATTACTTGTGAACTCCCACACATCCAGGAAAAGTGTATCTGCAGCTTCTGCCAAAGCTTGTTCCTCCGCTGGCGTCGTAAGATTGAATCGAAGTACCTTATCGCCGCCATATTTTGCAAGTAAAGTCGCGGGGAGTTGGATATTGGTCGGTCGCGACACACTCCCTGGTACACGGGGTTTCTTTGCAACCTTTGGGGGAAGACGGAAGATCTTTTCTATGGCCGTATCCCGCAGCCAGTTTAATTTGGGGAGCACATTGCGGTATTTAATGCCCGAGTCTTCCTGTGGAGGATATCGCGGGGTTACAGGTGACAAGTGAGCATGACCGTCCGTAGCCCAAGGTGCTGCGACGACATACGGGATACACAGGAGACTTGATACCAGAAGAATAAACAACGATAACGTCGAGTGAGATTGCGACATAATTAATTTCGCATTTAGGGATTGAGGGAAATGTCGACAGACAATGAAGGTTGTGAGGCTGTGGGTCGTGCTTGGAATTATATTTGAGATAATTCGTGGGAGAGGTGAAATAAAGATTTTAGGAGGTGGATAGTACTAAATGTCATTCAGGCCTAGAAGGTTGCCTGGTTCCTGGAACTAATAATTGGCAAGGCAAGGTGAATGTCAAGGAGATTGTAATTTTGTTGATAGACCAAAACATCAGACGGTATAGCAACAATGTATCAATTTGATATATCGTATTTATTGTAAGATTATGATTTCCATCCATCACTGCCAAATTGTCTGGTAGCCATTTTCAAACATAAACTCCTACCTCCAGCTAGTATGCTTTCAACCTCTTCTATCCCATCTCATCTCATCGAATACCATCTCATCATCTAGTCAAAAATCATCTGTTCCAGCCACCACCGCCTGCGATACTTCATAGACCTGTAAATATATATCAGTATATAACCAAACTCCAATGAGAGAGTCATTGAATTCCCACCAAAGGATTTTCCTCTAGCATCTTCACTTCCGACGGCGTAAGAAGCAGCGACCAATACATGATCCCCCAGCCATTTAACGAAGTTGCAGTCCGTAATTGCGTCTCCGATTGAGGTCCAAAAGATTCGAGGAGTTGCTGGATAGGATCTGTTATGTCTGTAGGAGTAGGAAAATCACCTTCTGGGTAAACCATCCATATATCCACCGATCTGTAGATCTGATGTTTGAGGTGATACCTAGAAACGACTTTGAATCTGTGGTTTTATTTAGGGGTTGCGCTTTGTTCATTGAAGCCATTGTATGTAGTAGGTGTGTAGTGTAGTGTAGTGTAGTGTAGTGTAGTGTAGTGTAGTGTAGTGTAGTGTAGTGTAGTGTAGTGTAGTGTAGTGTAGTGTAGTGTAGTGTAGTGTAGTGTAGTGTAGTGTAGTGTAGTGTAGTGTAGTGTAGTGTAGTGTAGTGTAGTGTAGTGTAGTGTAGTGTAGTGTAGTGTAGTGTAGTGTAGTGTAGTGTAGTGTAGTGTAGTGTATGGTACGAGTAGTGTGAAATGATTTGAAAGTGACGCGTGGTATTTTCGTTCATCGAATTGTCTCGATTTCTCTTGACAATGCTCGGGGTGATGCTATCCATTCCCCTCGTACGAACCAGCTCACCGGGAGTTGGCTTACATTGGTAGGTATTGGACTGGACTGGTACCTTATCATAAACAACCGGCCTTATCTTAGAGGACCACCAGTGGACCTCATGCTTGTGAAGGAAGATATTGTTCATTTGGCATCTGACTGAACTCTACAAGAATAGATTTGAAACATTGAGAGATGATAGACTGGACACTTCATTACTTCATACCAATAATTGCTTTTTCTGAATACCCTGTCTCAGTTCATTGGGTTGCGATTCACTCAGAACTTGGAAGTATCTACTCGTCTTCAATCGGATTCATGGTTAGTGAATCAATTGCCAATGAATGGGTTGTGAGCTATTATCACGCATCTGGTATCTTTGGTATATACCACCAGTGTACGTACGTAGGTAGATAAGTGATTCTTCTTACGTAGATCAGATATCCAGCTGGATACGTTGGCAATATTGACTGGTTGAGGGAAGGGCTACGGCATGGAAGAAACTTTGGGTCATCAATATTGTATGGAGGGCCAAGAAATGCGTTGGAGGTTACCTTGATCTTGATGGAGATTCTGGATGGTGGCTGGATGGTTGAATTCTCGATATGGCCAATTGCATGGTCGTAATTGGTCTTTCATCTGTATAGAGATATACCATATGCAGAGCGTACAGATAGATATCTTGTTTGGTGCTTGCTCCTCCTCTCTCTTTGCGTTTCTCATCTCATACGACCGAGCTGATCTCATACGACCGAGCAGAGAGGGGTCAGCAGCTTCCCGTGAAAGAGTGGCTGGGCTGATGTAAGAAGAATGGATGGATGTACTTTGTAATAAATGTAAATGGTGACGAAAAGATAAATCCCTCTCAGGTGTCTCTCAGGTGGCCCTCAGATGTCCCTCAGATGTGCCTCAGATGTGCCTTTGACTACATCCATCCAAATGTATGAGCGTCACTTTTCCCACGAGGGAATCCAATTCCAACGGTCCATTAGGTGTTTTGTTACCCTCCCACCATGCAGATCATTCCACGCTTTAGAACATTCCACCATGCCGAATCGAAGGACACCTCGAGGACAGCTCCAGCCTAACGCAGCATGATCTAAAAATAAGAGCGACTGCTTGAGTCTTCTAGAAAAACGGGTGGCCCCATCCCATGCACTGGCTCACTGGCATCCAGACAGCCGACGACTATGTAGGTACCTTATTATAGGTATCGCTATCGGATTTGGCCACGTCCAGGAAATTGCATTGTGGAAGGATCAAATTTTATTGATCCATAGAACGCAGCACTTGGACCCGACGGTAATCTTTACTTTCATCTCATCATATGGGGTATTGCAAAAGTTGGGTTTATATGTTTCAGAGTATTCTCCAGAGGGTCAATCTTTTTTTTCTTTGGTCGAAAGGGGGAAATGATCATTGTTGTTGGGTGAAGGAGAGGAGGAGTGGTGAGAGATGTGGGAGATGTGCTATGGTGGTAACATTTTTGTCTCTTTAGGAGCACATGGATAGATAGCATATAGATGATAGTATATAGATAATAGCATATAAATAATAGCACATAAATAATAGCATATAAATAATAGCACATAAATAATAGCACATAGATGATAGCACACAGACAGCCTTGATGATTTCTCTCTTTAATAAATACTAGGTAGTACACCGACAGCCCTAACAAGTTCATCTTCATCTTCATCTTCATCTTCCATGCATGGTATAGTGGATGCCCAGCTCACACGCAAATGGCAGAAAGAACGAGCTAGGCCAATAAGCCCGGATGTAGTAACAATAACAATAACAATAAAAGAATAAGGTTATTTGGAAACACGAGTTCTGGGTACGCATTTGATTTGATATTGGATATTGGACGTAAGGTTGGATGTGATGTGATTTGTGATTTGTGTTTGATTCAAGTACAGACTACCTAGTATACTCCAGCTGTCTTCAAAAGTCTTCACTTATACATGATCATGATCACTCATAAATGGATGGCCTACGATACAATGTTACTTACCCTACCTAGGTAATTGATTCTTTTCATTCCCGAGGTCCTCAACCCAAACCACCTTTGCGTCATTCACCATACCTCAGGGATTTTCAGTCGACCTGCTTCGTTCTTTGTACTGGTTATTAGTATGACCTATTAGTCGATAACTACCTAGGTACTATCCTATGGTAGATAAATACTTCGTAATAAAACTTAACTCACAAATAGCATTTGTAAATTATTCATCTCATCCTACCACCAAGCTTTGATTACCCTTCATTGATGTTTTCATCCGAGTCTTGCATTGCTGAATTGAATTTTGTACAGTACCAGTACCAGTATGATTTGTTAAAATTGTTTTGATTTGTTCTCTCGTATCTATCGTACTTCTCGTTCTTCCCTCTCCCTCTCTCCCTCTCTCCCTCTCTCTCTCTCCCTCTCTCTCTCTCCCTCCCTCTCTCTTCCTCCTCCATCTTTACTTTTTCTCGTCCTCTTCTGCCAATTGCCCCATGGTCCACCAACCACCAATTACCCCCCCCCCCCCCAGTCCAGAACCTCAGAACCCCGTTTATTAGTCCTTTCCCTCTTATCCACTTGTTACGACTCTCCTACTTTCCCAAGGGTATCTTCCCTACCATATCAGCCTCATACGAAGGGTTACACAACTCTTCAAACACCCTTCACCAATTCAATCCCACACTCCATTTGCAAATGTGATTTTTTTCTCTCTCCAGCTGAAACAAGAATAACCACCTTGCTTCCTAATTATCCCTTGGGGTAGGATCAATGTTGTTCGACGTTTCTTCAAAATGCCATTACTACGTCGTCGTGCTGCTGCCAGCGATGCTGAAATGCGACGGCATAGCTTCTTTCCCGTCGATTCCAATACTCTCAATCCAATTCTCGACACCGAACTTCCAGATGGCAGAGCGAGTGAACAAATGCCACGACGTCCCTCGCCTGCTGATTTCCCATCAAATGCCGCAGACCCAGGAACAATGACATCGTTACCCATGTTAGTTAGACCTGCCACAGATTATCCTGCTGCGCTTCAGCGATCGGGGTCACCACCGATCCAGGAGGAAACTTCGAAACATCGTCGCTTCTCCATGTTAAGGTTTCGACATGCTTCCGACTCGCAATTGTCCACACGGTCGCGACTACAGGCTCAGAGTTCAATAGCGGAAGATGCTCCTCCGATACCTCAGCGCAAGTATTTTTCCATTTGATGTCATTCCGCAACATTTAGAGGCATTTCATTTGGTTCAACTATTTAATTTGACAGAACAATTGCTTGCTAGATCTACCTTCTTGGCATAGTGCTGACAGTATACCAGCCCCAGAGATTATCACCACGGCTCCAACCATGGATTTCAATGGAGGACGCCCTATGAAGAAAAAGTCGCGGGTTAGACTTCCCGGCCGTACCAAATCGACGGCTGTGAATAACAATCGAGCGAAGCAACAAGAGCAACCGCCATCACAACCAGAAGATACATCAGATATCGAAATGATCTCCAAGAAAGAACGAAGAAAGACCATGTCAGAGTCGGGACCGAGCAATAAAAGCCGTGTTACTTTTGACGAACCAAATCGCCCAATGACCCATGGCAATGGTGGCTCACCTCCTGCATATGGAGACGAGGCGTCCTCGGCATTGGCTCTGCCAGTAAATAGACTTTCTGAATCTTCGAGGTCAGATGCAAGCTCGGGCGAGCATGGAGTATATGCAACGACCACGACAACTACGCACACTGTCCAAACAACAACAACCTTCTTTCGTCTTCCTCGCCGGAAGAAGCCCGCTCCGTTATTCGATCTGAGCCATCTCCCACAAAAGTCCGCGCAAAACGATGCTTCGAATTCGCTTTCTGTCACGAGATACCCCACGGCTCCTTCGTCCGGCTCGGTTCGGGCCACAACCCCCAAATCATCGGACGACCTGACGCCACACGGTTCTCATTCTCCATTCCCACCGTCTCCGTCTCATACCCCTTCCTCTCCCACTGCTTTGAAGAAGACATCATCGGGTGTAGGTCGGCCAGGCACCCCCTTATTACGACAAGGTTCCACTGCGTCATCTTCGAGATCGTCACCCACCCGTTCCAGATTAACGCTGCGCGGTCGTTCATCCACTTTGAGCTCTCTGAGAAATGCACCAAATGAAGACTCTTTACCGACCCCCACGTTACCATCGACCAGGACTTCTACATCCACTGGCAGGAAAAGTTTTGGCGATTTGTTCAATCTTACAGCTCGATTGCGCCAGAATCCTGAACCGGGAAATAATTCGGGACCCACCACCCCTGCTTCGAACACTTCGAAGAACAATTCTATGCAATTGAACCGAGAAGAGGCTATCATCCTGCCGGAACGATACGATGATGATACACCAGCAAATTATTTAGTCAGGCTAGAAGAAGCGGTTAGTCGAGGTGTGGTAGCTAGTGTATTGTCGAAAGGAACGGACTCTTTCTCACAGGCTGTCCTTCGTAGCTATATGAGAGGATTCGGTTTCTTTGGAGATCCTATGGACATGGCCATTCGAAAGTTGCTCATGGAAGTTGAGCTCCCAAAGGAGACGCAGCAGATCGACAGGTGTTTGCAAGGTTTTGCAAACAGGTATCATGAGTGCAATCCTGGCATCTATGCATCTCCTGACCAAGCCTACTTTATCGCATTTTCACTTCTCATTCTACATACAGATGTATTCAACAAAAATAACAAACATAAAATGACCAAGGCAGACTACATCAAGAACACCCACGGCGAAGGAATCTTTGACGAAATTCTAGAATGCTTCTATGATAACATTTCATACACACCCTTTATCCACGTGGAGGATGACCTAGATATCAATGGCGAGAGAATCATACCCCACAAGATGAAGAAGAAGTCAAAGATGCTTCGGGGAGGTGGCGATCCTAACAAACGTCCCTCGAAAGAACCGGTTGACCCTTATACTTTGATTCTTGATAGCAAACTTGATACTTTGCGCCCCAATCTAAAAGACGTCATGCATCTTGACGAGCATTATAGTTATCTCGGCACTGCGCCGTGTCTGAATCTACAAAATTTACAGAAGACCTTCTTCAAGACGGGTGTTTTACAGATTGTTTCGGCCAGATCACGACCAGATGCCTTCATGTCGGAAAAAACTGTTACAAATCCTGAGGAAGCACAAGCTGGCATCGTGGATATAAAAATTACCAAGGTTGGTTTATTATGGCGAAAAGATGCAAAGAAGAAGAAGACTCGCTCTCCGTGGCAGGAGTGGGGGGCTATTCTAACTGGTGCTCAATTGTACTTTTTTCGAAATACTACGTGGATCAAAAGCTTGATGCATCAGCACGAGACGCATATCAAACAAGGTCACGATGGCACGCCTGTCATTTTCAAGCCTCCGCTAGAACAGTTCAAACCTGATGCATTGATGTCGACTGATGATGCAGTCGCTCTAGTAGATTCTACCTACAAGAAGCACAAGCACGCATTCGTCTTTGTGCGCCATGGAGGATTTGAGGAGACTTTTTTGGCCGATAATGAAGATGAGATGAATGATTGGTTGGCTAAGCTCAACTATGCCGCAGCGTTTAGGACTGCTGGAGTGCGTATGCGTGGTGTGGTTGGGGGCAACTACGAAGGGCAACGCAATCGAGGCATCCGTCGACTCGATAGTGCAAACGATTCTACCAAGTTTATTCAAACTCCTTCTGGTGAAGTTTCGATAGTCAGTGGAAAGATTGACAACAAAATGCAGGACGATATTTTGGCAGCACGTCGCCAAATTATGCTACAAAAAGTGGTGGAAGCCGAAGAAAAGCTTACCGTTGCCGTGAAACAGTTGGATTCTCAACTTCGAAATGCTCGCCATTTACAAATCCTAGCTCCAGTTCAACAAAAGACGAGAGATCAAGTTTTGTCAGCTGCAGCTCGCATGGCGGCTCAATTGAAGTGGGGTAGAATGGAAATCTGGCGCTTGAAGTGTCACAGGGATATTTTGATTTTGGATCTTGACGAAGAAAAAAACACGGAAGGAGATTTTACGCAAAAGACAGATTCAAACGGAGATACACCAATGTCTGCACGATCTGCTTTGAACCGTTTGCAATCCAAGGCAAGTAGCTTAGCGCCGCAAGGCACGCCAAAGTCACCTACGTTAGACTCCACGACTCGGCCTTCTACGTCCGGTCCATCGCTCTCACCGTCAACAGAGAAAGAACACACGATGGATGACATATTTCAGGCGGCACCAAACTCGATGCACAAAGCTCAAGCATCTTGGGAACTTCCACCTTTGGCTATCAATGAACAGACTACACGTAAACCTTCAGTTTCCAGTGTCGTACTCCCCAGTCCCAGTCTTGCCACGGTGCCATCTCGTTCAAGTTTGAATCAAGCTCCAACCTTGAGCTCTAAACCTTCGGATCCAAATCTCGATGCTGCGGAGCAATCTGTTCTTGAACAAGCTGGATTGGTCGATTCGGACATGGCGAGCGAAGAGAAAGAGCAGTCAAACGACAAGGATAAGTTTGGCAAAGGCAAAATTCGTCGCAGTATTCATCAAACCCTGCGCGAGGCGCATGTTCCAACGCATCACCGTAGTCGAAGAGGCAGGGACTCGAATTCTAGTGCCGGTATGTCAGATGAAGGTACTACAGATGACATACTCTCTCGTGGTTCTGGAAGCTTCGTTGTACATGGCAAAAAGGCTTCAGTCATCACATTCGGGACCGAACTTCAAAGCTTGTCACCAGAAGAACGCCTGCGTCTTCGTAAACAGCCTCACAAGGAAGACTCTGAAGCGACATCACCTGCGACTATCGATGACGACTTCCACTCCATCCTTGCCGAACCAATTGAGTTTCACCAGCGCCATAATTCAGCTGCAAGCACAAGCACAGCGACTGCCAGGAGTTTTCGGGAATTGCATCGGAAATATTCCTCCCAGCACTCAGACAAACCTCCAAACCTTGCTGCCACTGTAGATGACGACGACGAAGCGGCAGTAAGTATGTCTGACGGCCGACGAAGCCCATTACCCCCGGTCGAAGACGAAAACGAAGACGAAGATTCAAGTAGTAATGACAGAACAAAATTCTACACACCAGATCCCTCACCTCGTGTAGCCGAGTTTGATGAGCATTCGCTTGTTGAACCAAATCCACAGCACGAAATCGAACACATCGATTCGAACGAGCGGCTACCAAGTCCTACTTTTCAAACCGTCGGTGCTTGATACACCATGTTTTATAAATGGTGAAATACCATACCAGTACAACCTTTCCACACATCCACACAACATTTTCATATTATTGTTCTTGTCTCTTCATTTATTTCGGCGAAATTAAAGCATAGCGCGCATGCAACTATTCTAACGACAATCGTTTATATATCCATTTCTTGACTTGCGGCGGGCTCTTTTACAATACCTGTGATGATTGATATTTTCGGGAAGCGGAAAGGGAAGGATCTTTTTTTCGCAAGAATTAAAAGTATTTGATAGTTCATTTTTTCGGTAGTACCTTTTTAGTTTTTTACTTGGTTTTTTGTTTTGTTTTTTACTGAAGTTTACACTTGTTGTAGTGGTTATTTGGGACACATACTTTTGAAAGCATTTATAGTGCGTATGTATACTAGCGGTTGGCATGGGTATGGATGGTGGATTGGGTGATTGGGTGATTGGGAAGGAAAGGGAAGCAAGGGCTGTAAGATGTTACTGGGTTAGGATCCATATATTTCCATGTGAAGGGGTTGTCTTATGGTATGGCACATGGTTTCGGCTGCTGAGGTTATAGGCCGGATTGGCGTTTTGGGAATGGGGATGTGTTCGCTTTTTTTAATAGAAGAGGGTGAATGTGATGGGAGGGGAAAATTGGGAGGTCTGGGGAATGGGATGATTGGAGATGATGAGGTAGGGAGAAGAAATTAGGAGTGGAATGTCAAAGTATGGATGGATCGATACTTGGTGAGAGGAAATGGGAGAGTAAAGGAGGATGGAGGTGAAATGGGATCAGATGAGAGGGGATGCAATGAAGGGAATGGAATGGTGTCGAGTTGAATTAATATCGGAGCAGAGTGGGGAAAGGAAGAAGAGAAAGGAGATAGGAAATAGGCGATATAAATACCAATGAAGATTCATATATGTGATGTTTTATTTGGAATGTTGATTAGTTGTGATTGTCATTGTCATTGTCATTGTGACTTGTATTCATTGATTGATTGATTGATTGATTGTACTTTGGATTTCTTGAAAAGGGGGGGGCGAGAATAGATATAGAAATGAGAGGATAGGTGTACATTATTTACATATCTAGATAGATAGATAGATATCGATAATAATAATGATATATAAACTCATATTTATAGATTGATTGATTATAAGATTGATTACTTCTTATGGGATTTATTTACCTACTCACTCATATACTCACTCATATACTCACTCATATACTCACTCATATACTCACTCATATACTCACTCATATACTCATTTATATACTCACTCATATACTCACTTATATACTTATTTATATACTTACTCATATACTTACATCTCGCTATAGACTATAGACTGTAGACTATAGATACTTTTTCAGGAAATGCAGAGATTGGATTGGATTAGATTGGATTGGATTAGATTGGATTGGATTAGATTGGATTGGATTGAATTGGATTGGATTGTAGGGAGTAAGTAAGTACATTACATACATTACATACATACATCACATTACATACATATATCACATGACATGACATGACATGACATGCATGGATGGATGTATACCTAAATATCCATATGCATTCAAATTCCATATTCTCCCACCATCATCGCCACATCTCCAATCTCCTATCTCCAATCTCCAATTCCCTCTTCTAAATCCTCTCTCTCCCCATCTCTCTACCTCTTCCCCTTCTTCTTCTTCCCCTTTGCGCCTCCACCCCCACCACTACCCGTTACAACCTTGCTCCCGGGCGCCTCAACACCCTCTAACGCATCTTCTCTCACCACGCCTCCCTGCGTCGCATCCAAGGCCTTCTTCTTTCCCTTTTTGCCTTTCGGTCTGTAGGAGCTGCGATCCTTGAGCGGTAACCACCTCTCCGGATCCATTTTCTTGCCCTCCTCGAAATCTTTGGGTAATTTCGATTTGCGCGTTCCTATCGTCTTTTGCTTTTTCGTCGGGTCTTCGTTTTCTTTTTCTTTTTCCTTGCCGTCTAGAGCGCGTTTCTTGGATGATTCGGTGGATGTGGTTTTGGAGGTCCAGGTTGGGATACCCGAGGATTCGAGATCTTCGGCGTTGATGCCGGAGATGAGTTTGGGGATGGGGGTGAGCGTGTCGATGTCCGAGGAGATTTTGGAGAAATCGGAAGATGCGTATGAAGCGACGCAACCGGCGATTGCGACGCGGTCTGTGGGATCTTGAGAGCGGAGGGAAGAGAAGATATCGCCTGCTGCTTTGGCATCTTCGGGGTTGGAAGATTCGAGGAGGGAGATACCTGCGGCGTGGAAGAGGGATGGGGAAGGTTTGGATTTCTGTCGCCAGTATGAAGCGGCTTTTTCGAGCTCGGGTCTTATAGGGGTTCTGCGGCCGGTGGATCGATAGAGGGAGATGAGAAGGGCTACTAATCCTGGTGCAAATCGTACATCTTGATCTGAGGGATTGGTAGACTCTTCTAAACGCTTAAAGAATGCTTCCAGGAGGGCAATTGCAGGGGCAGGATTTTCCGTCGATACGTAAAGTTGGACAATGGTAAGGATCAATCCAACGTCATTTGGTCGCTTCTCAAGAAGTGACAAAGTTTGCTTTAAAGCGGCTTTTCCGGTTTTGTCTTCGGCATGAGCTGCAGCGTTGAGAACCGAAAGGCCGTTGATTGATGGTGAGATAGTTGGTGATGAAGAAGCCAAGATCTTTTTTAATGTAGATTTCGCTACGCCTCCGTATTTTAACGCCTGTAACTCAACTGTGTAATGATTTCGTTCCAGAATGTTCGCTTGATGCTCAAAATGCTTCTCTCGATGCGATAAGTTGGGTACTGAGTCGAAAACTCGTTTCAAAAGGTACGGGTTATCAATTTCGGTCGATGTAGCTAATACATTATTTTGAGCGATTATTTTGGTTTGAGGTTCTGGTACACTGTAGGGGTCAGCTTCAAGCTCAGTAAACATGTTTGGCATACATACTCAGCGAGATTGATCATCTTGGTCAATGACTTGGCCTCTTCAGTTTTACCCAATTTGGTCAGCACATATGCCTGTTGTACCATAATGGGCAAGACTTCTGCTCTCTTTTCATCATCACTCAATTCGTCCAGAGCCTCACACAGATCCCTTGCCCGCTTTAACAGGAAATTTCCCTTGTTATAATCTCCCTTTGCGATATGCCCGCATGCAACATTATACGCCGTCTCGAATGCCTCGAAATCGTCGTTTTTGCTCTTCAATTCACTTTTCTCGCCCTGCCACGCTAATTGCACATCCACAGCCAGTCCATTGATCCTCAAATCCATTAATTCATCTCCAGCTCCCACACTTTCTGCGAGGTGTTTGTAAAGTTCCTCCGCATCCGCAAATCTCTCGGCACGATATGCGACTTGCGCAGCAACATGTTTCAAACCCCTACTATTACCTCCTTCACAAACTTTCGCTGCATCTTCCAGTTTGCCTGTCTTATACAGAGCATAAGCGCGCTCCAAAATACATTGAGAAGCCAGTTTATCTCCACCATCATCGAGCGCTTTTAGTGCATCGTCGTATCGGTCGAGTTTAAGGAGGGCGACGGCGCGGGTATGTAAGGCATTGGAGTCGAGCTTAGAACTCTTTAATACGTCATTTGTAGCTTTGAGTATTTCATTATGGTCCGTAATTGAGGAATCGCGAAGGAGTGCGCTGAGGGTTGCGGTATGGCTGGCCATTTTTTGTGTTAAATTTGTTGAATGTAAGGCAATACTGTAGCCATGCAGTACGGAGATGGTGTCAACAGCTTGGGGTAGTGGGGTGCAAGGAGGGAGGTGGACTTAAAAAATAACCGACATCGATCTCCTGTTAGTGTGGCAGAATTTCACCGCTTTGTTAATCTAACCTTACTGCACGCGACACACAACCATATTCGACACGCAATTCTCTAGAGAGTACAGATAACAATACCCAGGAACCTTTCGATATTCTAAGTCGGATTTGACCATCAAGTGAGCTCGTAGGCTCTGCCTTATCATAGAAGCGTCGTTGAGTATGAGTTACCATCATATAATAGTACCATCAGATACCTGAAGTGTCACAAGCTTCAGATCCTCAGAAACACTTTTTGATTTCCCAGCTCAGGCTTAACCATCAGTAGCTATTGGTGTTAAACCTAGTTAAATTAATTGTTGTGTTATTTCTATTTCAAGTGCGGTTCATCTCGCAATAGTGTGTTCGGTATAGCAGCCTATTCAGAATGTTCAGGCAAAGCTTTGCAATCAAAATGTTCTACCAAATGAACTGAATGCCCAGAGGGTCGAGTCTTTCCGATGGGTTAAGAGATTCTAATCAAATCAAAGCTTAAGACTATCGTTTGATGATTCTCCCGAGTTGAAACATTAGATTCAGCAGGTAGACCCAAATGAACTGGGAGATTAAAATTGCATGAAGCATTCAAACGAGTTGGAAGATTCAAATCGACTGGAATATAGAAATGAATTTGATTATCACAATAAAAATAAGCAAATCTGAATTCAAAGTCCATGAAGGGTTTTGTGTAGAAAACTCCAAGAGATTGCCGAGTCTGTCTAATTGAAGGCTCTTGTTCCTTTCGGCTCTAAGGGAGCATACGGTTGTGATTTCTTATGTGTTTTCACTTTGCTGCTGCAAGTTTTAATACACAAGGGCCAAAATGTTTCACTTTACGCTCATTCCGTCAAAACTTCATGGGTGCTACTGCCTCTCCTTTAGACTGGTGAGTGTTTGCATTCCTAAAAGGCTTAGGTGGGCGCTGCATGATAGTTTGGGCAGCGTCAGCTTGCTTTTCGTCGCGACTATTTGGCGGTCATGAAATAATCGAGAGTGCAGAGAAATTTGAGGAGAAGCTGGAGGAGCATGATCGAGATGATTAATCTCAACCCTCTGCGCTGGGCCATATATGTTACAGTGTTCTTTGGGCATTTTGGGTTGCGGTAGTTCTGCGACTACATGCTTTCGGTCGATGTATTTTTCCTTACACTGTTGGGTGATCCGTCCTTGGTACGACAACCAAAGTCTGTCATCTGATTATACCAGTACATTTGCCAGCTTTGATTCCGTTGGAGGAACCCATCGCCATAGGAATTTCTCGCTTAGCAACCTCTTCCAAGGCGACATCCAGTTGTTCAACAGCTTTTCGCAATAGTGTATCATAGGAAAAGACAAATTCCGTCTTCGGTATCGCCAAGAAGCATCGCGCTTCTCTTACCAACGTTGAGTTGTCCAACTCAATGTCGCCGATGAGTGCCCATTTCCCTGAATTATGGCAAGGAACAACCAATTCAACAGGAAAAATTCAGGAAGTGCGTACTTTCCGCCTTTTGTGATATTATTGGCCTCATGTAATTCACACACTTCAGTGTAAAATATCCCGTACTCAAGTTCTGGCTTTAGTTTCCCCTGTGCGTCAAGAGTTGCAGCGACGGAAAGTTTGAGAATTATAGTGAATAGTTTTTGGTTTTGGACCTCCTCATCACCGGTCTTGATTCGTGATGGTATCACTGGCGCAACAATACTTCAGCTCCTTCTCGCATCTTCAAATATAAATCGAGCGTCTTAGCATTATCAAAGACTTTGCCACCAAGCAATGATGTCAAGTTGTGCCAATGACCTTTGGGAAGTCTCGCCATGGTCGAATGCTTTGTGAGAAGCCTCGGACCAAGTAGCAAAATCTCCTGGAATAAATACGCTGAGATGGCGCACTAGATTGGTGACATCCCCAACATCGTTCTTTACATACGCGGTAAGGCAGTTCTTACTAGCCTTGTTTTGAGCATCTTCAAATATACTCATGAGATCTCCGTACGTGAACGGAACTTTTAGGAAGCTAATAGGGCTCGGAAATGCGATGGATTCGTTGACCACTGATGAGGATCTACTTGCGGTATCGGAGTGGGAGACCAGTCTTTCTTGACTATCGGTGAGAACAATGGTACGCAAGTGCGCTACATAAATGGGTGAGCACACAAGTGCTCCGCTCAAAATCTGTCTCTGTATAAAAGCTGTCTTTGGCTAAGCAGCCAGTATCATAATTATGAATGCATTCTGCATGTACATTGAGTTGAGAGCTTTCACGATGCATGAATGAGCACAAAGTTTCTATAATACGATGAGTATTCATGGTGAATATGTTAAACTTTCCGAATTACTGTGAAACAACCCTCAAGAAATCCAGCTTCCGCCCAAGGAACAATCCTGCCCTGTTGATCAAGTCTTAATCTTACCACTTGCATGATGCAAGGTTTATGAGTCTACTACGCCACTGATGACTCGCATACTTTTTTAATTCTTTAATATGTGCTAACCTTCCTAGAAATCAAGATTTCAATGTGTAGCCGGGACTGAAAGACACAGGATCCTCATTAAATCATGTGCGGATTTTAAATCAATCTGTCGTGTCGCACACCACATCCGTGAAACGACACTTCCATCTGATACTACAACTGCAATGATACTGTCATGCATATCTCAAGACCTTTGCTTAAGTCCATTTGATATTTGAATTGAGATTATGGAAAGATTCTATCAGAAATCCGAATTAATGCTCATGTAGAACTTTCTCCTCACTTTATTCCATAGATCATCAGCTTTATAGATCGATTCAATCAAGTTTCCCGCCATTTACATTTGGGCTTAAATATTCTACTTCATTTCCTTTCAAAAACCAGTTACTACAAATTTGTCCAGCACCATAAAATTGCAGATACACAAGTTCAGAATCTGTGGACCTATTTCTAACAATCAAGCAATTAACGATCAGAATATGCGATAAATGACCAACTAATCTTTGCACCCTTCGTATTCACATTCCAATCAACAAACCCGTATTTTCCTTCCAAATTTATTCAAAGCTAGCAAGAGGACCTGATCAGGGTCAATCAGCTCGTCAGTATTCAACCGAACTTCCATTCCAGTCCACGACATCCAATGAAAAAAATCCAGTAATTCAACAAATCAAATCAAATCAAACAATCTTAAAGTTTTCCGCAAGCCCAACCCATGATAAACTTAACTTAAATGATTAATCCTTGCTAACTTTGTATACTTTATACAGTACTAGTATATCGAATATACATGAATCAAGACCCTGAATCTTCGGCTGATGAAGTGGATATTCGCTAATTAAGGGGTATTGATGAATACACGTTACAGGATGGAAATGCTTATCAACGAAACCCATATCGCTTAGGATGAATGTGTTTAATGTTGCTACTTTTGATTGAAGAATACTGACGCAGAAAATGTTGCGTGTTTTGCATTCTTTTGTCACGACTTCTAGTAAGTAGGTATGTGAATCTATTGCGAACGCGATCAGATGGGTCACTTATCCCAGCACCAATACTCCTTTCTGAAGTTTACACAATAGCATATTCCGATCATCACATGAGGATTATCAACGAGAAAACAATATCAACAAAAAATTCCGCAACCAATAAAGATATATTCATGAAACATAAACTGTTCTCCGTCCCTAGACACAGTAATATCCCCCATCAAACCCCCCAAAATTATCCTCTCATCTAAACCGCCTCATCAGCTGCCACACTCTCATAAGCACCACCATCATCCCCACCCCTCCTCATCTCCATTCTCGAAGGCGTTTCATACATTTTCGTATAATTCACTACCTGACCTCCCAACATTGCCGCACCGTTTTCTCTCTTCCCAAAAAGTGGCGCTGGATCACACCAGAAATCTTTACAGTTTCCGATGCAACCGCGGGAGAAGGGATTTTGAGGTGCCCGGCGTCGGTTTTTGCTTCCTTCGTAGCCATGGAAAGCGGTTTCAACGAATGTGTCCACACCGAGGATTTTCTTCCACTGTGCGAAACAGCCGGCTTTGTGAGCGTGATGATGACCGTGGCCACCTGGTGCGTGGGTTGGTGGTAAAGCGGGATCGGGACCAAGTCCAGCGTTTCCGACTTGACCCCCTGATCTTGATGTAGCGCCAGTAGTGAGAGCATTGGTAATGGCTTGGGAAGTTTTGCCTCCGGCGTGTGTACCGCGCATATTTTCCCAAGTGGTCATAGCTCTCGAGATCTGAATCAATTGGACGAATAGTAACATAGTAACCCATGTCAGTTGCAAGATTGCCCATAATACCAACACTAAAGTGTAAGAATCCGAATTAACAATTCCACATAGTGTAGGAGAGAGAAAGTTGCACTCCTGCTCGCCCTTTCCAACGAAGCCTTCAAAGTCTTAATCTCGATTAGTATTGATTCTAGGAAAAAGATTAGATTGACACTTACATCCGATAGCAACTCTAACTAAGAAGATAATTCCGAGTTCCAAGCACACGAGATAGAGGAAGAAATGCCTATGATTATTGACACCGACACAGTTGTTAATCCAAGGACAATGACTAGGCCATCATGTTAGTAATCCTTTTCAAGAAAAAGGTGTATAAGATGAGCTTACTGGTCATGCTTCGCTACGCATCTGTTGCATCTCCTGCAATGTTTGCTTCTCAGAGGTTGGCGAACCATGCAATGAACACAGAAATTTTGCTCGTCAAACTTCCACACACTCAATAGTTCATCAATTACAGCCTTTTGCTGGGTTAAACCGCCCAGCTTTGGAACATGACCCGGCTCGTAGACCATTGAACAAAAGTAGAAATACCCAGTAAGACTGTAGAAGGCAAAAAACAACAGGTTGGAAAGAGGATAAGTGCCATAGGTAGCTAACGTTGTCAGTATAAATTCTCATAACAAAAGGGATTCTCGGTACAAACCTGGTAACAAAGTTGTCATCCATCTAACGCCAACCCAAAATAATGTAGCGGCAAAGATTCCTGCAAGCCAAGGCTAAAATTACATAATCATTAGTGTTGCTCTTGAAAGTGATGTAGAAAGTCTTTTTAGACATACCGTTTTATGTAAATGCTTCATATCTGAAGGCGCATACTCCAATACCTGCTGGGCCAACCACTGTAATGAATACCCAAAGAACAACGCCATAGGCACACCAATAAATATTACCATTTGACTACTGATCATGATCATCGTCCAGAGAATTAGAAATGGCCATAAAAAGAAGAACTTGTTCATGAATGCGCGTTTATCCTTTAACAGCCATGATGACATGGGAAAGCTGATAAGAACCGGCTTGGCATCCTCGTCGTAGCCACACTCTGTAAGAGCTTTGTGCCAAATTCTTTCCGTCTTCATTTCCTGGGCTGTGATAGCTGGGGTTTTGCCAGTCGAGGTTTCGGCAAATCTATCCGCTCCGTATTCAATTAATTTTTGTATGCATCCCTGAGATCCCTTTACCAAAGCCCAATGTAGTGCGGTGAATCCAGTTTCATCCGTGGCATGAACATCAGCACCCCATCTCAAGAACAAATCTACGCAACTCGGTAATCCCTTGTACGCCGCCCACATTAAACAAGTATGTCGCTGGCTATCAAGCACGTCGACATTAATGTTTTGATGTAGAAGAAGAACGAGCAGGAATATATTCCCCTCAAATGTAGCCAGGTGGAGAATGTTGTATCCTTGGACATCCGTGATCAGAGGATCAGCGCCATTTTCCAGTAATAGGTGAACGATATAATAATGGCATCTTTGAGCAGCCCACATTGCCGGTGTAGCTACAGACTCTCCTCCTTTCTTATTCACATCCGCGCCGGCTTTCAAGAGAAATTGACACATGGCATACTGGTTGTTAATAGCCGCCCACTGTATGAATGCGTTAGTTAGGGAAATCTTGCACAATGGGAATCGAGTCGCACATGTAAAGGTGTTATGCCCTCGCCGTCACTATAGGTAGCATCAAATGTGCCATCATCGAATAGCTTTTCTACCGCTTGAATGTCTCCTATCCGAGCAAGCTGCATTATATCCGCTGCGGGCTGTTCTGGAGGTGTCATTTCCCCAAGCTCTACATGATTATCATCACTGAGAGTTGGCGCCACGACATTTGACTTTCCACTTGGCATTATTGGAGCATTTTTCTTCGAAGAGTCCGTTCCAGAGGAGGGCTTCGAGTCTCCGAGGGCCATCTCGGGACCAAGGAAACTGGATTGAGAGTGTTCGAGGTGTCGAGGGGATGAAGTCGATTACGGTATGTAGGATGTCAATCGTGAACGTTATGACAACATATACATAAGAATACAGTAAAGCAAAGAAGTCAATAATTAAGGAGAAACACAGTGAGGACGGAGTTTTATCATTGAGAGAGCTGACTAGTTGTATTCTCCGTGGCTTTCGATTGAAATTATATTCCTGCTTACATGGACTGGCATAGAGTGCATACAAGGCTGAGCATCCGTTGGTACTTTATTTTAGGATCTGGCTTGCCTTGTTGCGGAAGCGGTGACAGGGGTAAAGTCAATTTTCTATAGCACAGCTCAGCATGTGGAACCCCCTAAATGACATGCACATACGACGGATCCGTCACCATAAAATAATTTCCATACTCGTAGCCTTGTGAAAGAACAACACCACCACAAGACAAGGAAAAGGCCACTTGCGATATCACCCCATCATTAACGTGGAGACTTTCTCTCATATGTACCTTGAGTCTGCCGCACTGGGTGAAAGTCGTTGATCCTCAAGTTTTTGGACAAGAACGTTCTTTTCCAATTGGCCATGTCTTCTTCGCAGGATTGGATTCATACTCTTATGAACCCCTCGCCGTTGGGCTTGATCATTACAATTATCCTGGTCCTTTCGATACCGATATTCCTCCACTCTGTAGTCTTTCGCGCAACTGGTTTCACATCTTTACCCTCGATTGTGTTAATTGGACCAAGCGGCGCAGGCAAAACGGCACTTCTTACTCTTGTAAGTAACTCAACAGAAGAGGCGTTTGTCGCATGAGGTGAGTAACCACCACAAACACTAATCATCGATTGTAGTTCGAACGAGAGAACAAGCCTGCAACCACTCATACTTCTCAAACAATTTCATCTGCCGAATGTTCTCTACCGGTAGATGCAGTAGCTGCCTCGAATAAATATCGTTCAGTCAATGATCCTACCAATCAAGTTCACAAGAAATTCCTCTTAATTGATACTCCCGGGCATGGAAAACTGCGACACCATGCATTCGAACAGCTCTCAACTTCTCAAAATCTTCGAGGTGTAATATATCAAGTCGATGCTACTACATTGGGAGCTGGAGATGAAGGTCTAAGAGAGGCTGCCGATTATCTACACGATCTACTTCTCCTCATGCAAAAGCTCATGGATGGAAAAACTACCACAAAGGCGCCTCAAGAACTACCAATACTCATTGCTGCCAACAAGATGGATCTATTCACTGCTCTTCCAGCCGCATTAGTCAAAAGTAGTCTGGAAAGAGAAATTACCAAAGTTAGAGTCTCGCGATCGAAAGGTCTACTTGATTCGGGAATGTCTACAGAGGAGGACGAAGATAAAGATGAATGGCTTGGAGAGATGGGTTCTACCGACTTCAAGTTTTCACAAATGGAGGAGTTCAACATCTCTGTTGAAGTAGCTGGTGGTAATGTAATTGGATCTGATGGTGGATCCGTTGATGCTTGGTGGAGGTGGGTAGCCAACAGATTATAAGCGAATGAAGCTTTTTCCGCAATCCACATTCTAGGATTCATCTGATACCCCTCATGAACCTTATCTTCACGAGTTCTTCCATGTGAATAGCTCATCATTTCAATTGGGATGATAAACTTTTATTTTATAAGTATTTTAATGTTATTCTAATGAATTTAAGATGTCTCGACTGCTTTATTTTGAGGGGCTTAGCTAAGCTCTAGCTGTTATGGTCACATTACATGATTCACCATTGAAGCTAGCAGTTCGCATTCTTTGTAACGTCATTACGCTGTACAATAAAATCTAATTGAATCAATTCACCTTATATATATCCGCAATGGAAACACTTTCTTCTTCAATATACTTTCTCTCATTCACTGTATTCATTTTCACCCTAAAAGACAACTTAATGAATGGTTGTTCTGGCCATTCACTTGATGGTCATACTTGAGAACCACCATCAAACTATAAATTGGCAAGACCGGCTCGAAGTTACAAAACACACTCAAAGCTTTTGATCAACCACAATACAAAAAAAAATGTCCTCAACAATCCGATTTCCTCCAGCCTATGTATTCAAGTTTCTTCTTGGCAATAAGGAAATCAGAGAATTAGAAGATGGATTGGATGGGTTTGGTGCGTTGCGATATACAATTCAAGAAGCCGAAGTGGGACTCACGAGAATTCCTACGAAGGCAAGAGTGGAATTTGAGTTGAGGAAATTGAAATTCATGACGGTTGACGTCACGAATATTGGAGGAGCGACAGCAAACTCAGGGGAAGTGGATGTCGAGGTGAAGGAGGAGATGGGGAGGAAGAGGAAAGCTGAGAGTGGAAAGAGGGAGCGAAGAAGTGTTTTGAATGATAACGGGAATGAGGTTATCGAGCTTAGTTCTGATGAAGACGAAACTGAATCCGAGGAAGAGGAGGAGGAGAAAGGGGGAATCGTTAGGAAAAAGTTGAAGTCAGCTGATGGGACAAGTTCTCCTGCTCCTATTGGAAGCGATTATGATCGAAATATTGTCAAAGTTCAAGACATCAGCAAATTTCCAAATTACGTCAATGTGCAGAATACTTTCAAGGTTTTGAAGATCGATTGGTATTTCGATTCAATCAAAGAAGGAATGTTGCTTCCCATAGACAAATACCTAATATACGAAGGACGACGAGTAACGGAGCCACCGAAATCTCTCCCTTCAGATCTCCTTACTCGCGCAGCAGCTGATTCAGGAGGCTCTCCTAATCACAAATACAGTACCCATTATCGACAGCAACAATCAATCAAACCACTTACCCGGCCCACCCTCCTCACAGAATCCACCTCCGAACATGACGACCCATCACATTTCCCCCCATTACCAGAATATCTCAAAACAATCTACTCTTGCGAAAGACCCACCCCCTTAACCTCTCCCAACGATCCCTTCATCAACCAACTGAAAACCATCAAGCTAAAGCGTCTCCTAGACGACGACCCCATCGGTGTTCTCGCCTATAGCACTTCTATCGCCTCCATAGCAGCTTACCCATACCCCCTCCGCTCACCCAACGAACTCATCCGTCTCCCGGGATGCGACCAAAAAATCGCCAATCTCCTCCACCAATTCCTGAACACAGGAACCACAGACGAAGTTCTCGAATTCGAAAGAAATCCCCGCATGCAAGTCTTAAAAACCTTCTACAACATCTGGGGCGTAGCCGAAATCACCGCACGCGAATTTCACGATCAAAGAAACTGGAAAGATCTCGACGATGTCGTGGTCGAAGGCTGGAACGATCTCAAACCGGTCCAAAAAGTCGGAGTCAAGTATTACGAGGAACTTAATTCTACGATTCCCCGCTCCGAAGTCGAAGCCATCGGTTCCATCATTCTTTCCGAGGCGCGGAGAATAGATCCCGGGTATCAAATGGTTATCGTAGGGGGATTCCGGAGAGGAAAATTGGAAAGCGGAGATGTGGATATCATGCTCACGCATCCGGATGAGAGTCGCACGTTAGGATTCCTCCCGGAACTAACATGGAGATTGGAGGAACAGGGATGGATTACGAATATTTTGCAGGAATCGATGAAGAATAGCGAGCGCGGCCAACGGGCTGTAGATCTGGGTTGGAAGAAAGATCAAGCGCGAAAAACGGGATTTGATAGTTTGGATAAGGCGTTGGTGGTTTGGCAGGATATCAATTTTCAGGCTGAGGAAGAAAAAGAGGGGGGAGAGAGGAAGAAACGCAAAAATCCAAATCCGCATCGCAGAGTGGATATTATCATTACGCCGTGGAAGACGGCCGGGACGGCGATTATTGGGTGGTCGGGGGGAACGACGTTTCAGAGGGATTTGAGAAAGTATTGTAAGAAGAAGAAGAATTGGAGATTTGATAGTAGTGGGATTCGGGAGCGGGGGACGGGGGAATGGGTTGATTTGGAAAGGGGGGTGCAGGTGGAGGGGTTAGTAAACGGCGATATAGAGAGGGGTGGGATGGAAAATGGTGATATGGAAGGGAAAATGGAAAAAGATATGATTGAAGTGTTAAGGAAGAAGGAAATGGCCGTTTTCAAAGGTATAGGCTTAGAATGGAGAGAGCCATGGGAAAGATGTACTGGGTAGGAAAGGGAATATTCGAGGATTAATTTGTGACAACAATTGAAGGTTACAGATATGTTAATATTATCATCGTCTGAATAAAATCATGTTCCAGCAAGTGAGAAAATAAACCAAACTTGCATCCTTAATACTATGAATGATTCAGCACAGGGAGAACTAGATACATCATCGGTTATGAAAATGACGCAATCAAGCGCATTACCCCCTTTTCTATAGCTGCGGACCTTTTACATGTATATGGTTCCATATCTATAGCTATCTATTTATACCATGGAAAGGCAAGTGACGAAGAATTACAAGCGCTAATCGAAACAAGTAACACATTGAAATGGCATTTTTTATACCTAATTAAGTATGAACCCTGATGTGAAATATTTAATGTACTGTGAAACATGAAAGCGGTTTGGTTGCGGTTGTCTGAATTAGATGGTGGAATTGTCAGAAAGCGTTTGGGTCCACTGGTCATCAAATTTTGATTGAAGTGCTGAGGGCGCCATAGAATATTCGATATTTTCATTCGTTGATCCAAGATTGGAAAATGGGAAATGCTAGCGCAAGTGGTATTTCTGATTGGTCTCAGTTTGCCTAGCTAAACAACAACTCCTGTGAATCATTTAGAGTTTTAACGTTCTTTCCGTCTCTCTCGATAATTTCGAAGTCATATTACGCAAGTCTAACAAAGATTAGTCGGCAAAAAACGTGGAAGATGACAATTTATAACCAACCTTTCAATTAAATGCAAGCCAGAAGCAGTTTCAACCACATGACTAACTTCACCTGGCTTTAAAGCGAAAGCTGCTTCCTCAAACTCTTTCTGCATATCTCCCCGTCCAAAGAAACCAAGATCCCCCATCTTACGGGCAGAGCTGCAGTCGGATTCGCTAACGGCAAGGTCACCCAATGATGTTGTTCCAGAACGGATATGAGCTTCATGTTGAAGAATAATGCTCATCGCCTCTTCCTTTGTGCGTGTGATTTCGGCCTATTATTTTATTAGTCATATTTCCTTGCGCACAATGAAACATTGAGGTTTCTCGATCGTTGATTGTTGATTTCGAATTTGGGTCACGGAGAAAACGAACCTCGCGCCAACTGCTCGGCCTTCTGCTGCCCTTGTGCTTCACCAGTAAATGACTGGCTCTGATCTTTCCTGATTGATCTTCCTGGCCATTGGCATTATCTCCAATCTCCGAGGCGCTGTAATGCTCGGCCATATATGCCTTCAGCTTTTCGGTATCAGTGTTTGCTGGAGGCTCCCAGCTTGATATCGTTTGCGCTTCGTTGAAATAGTAGGGAATGTTCTTAGATTTTGAAGTGCGAACTTCCCATCCTGCTGGTAGACCTGCGTCCGTCTATACAATGAGGTTAGTAAAGCTCGAAGGGTATTTACGTTACAAATCCAAAAAGTTCAGCCATTAAAGATATAGTGAACATTGAAAGTGCAAAGGGAAAACGTTACCATTGTGTAACTGGTTTTTTATAGTCGAATGTGCTACAAATGATTCGAATTTGTGATGAATATTATTGATGAGTCTTTTGATATAGATTTTTGTGACTGTCTTCTTGTTATTTATTTTTGATTGTATTTTTCCAAAGGAAGAGAGAGGCGTGAAAGGAGATGATGCATTTAACTGGAAGGAACTATATCTTGGTCACAGGGCGAACCCAATTAAGTTTAGTGGCAGGCGGGGTTTCCCTTCTTTAGTCACCACCAAGCAACAACCAAGTCAATCGTGCCAGCTTATTAAGGTGACAAGGACTTTCACTCACAAGGATTACAAAAGAGTTCTAGTCCAGCCAAAAGTATCCACATCGAAATCCACTCGAGCCATAATCTATCATTCATCGACATTTCTCAGCAACGCGACGCAACGAGAGAATCTCAATATTATACAACATCAAAGAAGAATATTATTATTCTTCCTTCTTCTACGATCAAAACATCGACTTCAACTGGCTCTAGGTGCTGAATAACGACATTTATCCACGAGTATCGTGACGATTTATCTATTGCGACAAATTCAATCCTAGAACACATCTTTCAAAGAAATATCATCATGGCATCTCCATCATCCAGTTCTGGCGAAGAGCCCAAGAAGAATGAGGAACAAATCACTTTCAGATTCTGTAGCGAATGGTAGGTTCCCATCGCCCCCTCAAAGGTTTTCTCGCATCTGCTAACGATTATCTAGTTCAAATATGTTGTATCCAAAAGAGGACCCCGATACCCACCGCCTACAATTCGCATGCCGTACTTGTCAATATTCAGAGGAGGCTGTCTCCTCTTGTGTCTTCAGGAATGTTCTTAACAATGCTGTCGGTGAGACTGCAGGTGTCACTCAGGATGTTGGATCTGATCCTACTGTGGGTTTACCTTTATGTCTTTTATGCGGCCATCTGGTCATTTGTGAGGGAAGGGTGGCAAACAGGCTGGGTGTGGAGAAGCTTTGAGGGGAGAAGATTTTATGGACGGACTTTTGCGGAAGTTCTGGTGGCTGTTGTGGTCTCTTTGAAACCTCCGCTGACATCGATTTTCTTTGGTTCTAGCTTCCACGATCCAACAAGACTTGCCCTGCTTGCAGAAACGAAGATGCTGTATTTTTCCAGTCTCAACAGAGATCTGCGGAAACGGGAATGGTAAGCCATCGAATTTGCGAATATTTTCAGACCTTGCTAACGGGCGATCCTAGAAACTCTTCTACGTATGCTGCGGGTGCGGTCATATTTTCCAATGATACCCCGGGTTTCGATTTTTAGAGAAGGCGTTGTTCTTTGGGGAAACGGGCATATGGAGTCTATCACATGGATTGGGGATACATAAAAACACATTATCAAATTTCTGCGGCATGTCAATATGGGGGAGAATATAATTTTTCATTGTCCAAAATTCCTTTAAAACGCCGGATTTGCTATGCTACATCAATCTTTTTTTTATACAGTGATATCTACAGATGCATAGGTGCTAGTGATAGAATTTTTGACCACTTCATCTTTCTTAATTCTGTGCCAACCACACCTGTAAAATGTTAACAAAGAAAACATATTGAGGATAGTCGAGACTACTAACCGTTTAATCTTGTTCCAATGGGTTCTCCAGCTTTGTTGATTAAAACGCAAGCATTATCATCGAACTTGACGACACTTCCATCTGGTCTCTGTAACTTTTTGACCGTCCTAACCACAACTGCGTGTCTAATATCTCCTCTTCTGACCTTGTTCGCTGCGGATGTAGAAACACTTGCACCGGGACCGGACTCTGAGAAATTACGTTGCTTTTGTACGACGACGATAATGCGATCTCCTAATTTGTATTGTTAGAATTGGAATCGACGAGACGAGGCTGTGGGGGGCGTTGTGGAGGGAGGGGGACATGGTAGGAGGGGTGATGTAGAGAGGGGTCCGAACCAATTTTTGCATGTCTCTTCATTTTTAAGACCTTGGCGCATTCTACCACGGCGGCGCCAGAATTGTCGATGCAATTAAGCATCGTCTATATGGTGATAGTTAGCACAATATAAAGTGATGCGCGCAAAAGCAGATAAATCAATAAAAGCATTTTATGTATGCGCCGGGCACAACAGAAGGAAAGTTATCCAGTATATATCAATGAGGGTATTTCACGCAGCAGAACAAACAGGTCATACCTTTAGTTGAATCATCTTATGGACAATACGTGGTGGAGAGGTTCACTTTCGTATGGCTGGAGATTCTCTATATATCTCCTTCTCTCTCTGCATTGTATGGTTACCTCACTATGGTCATCGTCAAATTATTAGGACACTAGTCTATTTTTGGTATAGGCGATGTTTACCCACGCCTCAATATTCCAAGTTCTACTTCCAGCCTCTTTTATCTATTGTCCTATCTTGTTGAGAATGGCTAATAGGGGTGAAAAAATATACTTCATCTTCTGTTGAAGGTCATCATGTATCTTAAGGAAACAATTATTCACTCCTTTCCTGCTTACTTACTTTCGTCCCTCTTTTTCTTCCCGTTTGAAGCATTTCAGCGTTCTCGTTCTTCGATTCTCAATTCCGCATAACGTAACTTTCGGAGTTCAGCACATAAGTATTTGCTTCTCTTTTATTTCAGTAGGCCAGGGAAAATAGCCCGCGAGGACGTCCATTTGGAAGAAGTGAATGTGTTAGGATCACAAAAATCAGCTCGGACACGTTTTTCGTAGGCGACGAGCCACTTGAATCATTCATTCGGTCTGATATTCCAATTTATTGCGAGCCGTACATCCATACACTCACTTGGATATACAATCTGTTTCAATCCTTTCCGCATCTTTCCTGCAACACTATCCACTTCTATTTTTTCGGCATCACGACTGGCTTTGTTTGTAGCCTATAACTTCTGTACAATCGCATACTTACACATCACTTGAACCGTCACAATGCCTCCAAAATCAAACGCAACGAAGAAGGAACGACTTACTCTGGCTCAATTATGGTCATACGATGATATATTGACAGATGCGCTTGTTGACCAGGTAAGTCTTTTTATATCATAGTCTCAATTATAACTTCTCCTAATATCAGCCGACAGGTTTACTATTGGACCAATATTCGCAAAAATCGCATCGCATACCATTCATCTCGTGGAATTAGAGAGGAAGATGTGACCAAAATTCTCCAAAATTCAGTCATCATTGAGAAAAACACTGCAAAAGCAGAGGCAGAACTCTTAGCTCTTCCAGGTCTCAAGAAATTTCAACAAAGTCTCAATTCGGAAAAAGAAAAGGAGGACTTTAGGCGTCATCTTAAAAAGTACATCAACATTTATCTACCAGATTGTCCATTCGAAGTTTCGAGCACGAATCGTTATACTGTTGTTACACATGAAGCGGCAGTTGTTGCGCGGAGGGAAATTAGAAAAGGAGAGGTAGTCAAATATCTTTCCGGAATTCAAGTAGTTATGACACCTGAGGAAGAAGAACACATTAATCTTCTGCGCAGAGACTTTAGCATTGTTATGTCAAGTCGTAACAAATCTGCATCACTATTTCTCGGACCAGCCCGATTCGCAAATCACGATTGTGGCGCAAATGCTCGTTTGATGACGAGCGGAACTGCCGGAATGGAGATTATTGCAGTTAGGGATATTGAGATTGGCGAGGAAATTACGGTCACCTACGGCGAGAGTTATTTCGGCGAGGATAATTGCGAATGTCTATGTAAGACTTGTGAGGATAACCGCGAAAATGGATGGGCCCAAGACGATGATAATAATGAGTCTATTCCCAAATTATCAATTGAACAGGAACCATCACCCCCAGAGGTACCAGGTTATAGCCTTCGACGTAGACGACGACTCACTTCTACGGTATCTGAATCGCGTTCCGAATCGATGACACCTGACATTAATTTACGACCACAAGTACGAAAAATGCCACCAAAGTCGGGTAGATCAGCTTCGTCAGCTCAGAATGGACGCTCTCCTGCTCTGGGCTCTCCACCTTCAGCCTCAAATCGGTCTGTATCTAAAGTAGACCAAGTTGATGAAGACAACCTACTATCACCAACAGGATCATCGAAGCGAAGAAGAATGCCTAGCGAGGAAGATTGTTCACCAAGTACTCCGAAAAGAAGACGACCATCTCAAAAGATTGAGCGTTCTCCATTAGGAGTTCTACATGGAGTGAACGGAAGCGAAATGCCTAGCTCCCCGGAATCGGATATACTACAACAAAACCTTCTGGTCGAATGGGACCAACCGGTAACTCCAGGTATGCCTTCACCAATAATAGATCCTGGAAGATCTCGGCCATTGAGATCAAGCACACTTAAACGAAAGAGAGACTCCGAGGAACCAACAGTTTCGCCATCCGACACGACAAAGCGATTGAAGAGCCAGTTTTCTGTAAAAGTTGAAGAGTTCACGCCTACATCATTTTATGGAAACAATGGCCATGTCACCTTACCAAGTTCTGCTTCAGAATCCAGGAGAGCAAGTTTCACATCCTCTCCTTCAGGGGAGGAAAAAGGGGAAACAGATGCAACATCAGTCGATGAAGAAGAGACGATCGTGGTACTAAATGAGAAACCTGTTTCTGTCGATTCTAAACCTAAGCGACAGGGTTACGTGAAAAGGGGAAATCATGGTGGTCGAAGAAGAGGGCCGTTGTGGGAAAAGGAAAAGCGAGAAAGGGCGGGCCAAACAAAAGTCATCACACCATCAGAAATTCAGAATGCAAAGAAGGCGCCATCAGAAGCTGTTCTCGTCAGTCCAAATACCAGCAAGTCACACCCAGCTTTACAAGATGATGCAGATTCGTCCGCCCTTTCCGATCTTGGATCCGACATGGAAATAGACGACTCAACAATGACAATCTCGAAGAAACTTCCGCAGCCCAAAATTCGACGACGCCGCAAAGGAGTAGTTGTACCATCAACTAATGATAAGGACCATGCGCCAAATGTACGAATTCCTGGTGACTACGTATTGACCCATGCACTTCTCGCTGAGCCAGCATCAGCATGGATCAATTGCAAGATCTGTGAAGAACCTTTTGTTCAGAAAGATGCATATTTTACTAGATCATCTTGTCCAAGATGCGAACGCCATAGTAAGCTGTATGGATACATGTGGCCAAAAACGGATAAAGAGGGCAAACATGATGAGGAGGAAAGAGTTCTAGATCATCGTACTGTTCATCGTTTTATCAAATCCTCGGAAGAAAAAGACATCAGGAGGAAGAGTGGACGCGGGAGTACTGGGAGTAGAGAAGTAACAAAAGAAGCTAGTGTAACTCCAGCGGCATCTGTTAAGATTAATGGGGTAAAGAAATCATTCAAGGCAGGTGGTCTATTGAGAGTGTATGGGAGGAAGAGTGAACGAACTAGGAGAGATAGATTCACTTTGTAATATATTTGAGGGAAGGATAGAAAGAAAAGGTTTATGATATGATAGACGACGATGGGAAATAGGGACGGTCGTGAGGTTTGGCACGCACATTCTTTTCTTGTGTTTTATATTGAAGTTAAAGATTTGGGGTATGGGCTACTATAACTACTGCGGATGGTGGTTGTAGCATGGTGTCTGGCGATTGGGATTTGGTTTGTCAACGGAAATTACTTACGGAATATCAACGGACAATGAGGAATGGCTTGTATTATACCGTTTGGTGGAGCGATGAAATTAGTGTACTATAGAGGAGAGAAGGATTCATATATTTTCTAGAATATTGTGTTGCATTGCTGCGTGCTGGATACATGGGAATGAATACAGTTTCTGATATCCTGTTTGTGTCATCTTTTTCTCTCTCGTTCAAAGTACTTGATACTGTTTCATTCACACCCTATATTTTCCACACTCTACAAACCTCGATCTTGTACCAGATGGCCCAAAAGCAAAGTCGTGCTTCACCCATCTAATCTTTTCCTCGTCACCTCGTGTGTTAGATTGGGCATCGGGCAGGTTTATCTGGGAAACTTGAGTATTTTGATGGATATACATTTTTTCTATATACTGTTGGACAGGATAAATGCCCTGCAAAATGTCGATGGAATTTTTGGAATTGGGTATAGTTGGGGATATCCTCATTTTGAGATAACAATTACAGAACGAGCACGTAGCATATATTCTGGTACCCCAATACCCGTATGGTTTATCGGACTACTACCCTGCTATGTGTCAATGGACTCGAGATGGAGTAGGATCAATATCCCGGGTATATATAGAACGGGTACCCATCCCTGCTCGTGTATTCTGAATAAGGAAGCTGGAGTATCTGACCTCGTTTCGTCTTACTCGATTTGAATTGATTTTTGATCGCTATACGTTTCCCTGTCCAATGGTGCAGAGGGCATACGCCCTGTCGGCTTGGATTCAGCTGGTTGTGTTGCAAGGACAACTACCATTGCGATACATGTACTTCTGGACTTGTACACACATGCATAAGTTATTTTAAAATAATGCATAAAATCCATGGACATTCCACCATGTTATAGTATCAAGTCTTCAATCAATCAAAATGACTTCTGTCCATTTTGATACCACGCTCGAAAAGCTCTATGGGCTCGACAAACAAGATCCCCGCGAAATCTACCTCTTTACATGATTCCAACAGCCACGCTTCAAATGACACAAGGCATACCCATTTCCAAAAAATATGTCTATCAAGATACTCTATCTCCTAACAACCTCGAAATCTAAGCGAGAATCTTCACTCAAATGGCTCCGCAACTCTTCGGTTTCATTGCAGGGAACTTGAATATCATCATGTTTGATCTCGATGCTCCCGACGGCGGAATCGATCCGCAGCCCCGAATAGATACACAAGATGTATTGAGTTGCATCACAGAGAGTCAGAGACCTATCGTCACTTATGTGCGTAGTGTGGAAGATATTATGCTTCCTCCCGATGCCCTCCTCGCCGTAGCCAACCCAAAGGATTGTCTCGAGCACTTTCCCTCCACAGTCCCTTTTGAGAACCACTATCGAGCGCTTTCGAAACGCGATTTGGTGGTCTCTGGCTTGCCGACTCCGGGATCGATAGCCATTGAAACGCGGTTAAATCCCATGCAAGTGCGGGATCCGCAAATGCGAGTCGAGGAAGTAACTCGTATGCTTGAGGTCATCAAATGCCAATCTACGCCCTTTGTGGTGAAATTGCCGCAAGCGTGTTCGGGACAGGGTGTGTTTCTCGTCAGAAATGAGGAGGAGAGGAGCACTGCACTATCGGTGTTGGAGACGGGTATAGATACTATGCTCCAACAGCTGAGTCCGAGTAATGAACATTTACACCCTAGCAATTTTATTGTGCAAGAAATGTTGTCTGGATCCGCGGTGGCTATTGCGTTATTCTTGTCTAAAGAGGGCGAGGTGTTGATTACATCTGTGTGCGATCAGTTTGTTGATGCGCAGGGGAATTGGGGTGGGGGTCATATTGATTATGCGGGACAGGAAAGTCGCATTGAAGAGTATAGAGCTATTGCGAAAAGAATAGGAGATTATATGCATACGCTTGCGTATTATGGTCCGTTGGGTGCGGATATTATGATGGATGCGAAGGGAAATCATTTGGTTATTGATTTGAATGCACGGGTCACGGGTTCGCACGCATTAGGGTTCTTGAGGGGGCATTTTAATAGAGAGAGAAGGTTTAGCGATGCGGCGATTTTGTTTCCGCTGTTTTTTAATATAGGGTTGTAGGGGTTCAGAGAAAGTTTTGTGGGGGAGTTGGCGGAGGGGAGGATGGTCGTTGCGGGGTGGTGTCATGGGAGAGGGAAGGTAGTGAATGTGGCGACGGTCATTTTGGCGGGGGAGGATCGGGACAGGTTGATGGATTTGGTGGGGAGAGTAAAGCAGCTTCAGATGATGAGGTCTTGATTGCAGAAACTGTGTTTGGGTGTTGAATTATGGCTTTGCTTGAGGGTGACAGAAAGAGCTTATCGAGTTACTTGAGTCATTTAGACGATTGTAAGCTGTGAGGTAATTATCAAGGGGCATTTCAATGTAGAGAATATTGACTCCTTTGCTTTAATCAACACGTTGTTTCAAGCCTATTCACCCTCTCGATCACTTTTCTCGCTATTATTCGATGAGCGATGAACTTGCTGCGAATCATACACTCATGATTTTGTATGAATTCCACCCATTCAATTGCAATCCATCCACCTCAAGTTCACAACATTCTGTTGCAAAAGAAATACACACCAAATCAATCCCACAAAACCATATCAACAAGCCTAGTCCGACCCGCCCCAAACATTTGGGAGTATGAAAGGCCTGTGATTTCTCTAAAACATATCCTCTTATTAGTGAAGGAGCAGAAACACATATCGAGGACTGAGGATCGCGAAAATATTGGCATAAGAAATCTTTCCAGGGGCTCGCTAGTACACTTGAAACCGAATAGAAGGATTTCGAAAAACAAGATACTGTGTTTAGAATGAATTTACACACTTCTAGCAATTACTTTTTCTCTATAAAAAAAAGACAAGATCTCCAGGTTAACACACCCAAGAAAGCAACAGAAAACAGTATTAGAACGAATCGAAGAATATCTTAAAATATCATCCGTACTCCGTTTATCTCATCGTAGAAGACAACTTTGTCATTCGAGAGTTGCAAGTCCGCGCGGTGTGTACAGTCTATTATTCTGCTTTCATTGAATGAAGCACGACTTTGCAGCGGACGACATCTGGCGGTATTGGGCAGAGATGATTCTGTCGTGCTGTGTGTATATTTGAAGAACTGGGGGGTTCTAGACGGGTTAAAATGATTGGGTGCAGTAGGTTGGCTGGGTCGACATCATTTAGATGAGTGTTCAGTCTCTCCTTGAAATGATTAGACGCCAATGAATCCTTCGCAAAGAACTCCTCGTTGAAAATTAAGGAGCTTCCGCCTAAATCGAGATAGAGACGTACACTATGATTGACCAAGCTCTTGAAGTATTCGTATTGTCGTTGATTCATAGTACAAAAACACAACGTCCAAATCCAAACAACCCCTCCCATGCACGTACAAATGTCCAATGGTCCAATCAACTGAATTCATCCAAGCTTACGAGGGCGTGTCTTTGATGAATGCCGGCCCATGCACCACCTTTATTTAATAACAACTCTCCATATAAATTCATATAGCAACACGTTATTTATTAAAACATACTCACTATTAAAATCTTATAATATAAATAATAATATTATTTCTAGATTACTAATCAACCATAAAAGTTGTTATCCCCATCATTCTCTATAATAAAATTATATATCTTTATAATATAAATGATAATATTATCAATAATCTTTTAAAGGATTCTAAACCACTTTTCCTTTCAAGCTATATGCATTTCTTCTATAATTGATAGATAAGTGCCTAGAGTCTTTTTTTTTTTAATCTTCTATCTTATATACTTCTATATATACTTTATAACATTTATATCGAAAAATTGGAGCAATTAATCTATATATCTAATCCCCTTTTTCTTCAGGAATTCCTTAATATAGGAAGCCTTATATGCTAATACATTATCTAATATCAAATAAACATCAAATTGATTATCCTTTTTAAACTCTTGTAATTATAATTCAAATAGAGATTCTAGAAAACCTTTAAAAAAGCAATACCAATCTATCCCCCCTTTATCTCAATTCCCTCTTTTATATACAATACTTTACTTATAAACCTACTTGCTAAAAACAAAGCCAAGCTTTTTAGAACCCTTTAGATTATAAGCTTTCTCTTCCAGTTATTTAGAGCTTTTAAAAACTAAATCATAAAATCAATTATACCCCTCATTCAAGTGTTTTAGATCTTCAATAGCCTCTCTCTTCTCCTCTAAAAATTCAATCGAATATATAATATATAATCCAGAACATTCCCCTAAGCATATTCCCCTAAAGAATTATCCATATCCATATTGTTGGTTCAAAGTAGAAGCCTGTTTGATATCTTTATATTCATATTTTTCTAAAGTATACTACATTCGATAAATATTTTTTTCAAAGCTTCATACTATAGCCGCATCAATAAATATAACTCTCTCAAAAATTTTCCTTAATATTTTTTGTAAATCTGTAGTTCCTACAACCCTTTTTTTCCAATATAAAACATTCAATTATAGCTTTTTCATAAATATAATATAAAAAAGACAATTCGCATACATAACCCTCCAAAAAATCGAAATGTAAATCTTTTTCTTATACATTTTATTCCAATTCGAAATATATTAATCTACAAATAACATTCTACTATTTCGAATTGTTTTAACCATAAAAACTAGCAATTGTTATTTATATAATTCCAAAAGAGATTGCTATCCTCAAATATATATATTTTCAATATTCAATATATCAACCAATAAAGAACATCTAGCTCCATTACATATATCATTCAATTCATTTCGATTTTGCATATACTTTTATATATTTCTTATAGTTTTTTCCAAAAATTTATAATCTCAATATACTACTTCTTTTTGAGCAGAAATGATTCTAGCCATTTGTATAATTACCTATCTAATTCCATCGGGTATCTTTTTTCGACTAATTTTAGATATCCATAGATGTATCCCTTTATTTTATTAATCTTTATAGAACATAATTTAATGATTTATATAAAATAATTAAATTTTAATTAAATTTAAAAGATTTAAAAACTGAAAACGTATTCTTGATACCACGCGGAAATGGGTCGTACACGGATCCGGCATTCATCAAAGACACGCCCTCGTACATATCTAGCTTACCCAGGTATACATTGCGGCTCAATCGAATCTCAAACAGCGACCGAAACACTCATCTCGGCACCGAAAAAATATCGGAACAATTTATCCGGCTTACTTCTTCCTACCCTTACACCCGCTTCCTTTTGTGCATCCTTCCGTGACGTCTTCCCGCATGTTTTGGGTGCTACCTGGTAGGTAGATGTGTATGCTTGTTAGGAATACAACATCGGGTTTACGTTTATGTTGTGTATTCCCGTTTTTTACTCTTTACAGAGGAGATAGAAACAGAACCAACAGAGAAAACAGTCGAGAAAAAGAAATGAATCAAACTCATGCCTACCAACTTGTCAAAAGCGAAACAAAACTGTGCGAGAAATACCTGGGTACAGTGACATCTACCTAGAAGGAAGCCTTGGTATCTTGGTATCTGTTGTGAGACTCTGGTTGAGCGTGTATGTATGTATATATGCGGATGCGAATGCGAGATTACAAATGAATACGAACTGCATACTTCGTCTGGCTACGATTTCCACATCGATATAACACAACGTAGGAAAATACAAAACACACAACACGCGACGCGACAGTAACAATGTAGTGCGAAATCTCCACTTGCAAGAGTCCAAGCATTAAGTAGAAGCAGTCAATTTCAAGAGATTATTCTTCTCTCTCCTCTTGAGCAAACAATTCCTTCAACCATTTACTAAGCTTCTATCAGAAACTTGTCTTGGCAGTGGCAGTGTGGCTTGCTGATCATCACCTCATATTATGCAGTTTGATGTTCTTGGCTAGTTTTGGCTGGCACACATGGGCAAAAGTGAGGAAACGCAGCACGAGTCAAATGTTTGTATTAGGATTGGAAAGTGTCGTGTGCTTCTCTCTTTAGGTTGTGAAGTTGTGAATAGAGTTGGCAAAAGGTGTGAAGAGCTTTATGTAGATAGAAAGTATATCGAGTTGAGTTTGAATAATTCTACTTTGCGTAGGTATCTAAAGTAGAGATAATGTTTGGGGGAAGCTTGAATGGTTCACGATGCACGATTGTGATGTAGGAGGTTATTATTAGTTGGTGGGTCGAGATGAATTCATGAAAGAATGGGGAAGAAAAGAGCCGGGGATTTAACGATCGATGAAGGGGTAAATGGATAAATGGGTGATTTAGTAAAATATATCGAAAAGGAATATTCTTCAAGAATATGATGTGTGAATGCCATGTCGAAAAAAGAATCGTCTAGGATTCATATATACATATGTTTGAATCTGAGTGCGAGGTCAGAATCTCTGTTTATCTATCTATTTATGCTATGATCTAAAATATGGACATCATAGAGTCGTCGTAAGCTATTCACATTCGTCTAATCTTAATTGATCCTTTATTTTCTTTTTCCTCACACAAACCCATAACTGCCTCTTCCTCATATCCACCTGGTAACTTTCTGAACATGTGAATGAATTGGCTTTGTCTTGGCCCCAGCTATTTGAAGTAAACTTGATCCAGACTCCAAGCAAAAATAACCTGTGATTAGATACTTGGCATGTGAAGAATTACTCTATTTGGTAAATACGCTTTTGTGGTAGCGGCGGGTTGATGAATACGCGGGAATATGTACCGTGGTTCTGCAGGTCTTCGAGTGATCAGGTCAGGGTCTGAGGCAGAGAGAAGATAGTTTGTTAGATCGTCGGGAGATCTCATTTTGCGTCGACGAGTAAGAATGGGAAGGGGAAGAAGTATGGGACTAGATAATATACTCTCTTATGATAAAGGAGAAGAGAAGAAGGGGATATGCTCTAGATTTCATGACTAGCGATGCATGGTCTCGATGCTTATTGTTTGCTGTATATTAAGAATTAGTTGTGAGGATTTAGTTAGCCGCTACTTGGTATCAAATTCATACATAGCCCTATTTACATCTTTTTAACCTGTCAACCAGCTCTTGAATAAATAAAGCTTTATATCACTTTGGTTCCTTCGGCTGCTTGATTTTCTTTTCTGCTTTCTGAACCTCGATTTTCGAGACTTTTCGTTATACTTCTCAATTCAAAATTTGAAGAGAAGTAGAAGAAGAGAGATAGCCCTTGCTTTCATTCTTGCTTCTCCATACTAACAGATCCGCACCACTCCTGAATATCAACTTCCAGTGTATTTAAATCCACCCAACGAACGAATACATTCATTTTCCTACTTATACGGCCGATTTCGATTTCTCTCGTTGTTTTGTATAATTACAATAGCTTTACCTATAACTCGACGATTTTAATCCGCAAATATCAATACATTTAATCTGTTTCTTCAAAGGCTTTCAAACCGAATTGTTATCAAGGGGTTTCTTTCCTCTTTATCTCCTACACCAAAAGCATACGTCATCCCTGCGGTAAACATAACGAGCAAATTATTTCGACACAAAGGAAAAGATTCGGATACGGAGTTTCCTATAGATATCTTGCATCGATACTCTTATATATATATATATATATATATCTGGTCCGGAATACTGTCTTGAAAAAGAAGGAATAAAAGAAGTCCTTCAATTGAGGGTTTCCATCGTGTTTTGACGTCTGGTGCTTGAGTCGGATTGGGCGGACGACATTTATACAATCCGAATATGGCGAATATACCATTTCCAGATGGCGAACCGCAATGGAATAGTAAACCACAATTCAGATTGCCGGGATGGGCGGAACCAGTTGTTAGTTTTCCTTCTGGACTTTTGTTCAAGAAGAAATGAATGGAGTTCCTCAACTAACGATTCTTTCACAGATGGTTGCTAGTATCTTGTTTGGATCTATGGTACTGACGAGAAGACATGGGTATAAGATATTCGATCGAAGGCGAAACACATATGGATTATTGAGTGAGGAACCCGATTCCGCACGCTCATCCGATGATTTGTTGGCTCGGGACTACATGATTGGCAGCGGACGAGATTCCGACGTCGATTCGATGTCGACGTCGAAATATCCCCCCAAGAAGAGAAGATGCTGTGGCACGAATCTCCTGACGCCGAACACCTCGAGATTTCGAGATCACTACCACAGTCGAATATTACAGAAGTTTCCATTTCTGATCGAGATGTTCTATTGGATTGTTACGTATGCGTTTTATCGATGTACGAAGGTCCTCTCGCAAGCTATGTTTTCCAAAATGGGCATTTGGGATGTGGCTCAGGATCATGGGTTGGCGATTTTGGAATTCGAGGAGTTCTCGTGGATGAGCTTTTTGTGGCCGGTGAGGGAACAGAGTGTACAGAGGTGGTTTTTAAATGGTCATGGGACGCTTTTGACCGTTTTGAATCGTTCTTATGCCTTGATTCATATTCCTGGTACTGTTGGGTAAGTTTCGGAAATCATGACTAGGCAGAGATGTCGAGTAGTTTTGGAGAATTTGTCTTTGACTAATACTTTTTTCTTGTAGATTCATCGCGTTCTGGTACTATGTAGCACCATCCCATACAACTTTTGCAACAGTCCGTCGAACCATGACTCTCACCAATCTTTTCGCCTTCTGCATCTTTATCCTCTACCCCTGTATGCCACCACGTCTTCTTCCCCCCGAGTATGGATTCCTCGACAGTGTCGGTCGCAATAACGCGCAATCCGTTTGGATGCAAGGAAATTATGTCAACTCGCTCGCCGCCATGCCATCGATGCATTTTGGATATTCATTTTGTATCGGCGTGACCTTAATCTATCATTCTGGACTCTTCCGTCGCAATCTTGAAACAGGCGAAAAACGCAAGAATAAATTCTGGATGCTCTTTTATGTTTTCCTGGGAATCGCTTATCCGCTTTATATCCTGATCACGATTGTGGCGACGGCAAATCATTATTATCTCGATGCCTTTGTGGCGTTCTTCGTGGCGATTGCGGCATTCTTGTGTAATAGGATATTCCTCATCTTATTACCCGTGGAAGATTTATTGTTTTGGTGTTTGAGATTGGAGAAACCTATTCCGACGACGGGAGATAGATTTAGAAGGAGGGCCAGCCGTTCTTAAGTCTAATGGTTTTCGAAAAGAAGGATGGTATCATTCCACTAGCTTCTGAAATGAAGACATCAACGACGATGGAGAAGATAAAGATCGAGATGGATGGGCGTTTTTCTGGCATTTTTCTAGCATTTTTCGGATGGGCTGGGATGGAAAGAAGGGAATTCTTCTGGGCGAGCATATTCACGTATATGTCACTATTGCATATATTTTGTCTTTGGTTTTTTATACTCACCATGTTGAGTATTTTGGATGGATACCAGCATGGCTTGCAGCCTCTAAATAAACGGCGTATTGGAAACGGAAAGTTGGAGATTGATTTGTAGTTTGAATGAAGAATTATTGACTACAAGAAATGTTTTTCGTCTGTATTATCGGATGATGTCGTTGTGATGTTTAGTCAAGTACTTTGAGAGTTTCATCTCGTTCATTCATTCATAAGCTTCATGAAATATCTCTGGTATAAATATCTTTTTGGATACCCAGGTGAGTACAGATGAGTGATATTGAAGGAATATCGTACTTGGAGTTCGAATAATAGGAATCTTGCAATGTAATTACTGTACTGTTAATTGACCAATCCAAAGCTTCAATATATTTTGATGCCTTAATCGCCAGGCTAGAATAAAGAGCTCTGCCAGCTAAGGCACCTTCCTAATCAGGAGGTTGGAGCTTTCTAAGGGTTTAACGGGATACGGAGAGCTTTAAAACACGTCTACACGTCTCCTTCGAGAGCTATCAAAGCGCGTTCAACTTCTACTAGGTATTCTTATCGCATCGTATCATCCCATACGTTCATTAATTTAATGAATTAAATTGATCAATTTCTTTTCTTCAATTTCTTCTGCCATTCTTCCTTCAATTGAGTTCTGTACTGTACTGTGTTGTGTCGTATCGGATCGTATTGTGACTTCTGAATTAAGTCAATAAAGTTACACGGCTTCAGGACTTCGATACCACCTTCGTGATCTTCCCACCTTTCCATCTATCCACCTCCACCTCACAACTTTTCAATTCTCCCCCTCAACATTCAAACATGTCTTCCGCAGATGATTATCCCCTCGCGCCAGATAGCACCGCACTGGGCTCCAATCCCGCCGATATCGAAATGGGCGACCCCAATCCCAGCGCCGTCATAATCGAAATCGACGCGTCTGCCGGCACCGAAACCAACACCCACGTCTCCAACGAAGGCGACAACGATGCCTCGGGCCCTGATCTCCAAGAGACAGCCATGGAAGATATTCCCGCGCGCGTTACCTATATCGATTACCTCAAGAGTCCCATGATCGCATTGTTAGTCGGCCAAGGCGACGAACAAGCACTCTTGCATGCACATCAAGCTCTTCTCTGCAAATCCCCCTGGTTCGCCGAAGCCTGCGGAAAATTCAGCAACGACGTCAGCGAGCGCCGCATCGATCTCGTCGACGAGGATCTCGACGCCGTCGGCTGTTTTCTCGAATACCTGTACACGAATGATTACTTCCCGCGCAAGATCCCCGGGTCGCGCGATCTGGAAACGGATCCCGCGATGCCGGATGTCGACGAGAGCGGGGATCAATTACTCAAACATGCGCGTGTGTATACGCTGGCGGAAATGCTGCAGCTTCCGAGTTTGAAGAGTTTGGCGAGTAGCAAGATTCATTGTGTCAATAGCACCGCGAAGGGAGAGATTGCATATGCGAGATATGTGTATGCGCATACGCAAAAGGATGATCAGACGATTAGGGCGCCGGTGGCGAATTTCTGGGCGACGAGGAGTCATACTTTGAGAAGTGAGGCGGAAACGGAGTTTAGGGAGATGTGTTTGGAGTTCCCGCAGTTTGGTTATGATGTCTTGAGTAAGTTTTTTTTTTATCCTTCTTTCTTTTGGAACTTCTCGCTTCTTGTTACCTTTTCTTTTTTTCCACGCCCTGGTTGTGGCTGGAGGATTCAGAAATTGTGTACCATTGTGTTTGTCAAGATAAATAGATACTAACAAACAATAGCACGTGTCCTGGACGAAAAACTCAAGAGAGAAAAGAACGACAAGATGCATCCATCGCACGGTACACCTGGCAGTTCTCGAAAAAGACCCCGTCAAAGTGGGATTTGATTAGTGAACGAAGCATTGGGCTGAATGGACTTATGTTGGCATGTAATATCTTACTTGAAGCAATTGTATCACTTTGTATTGTATTGCATTGCATTGCATCGTCTCTTCATTTGTATTTGACTGCGCTATAGCTATATGACATGGTATGCTATGGTATGATGAATGAATGGATCAATGGATGGATCGTATCCAAATGAGCACAACCGAGCATTTGCTATGGAAATGAGACTCACCAACTCTACCTACCATAATATCCCAAACAGAAAACAGATGATCCAATAAGCGAGAAAGGAGTATAGCAATAAAAGGAGTAAAGGAAATCAATCAATCAGTTATTCATTAGTCGTGTAATGGTAATCGTTCAAATTCGAGCTGGAGTATGACATATTTCTAATGCAAATGTGAATGTAAATACAAGTGTGTGTTAATAGTCGGTTCTTCAAGCAACCGACTAATTCCTAATCGGGGAAAGCGAGTATCCCCGGAAAGCGAGTATCCCTATAAGATTTTGAGTATAGATTTTGTGATTTTTACTAAAAAATATTTGAATTTTATAAATAATACTATCAATTTTAAAATAATTCAAAAAAATCTAATATCATTAAAAAGCTACAATCTTATTGAATATAATTATATAAAAAGTTCGAAAATTATTCAAAAATTAAAGATTGTATACTAAAAATGAAACAAGATTTCTAATAAAATTGAATGGTTTTGGTATATTTCGTATCCAAAATCTCACAGGAACACTTAGTCTAGCGTATGTATTGACCCTTAAGGCGTTCGGTTATATGATTTTTAATAGCTCCGCTAGGAGGGTTTAGTCGGCCGTTTTCTAAATATTGATTTTCAGCTGGATTTTAATCTTCATTTTGAACTTCAATTGAATACCAATTTACTAGCAATAAAGATAGCCTTATAAAACTTTTATAGAATTAAGCCCTATCAATTCTCTTTTGAAATTATTAAAAATTATTTATTTAATTCAATTTCTGATAAAGTTATAAATCAATTAATAAAGTAATTTTGATACCGAAATAGTAAGCGAAATATCACTTTTTAATCCCCTTTTATTATAATATATTTAATAATCTTCAATAGAATTCTATAAAATTCATACCTTATATTATTCTCCTTTCAAAGAATCTTCAATCCAATTTTGAAAATCTAAAATTTAAAATTGAACGATGTATTTTTGATTAATAAAAAGATAGATAAATATAAATCTTTATTATAAAGATTTAAATCATTCAATTAGCAAAATAATAGAATATTATATATCAATCTAATTATACTAAGCTTTTTTTATTTATTAAAATTTTCAGATTATTTTTAAATATTTTATTTTAAAAATCAAAAAGATAATATTATTAAAATCCGGTTAGCAAGACAAATTTAGAAAACAGCCAACTAGACCCTCTGGGAGGACCTCGCGTATATCAGCCAATCAAAAGAGCGAAAGGTTCAGAAGTGGGTCGATGTATACACTAGACTAAGGGACACTCGCTTTCCAAAGACACTCGCTTTCCCCGACTAGGAACTAGTCGGCCGTTTATGAGAGCCGACTATTATAGCTAGATTTTTTTTTTAAAAAAAAATGAAGAGGAAGGTAAGGATAAAATTGGTTGATTAAATGGTATAGATATTATATATGTAATGGAGGTACTTACTTACTTACTTACTTACTTACTTACTTACTCTATTCGCTATATCAATTACGCATCTAGATATCCAGCTACATACATGAGTGAGTGAGTGAGTGAGTGAGTGAATAAATGAATGAATAAATGAATGAATAAATGAATGAATAAATGAATAAAATAGAAGAAACACCATCAATCTATCCATCATACTCCCCCCGATCTCCCATCTCCCATCTCCCATCTCTCATCTCACATCTCACCATCTCCCTCCCCGTCTTCCTCACCAAAAACAACAACAACAATAACAATAACAACAACAAAATTCCCAATCCTACATAAAAATGCAGCCAGCCATCTAGATACCTTTCTTTTATTAAGAATATTAAAATCCATATCTACCTACCTACCTACCTATATAACACACATCCAGAAATAGAATACCTAGGTACTATACATATAAGATTACATATACCTATTACATATACATACCAACCAACCGCTTCCTTCCTTCCTTCCTTCCCTTGAGCTCGCTAAGTTTAAGGGGTGGGGGTGGGTAAGGTACGCATATGTAGGTATGTTGGAATATATATATATATCGAGTAGCTAGCTAGCTATCTAGCTAGCTACTGAGTTATAAAACCACTCATAGATCCTCAAATCAACATTCAAAATCAAAAATTCGACCGAGGGAAGAAAAAGTCTGAAGAACTGTAATGACCTCGATGTTATAATGTTTTTAGGTAATCTTACGTCTATCTATCTATATCTACTCTAGTCGAAAGAATAAATCAAGACACAAAAATCCATCAATTTATATACCTCACTTCCAAAAAAACAACAAAAAAAACAACAAAAAAAACATCAAAAAAAAAAACATCACAAAGCCACTCAGCATTCAACTCAAATCAATCTTCATTTAATTACAAAACGATAATCTGAATGCCTATAATATAAAAATAATGTCTGATAACGAATTCTAATAATCATAATGAAAGTTCTGCAAGTCCACGTCTTCGTCTCTCCTCTAACCACTGTATAATCAATAAATATATGTGAGGAATGCCTGTGAAGGGGCGAATCTACTTGCCCCCCTCTGTTCTCTAGAACTGGAAAAGGAGGTTCGAGAGGATCATCCTCACTCTCATCCTCACTCTCATCGCCAAACTCCTCTCTATTCTCGATAATTCCATCCTCGGGACTATTACTTTCATTAATGACCTCCTCTCTATCTTCAATATCGTTACTCATATTAACAACCTCCTCTTTATTTTCATTAATAACCTCCTCTCTATCCTCAATATCGTTACTCTCATTGCCAGAATCCTCTCTATTCTCAACAATTCCATCCTCGGGACCATTGCCTTCATTAATAATCCCCTCTCTATCCTCAATAATTCCATCCTCGATAATCCCATCTTCGGTGAGATCCTCAAAATTACCCCCAATCTCATTACCATCGTCCTGATTCTGCTCCGTCATTACTTCACCAATGGAGGCGCGCTGAACCATTGATCGCTCCCCGGTTTCAGCGTTGTATATTAAGAGATCGGTACTTCCGTTGGGCAAAGCTCTGCTAATGAGTAATCTGGACTGGCTAGGCTGCAGGCTACTTTTTTTTCAAACAATCGATGCCCAAGATCGAGCCACCATGACCAAAATCAGTGACCACCCATCTGCAAAAATTCTGGTCGCGTGAACATAGTCTGGGAACAGATATCTCGACAATGGACATTTGGCTGTCCGCCCAGTAGAACAATTTCTTCGACGTCACGGGTTGAGAGGGGCCAGCCCAAGCCAAATTCACTGGATTGAGTGCAGAATTGACCTCTTCGGCTGTACTTGATACACACTGTGGAAGGGATGGTCGGCGCGATTTTTTTTGATTCTAGCTCTGAAAATGAATGTTTCGCCCCTTTCTGTGGAATTATCATTCCGCTTCAGAAATGCGAGCCAGGAGAAACTACCAGGATTGAGAACTGGTACAGAGGCGCTACCAGTTATTCCGGTAGTTCGTATTTTTATAGGAATAAGTTCCTCCAACTTTCTCGGTGTCGGTAACTGATCAAAAGGAATAAAGTAGACATCAAATATGCCATCATGTTGAGCCTGAGACTGTTCTTCGGTTTGAGCGACAAGAGCTAGTCCCGCTTTAGATATATCGAAATTTTTTGGTCCCATTGACACCCGGGTTGGAAAGGGAACATATCGAAGGTGAAATTTCTCAAGAAGATCACCACTCATATACAAAATATTGATGGACGGAGGTTCCCTTTGAAGCCTGAACACAAGGCACCGCAGTATTCGACCACCTGGCCTTGAGGAATATCCTAGAACATCGACTTCACTAACACTCGAGTGTGCTGAGGTTGTTCCAGCACCAATACCTGAGACTGCAATTGCCACAAATCTTCTGAGTCCAACCCTCTGAGTAATGTACTGCCTTCAAGATAGTCGTCAATGTATCAACATAGCCTGCGCTGGCCATGTGCCTTGCGCCGAGTTAGTCTTATCATTGGTGTATTGGAAACAGGCTTGTTACATACAGTGCAAAGTGTGGGCCTTTGAGAGCGAAAAAATGAGTCTTATGGTTCATCTGCGCTTGACAAAGAAGGGTAGTTTCGTCGGCTCAGATGAAATTTGTTAATGTTGAGCCTGGAGGTGCGGACTCAGCTGACTTTGGCAGCTTGGTTGTTACACCAGTCCAAAGTTCTAACACATAATATGACGTTTCAGGGGTATCCGGAGAGTATATTGTCTCATGATAAAGTGCCCAACGCCCATCTGCATTGACGATTGCTGCCGAGCGTTGAGGTACTGTCGGGGGATTTCTGTCTGCTATCAGCAATCACAATCGTAAGCACCGCCTAGAAGAAACAAACACTGGATCGGAGGAACTGGGATCGTTCGACATGGTTTCCTGATTGCGCCTTTTGTAATGAAATGAGATGACGATGAGGAGAAGGAAATATGAAGTGCGAGGGCTTTTAAGCAAAGAGATGGAAAGAACTTGAGGGTAAAACGAGAAGATTGAAGGAGCTACGATTGCTTCTCTTCTTCTTAGTGCTAATCTTAACATAAGGCGATTAGGAAAGAGCGAGGGAAAGAGGGGATTAACAACTTCGCTGTGTGTATTCGAGTACGCAAAATAAGCAAGATTGAATCATGCTCTGTCGGTACCTCAATTAAGGAATGTTGACACTCCAAAGCCGCAAAGTGAAATGACCAAAAATAACGCCAACATTGACAGAAGGGAACAGGACAACAAAAGTATCATCGAAAATTTGGCACATATTTATTATGCTCGTACTATGGATTTGATTCCCTTTATTATGCGACTTTTGTCTGTACCCTATGATAATCAAGGCTTCTCAAGATTATGTTGGTAAAGTAGATTCGACCTCCGCAGCTGGTACAATCCCAAGTGATAGAGTTCACGGGGAAGTTTTATCCGAAAGCATCGTGTTATGATCGCAGACCGTCGTGGCTGTTCAACCCTTCGGGTAAACTTATCGGCGTAAACCAGCTCATGACTGTGATCTCTCCAATATCTCCAACGTCTTCTAACGTATGTTATCATTGCTACCGCTCCTCATTATCTTGTTCTTTGAGATTTTCTAGGTGGGCCCCCATCTCCTTGGTGTTTCCTCTTTGGATTTGAACAATCCCTCGCCATGTGATTTCCTCCGCATGTATAACATTTTATATCAGATTTGATTCCACCTCCTGAGCCAAATGAGCCCCCTCCTGAGCCAGACAGAGATGTCAAGCCATTCAGTGAGACATGCTTCTTCTTTCTCTTTTTTGATAACTCCAGCAAGTCGGCCTTTTCCGCCTTCTTCTTGGCTTTACGTTCCTCTTTGAGCCGTTTTATTGCTTCCTGTTTTGAGGCCTTTATCAATTCCTTTGCGCCTGTTGGATCATCCTTACTATCCTCATCTTCAGACTCCTCCTCCTCGCTCTCCTCGTCCTCCTCTGATGATGTAAATTCTATGTCTGGATTTTGCTGTTTCTATTTGCCAGTCATTAGCATGCGATAAAGCGCAGATCATCAAAATGCACGGCATACCTCCAAAACTTTATTGAATTTTCCAAAACTCCTTCGACCGACCATGAATGGTTTTTCTTCTCCAAAATTGTTATCGTCATCATCAACACGTTCTGCTTTTATCGGCGAAGGTTGGTCTAGATTTGCGAAACCAGTCTGAACTACACGTAATGTGTTTGTTGGAGTATTGAGATGTTTCCTTCCCTCGAAGCTTAAAACCCATCGTGTGTCTCCTGCTTCAACGGCTGCTCGATCCAATGCGGCTTGCTTTTTGGCTTCTTCTTCCACTATTGCGGCTTGGATCGCGCGATTATCGGCTAAGGTGTCGACATTGAACTTTGTAGGAGTGTTTTGTGCTATCTTTTGTCGCTTCGGTGATGGCTCATCTATTGAAGAAGGAGAAGTATTTGTAGGTGATGAAGCAGCAGCACGCTGCATGAATTTCATCGTCAAAAGCCTGGAAGACATAGCTTTTGGCGCACTTGTTGGGGTCCCTGCACTTGCCGACATGTTGTAGTTGTTGTTCATTCACAGTATGGAAGAAATTAAAAGAATGATAATTGAGAGGATGATGTAGAAGAATTGGCGAGATGAAATTATACTGTTGAATGTTAGTTGTAGATCTATAGACCTGCCACGATCTATAAAGTGTCTGTATAAGTAACACGGAGGTGGTGAAAGAAAGTCAAAAGCAAAAGTATTTACGGGGCTGCAAGGCGGACTTTTCCCCGATTAAAGATTAAGCTTCGGTGCTTTAAGGGTATTACGTAAGCGACCTGGAATTGAACGACAACGACCTTGAGTCCTTCTTCGGTTCCTCCGCCGCAATTGATTGAAACATCAGCATAATGTTGTCCACCGCCAGATCAAGAGCCGTATGGCAAATTTCTCGTAGAGTTCAGATCTCAGCCAGACGAACCTACGCATTTTCCGCAAATGATCAGCAAGAAATTAATGATCCAAACTCTCCGAAGAAAGTGCCCAACGTCTCGAAATCCAACGAGCTGCCGATAGAGAGTCACGTCCAGAATAAGCCATTGCAGGAGAGCGTCGAGACTGCGGAAAAGTTCAGGGTTATGCAGGCACCAAATAGAGAGGGCATATGGTCGCGAAGTCAGAATCCTAGGGAGAAGGCAATGTCTGGACCTAGGTTTGAGCAGACCATTATGGAAGCTCAGGTATGTCAGACCCCGCGTTTTAAATGTTGCGCTTTAGTTCAATTCTTGGAAATCATCCCAATTCGTATTTGTACGACATTTTAACATTTCTCCAGCCAGCACCACAATCAGCAATTAGCTTGATTCACCAACAACCAGTGCGATGGACGCACGAGCGTATTGTGGCCTGCGATGGAGGTGGAGGAGCATTAGGACACCCAAGAATCTTCATCAACACTGACAAGCCCGAAATTTGCAACTGCACATACTGCGGATTACCGTTTGTAAGTCATCCCCGAACTGAGACCTCAGGCTAGATTTCTCTCCATCGTTAACTATAACGTCTTTTTGGCTGCATGCTCATTTACCTTACAGGCCAATGAACATCACCGAGCACACCTTGAATCTCTTCCAGAAACTGCATACCCTCTTGCAGCATGAGGTCATCCTGCCAATTTTTTTTATGAACCACGACGTATTACCGAGGGAAGATTGGTCAACGAGAGACTGTTCATAGATGGGGAACTCTATCGTTGACAATTAGTGCAAATACCACGCAATGAGAATTTTAAGCAAGATTATCTACCTACTTCTACAGTGATATTCTACCCGAATTGATCTTCTTAGAGAATACCGGTGATCTACTACAAGTCAAGCCTTTGTTATTGTGTTCTCCTATTAGAATAGCAACCTTAAAAAGATCTCTGGAAGCTTCATATTTCATATCGCTGATTTACAGATAGTGAGGATCATAGCATGTTGGCACTTGCTGCTTTGGATGCTTGAAGGCATCCACAAACAAGTTTCCGAGGACACCATGAAATAGTTTAACGTGGAGAATGATGCATAATTAGTAACATCTAACTCGTTGCATCAAGTAGAAGTTACTATGAGACCACAATAATAGGCACGTGAAGCTCAAAGAATGATAGGAGACATCGCTTGTTAAGAGCTTACCAGCAAATTATCTATGTCAGTTGCAGGACTGTCTACAAGGGAAAGACAGAGCTATTGCTTGAGCCATGATGTCCTCTCTACCAAATGAATGTGAAAATGATTTTAAAATGGGAAAAGTGTACTCTAATAAGCTACCTACCTAGCATCTTCCAAAATGATAAAAGGAGTCTCTTGTACTCGAGTATGCTACGCTATGCATATTGTTAGGCTAGGCGAGAATTTGTCTTCGGGAAAATATTGGACGAGAGCGGCCGCACTCACCGATCGAGCTTCTTCTGCTGTTACTTGCGACAATCTAGAGCTTCCAAATCGAACAAAACTCCCACCTGTTATTTGAAGTATCTACAACATGTCTACCATCACAACCCCCGCCCTGCAAACTTCCTATCCTCCTATCCTCCCAAAATCTTTCAATGCCAATCAACCCAAAACAATTCGTCTTTTCCCCCTCTCAAATTACACTTTCGGCACCAAAGAAACCCAACCTGAAGAAGACCCCTCCGTCCTCGCGCGTCTCAAACGTTTAGAAGAACACTATGTCGAACACGGTATGCGACGAACCTGCGAAGGAATTCTCGTCTGTCATGAGCATAATCATCCTCACATCCTCATGCTTCAAATCGCAAATGCCTTCTTCAAACTCCCTGGAGATTATCTAAAGCCCGAAGACGATGAAGTAGAAGGTTTTAAACAAAGATTGAATGAGCGATTGGCACCTGTAGGCACTCAATTCAGTGGAGAGGGTGTAAATGAGGAGTGGGAAATTGGAGACACGTTGGCGCAGTGGTGGAGGCCGAACTTCGAAACTTTTATGTACCCATTTATCCCGGCGCATGTTACAAGACCTAAGGAGTGCAAGAAGTTGTATTATATTCAACTTCCCAGACAGAGTATGTATTTTCTATTTTGTTAATAATCCCTTGAATTAAGAAATGCGGCATTACTAATACGTATACAGAAGTACTAAGTGTTCCCAAGAATATGAAACTCCTCGCAGTACCACTTTTCGAGCTCTACGATAACACAGCAAGATATGGTCCTCAACTCTCAGCAATTCCACATTTATTATCCAGATATAACTTCGAGTTTGTTGATGAGAAGGGTGATGTGGTAGCTGTTACTCCAGGCGGAGGACCAGAAGAAGGGTATGTGCCAAAGACGATCGTTTTGGCTGGGGGCGACGACGAAACAATGGGCGAAGCTGATGTCAAGGAAGAAAATGGCGTTCAATAATTACAGGATAACGATAGTGTTTTCAAAGCAATGGAAGGCACGGCAATGGCGTTCATGGGTCAAAATATAATAGCTTGGAATAGCTAACGAATTGACCAGGTAGACTTGAAAACTTTGATTTGTTAAAGATATCCAAAAAATCTCTCACGATTGTCACTTCATATCATGTTATTCATAATCATTGTCATTGTAGCTATCTTGTATCGCGCCGTGAATGATGTACGAGTACGAGTATGTCAAATACATATATCTAATCCCTGTCATCACACTCGGGAAGCTTCCAAACCATGACGTCCATACGATAAACCCCACTAGAATTCGAAGCAACTCAATTACATCCAAAATCTCTGGAATGCCATCTTCAAATTCCTCTTCATCTGCGCAACCCGACAAAGACGAAAACCCACGTCCAAACACACAATCAACATCATCGTTCCCAATTCTTTATATCCTCTTCGTACTAATCTTCCTCATCGCCCTCTTTCCGCCCCTCTTCCACGCTCTCTGGACACTCCCTCTCAAACTACTCCTCCCAAGCACATACAGTTCCGCTCTCTCGCCCGCCCGTTATACCAAGCCAGCCATCATGTCTTGGACACAAAAGACCATATCTCTCCCCTCTAAATCCCGCGGCTCATATCTCGTCACCGACCACATCGTCTCTTCGATTCCCGAAATCAAGAACTATAAAGTTGGGCTTCTGAATCTCTTCATTCAACATACGAGTTGTGCAATTAGTTTGAATGAGAATTGGGATGAAGATGTTAGGGCTGATATGAGTGATGCGTTGGATAGGATTGCGCCAGAAGATAGGAAAGGAGAGTTGTATAGACACAGTGCGGAAGGACTGGACGACATGCCGGTTTGTACTCTTTTTGTTTTTTACTTTGTTCTTCGATGGAGGAATAGAGGAGCGCTTAGGAAGTTGTATAACACAGGGGCTAATCATTGTAGGCACATATCAAATCAGCGTTGGTTGGAGCAAGTGTTACGATTCCTATCACGAATGGAAAGTTGAACACAGGTACCTGGCAAGGGATATGGTATCTGGAGTTCAGATCTAGCAAACATACTAGGAAGGTTGTTGCTACGATCCAGGGTGAGAAGATGTAAATATAAGAAAATCTATTGTTCTGATGGGTTGATCATTTGGACATGTGAAATGGGCATTGTTTCGGTTCTTTCGCTTTACTTATGTCAGATGTTCCCTCTTGATCCTTGAGCGAAGTCTTGCTTTTCATTCTTTTCAACTCACGAGTGCTCCATCAATATCTGGGCTGGAGCTTAATATTGAGGCGACCTAGGTAGACCAAGGCTGGTTTCCAATATTACTCACTTTATGTTCAGCTGAACAGATCGAAATCATTTGATGACGAGGAACACAAATTGACGGAGCAAAAATGCGTGATAGCTTTCGTCTCTTCAATCTACAAGCATGCACCTAATTAACAATTTGTTTATTCTGACCAAGTAGAAGAAGCGCGAGTCGCTTATGTAATACATACGTCTACTCGCTTTTCCGAGAACTTTCCATCTATTTTCCCCCTCACCATCTCCATCTATTGAAAACAACATTTATGAGCCCACATAACATGGAACTCTACCAAGTAAAGTTTAAGTGATTATCATAACGGTGCTGAGCTTATCGGATACAAGAGATACTCGTTTCTGATTAAATGCATACCGTTTCTCTTGAATAGAAACAATGAATGGGAAACAAACGAAAATCGGATCTTTCAAAATGCTTCGAAAGTAACTTTCCGTGAATCAGATTCTCGGCCTCATTGCATAAACTTGCGAGTCTTCGGTTGCTAAAGATAGTGGAGAGATTGTCATACCCAGCCTTATGAGATGAGACCAAGTGGAGTCTGTGCCTCGAGTTTCAGCTCGTTGCTACTCAAATCGATGATTTTTTGATCCCAAAATGAGCAGAAGCCTGTTCGAGAAATCCTTTGACATCCCAAGCTGGAGGCTATTCAATTAATCTCAATCATGAGGTGAATAATCCGATGTCTGGGGGTTTACTACTTGGCCATATCCTTCTGTTTTCCCTTCTCATCCAAGATATTAACCCCTCACGAAACGTCACAAATACAGTGCTGAGGGATCATGCATGTTATTCAAGCACTACAAATAGAGCCTCTATTGCCGTTTCATCCTCGAATTGTCTGTTCGCAGCTTTTTTTTTGCAACTCCATCACGAATGTTCTTCAGTCAGCTGGATCTGTGAACTAACTTAATGAACTGAATTTTGACGATTGTTCCCTCCAGTAGTCTACGAGAGCAAGATGCCTCTCATTCGTAAGTACTGTCTACGAGTCTGAAGTCTTATAAACTAAATTTGAATAGGGGGTCTACCGCAATACAGACGGGCAGTAGGTTTCCTGGCACTTCCTGCTTTGTTGTTTTATTGTAAGTGGCATGAATCCCAACAACGTAATGATCTATACTCATATCAGATCTCCTAGTGCTTGCGGCAATTGCAGCTCTTCCGGGGGTACCGGGAATATTCATAGAGAATATCCAAACGGATCTAGGGACCGGCAGTCTTGAAGTCAGAGTTGGATACTTTGGTTAGTGTTCTTTCGGCATTTCATAGAAGGAAACCAAACTGACCACGAGAAGGTACATGTCTTCGACGGACTGGCTTCGAAGCTGATATAAAATTACAATGCACCACTACTTCCAAGGGATTTAGTGATATACTTATCGAAAGTTCCAATAGCACATCAAATGCCACTGAAAAACTTCTCGTTTTTGCATCAGGGATGCAACGTGATGTCTTTGTTGGATCTCCATCCTTTTTCCCTGGAGCTGGGCTCCTATTCCTAATTAGTGTTTTGCTTCTCATACCCCTCGAGATAACCACTCGATCACCTGCAAGACTTACGCCCAAAACCGTTCTCTTCCTGAACCACGCCATCATAATGCTTTTTTGGTTCACTGCAGCGTGGTCTTTTGCAGGCGCGTTATCGATTGTGGAAGTTGTAAGATCACAGCAAGAACTGTTGACTTTGGATGGGAGTAATAATATTACTGTTAAGGTTGGTGTGGTAGTGCAATTCCTGCAGTGGACTGCTTTCATTTTTACTTTCGTCTTTGCGAGCGGAGTTACGACTTTAAAAATGACGCATGAGCCGAGACTTCTCAATCCTGAAGAGATGGCGGCGAAAGCGGGACCGTTAGGTGGACAGGTGCAATGGCGTGAATCTGTTTGATAGAGAGCTGTGTTGTTGGGCTATGGCTTTATCCTGATGCTGGCAATACTAGTTTGCCTCAGCAACATGCTTGGATGAACGAATGTATGTAGGCACTTCATTTTGGAAAGCTCAGCTGTGCCTTCTCCATTAGAGCTTTAAAATTTTGCCATTTTTCGACATTTTACAGAAGGATCATCAAGCTACTGCACGCATCCACATTCCTTCTTCACAAAGACACTCACAATAATATCACACACACCATAAATATCCATCCCCATAACCATAGAAAAATGCATGGATTAATGAATTTCAAGTAAGATAACATCATTTTTAAACTAAAGCCTCTCTGCGCCATTCAAATGCAAATGCCAACGTATTTCCTGGTATCAAACCAAAAGTCTAGATACTCCTTCGCTATGCTGTGGTATGCTGTGTTCGAACTGTAGAGAATGAGTGACTGAGGGGCGAGACAAAAGAAAAGAGCTTGGTTGTTCGAAGTTTTCGAGAAATGAGTGTTGGTATCTTTAGATTGATAGAAAAAAAGAAGAAAGAGACTCGGGGGTATCAAGTATGAAAGAACAATGGAAATGAAAAGAGAAGAGAATTTGGCGAAAAATTCCAAAGCTACCTCTTCGAAAATGAAGATTCTTTGCCGATGAAGCGTCTTTTGACGTATTGATCATAAGTTTTAAAAAGACCCAAGAGGTATTTTAGAGCACACAACCCACCGCCAAAGACAAAAAGGTAGCAGTGAGCTCAGAACGCCAGACTCCATGGTATACCCTAAAATCCCTGCGAAACAAAACGTCGTAAATGTGAATTACATTCCCTCCACATTTTTTGGGACCTGAAAACGCTATAGATCACGACATCGTGTTGATATTGGTCAGAGACATGTTCTCCTTGTCCCAATAATGAAGTCTTGGGATATATCCATACCAACTGTGTCGAGAATATCCTGAATCCCGCTATATCGAGAGCACTCTTCCATGTTATACACACGCCCTATCCATCATCTTCGTTTCTGACTCGGCGAATTAGGCTCTGCTAGCATATCTTCCAAAGTCATAGATCTATGAGCAGAAGAATAAAGTTCCTCGTAAACATCAGGATTACTTGGTAACGGCGAGTCATCATGATGAGAAATCTTTGTTTCGACTCGTCCAGCGTTTCCTAATGGATTCATCGCCATTGGATTTTTAGGATCTGCAGGCTCGGAAGTTTGGACAATCTCAACGGTTTGTTCGGCGCATCCAAGCGAGTCGTGATTTCCTTTAGATCTGGAAATGGAGAGTAGTACGTTGGTATGGGGAACTTCTTTGCGTCTAGAATGGTTGGGAGATCTAGATGCGGTTCTGGCTGGTGCCGGTGAGGCTGGTAACTATTGAGAGCACGATGTGTTAGCTTTTTCAAGTCGAAGAGAGTTTAATTGGAACTGCGCTGAAAATCATATACATACAACGTAGGTGTGGGTTGACTGTTTCTCAGGCTCGGATTCAGGTCCTCCTCGAATCGCTTCCATGAAATCGATCTCTCTCGAGTCTTCAGCAGAGCAAAGCTCAATACCATCTGTATTTCTGGCCGATCTCATATCAGATCTAGTTACGAGGTGGCTGGATCCAGTACCAGCTTTGAGGCGTCGATAAAGGGCGTTGAGTATAGGAGCATTGGCAAAAAACGCCTGCAATGGATATGTTAAAATGTCCCTTTGTGTGATCATACGATCAAGGCACTTACCATCAGAAGACACTCCATGTTACCCCAGAAAAACCTATCGTCAATTTCTTGGGTTTTACTTTCCTGCAAGATAGTTCGTATGATAGATATTACAACAAGCTAGAGATCTCTTAGAATCGTATCAACTGCAATTGAACGATTACTTACGAATATACCAACGAGGAACACGGCTGATACTTTAAGCTTTGTACTAAAGAAGAGGTCAAAATGACGAGAAATTAAATTATATCAATCTTATGTAGATAGTACATACGCTGTCATCATCTGTGTTCGCCAAATCATTGGTAAAGGAATAATAATCAAAATGACATTAGTTACAATGATGGACTTGACAGTTGTTAGCTTGAGAAGAGGCACAGAAAGAGGATTTACTCACAATTGCCATGAACAGCAGTCCCGCTCTCTAATAAACATCAATACAGTGTCTTTTTAGAATCTCATTGTATTAAGTACTTACTCCTTCCTAAGGAAAACTGTCAGCAAAATCCCCAATAGCATTTCGGGATACTCACTGCACATTTTTGATGGGGGTTTGTCAACTTCCAATTCAGATTAAATGGGCGGCATTGAAACATCCACGTTAAGATAGTAGTTGTCCAGGTCGCAGCAATCAACCAGGAAGTGAAGTTCACATATCTCTGTTCCGGCTGCCGAGTTGTCAAACGGTGATAGTAAAGTAACTGCCAAGCTTGTCAGAACATATATCTCGAACAAGTGCGTATATTTGCAGCGTACAATGCAAGCTTTCAGAGACCAAATGTAAGATAGATAGGCAATACGTCCGAACATGATGTATTTTGAGTCAAACTCCGCTGTTTCGATGTTAGATGGCATTATCAATTATGGGGGATGATTGGCTTTTACTTTCTTCGATAGTTTCAGCATCTGAGTGGGCATGTTTTCCTGATCCGGTGGCGAGCTGTGATGGTAAGTGTTAGCAATGTGGAAATTTTTGGAACAAACAAGAAGCAACATACAAGAACAGGGAATGTAGAAGCAAAACCTCCCATGAGGAAGAAAGCACCTATCATGAGCCAGTCATCAAGGTAGATCTTCTCATGCTTGATTCGCCTTAAGCAGAATCTGGCACAGGTTAACAAGAGCACTATAGCGGTGACTGCATAAGCTGTCTGAGCAACCTGCTCAGTGTTTTCAATCATTTTTTCTGGCCAGGATAAAGGTCGAAATCAAATTCCAAGGAGAGTGTAAGAACACAAAAGTAAACTGTATAGAATGGACAGAATTACAAGCCAGGTCACTTGTAATCGAGAGCTTGACGGCACTGTGCAGTGACCAAGCTCAAATTGAAGAATATCAAGAGATGATCGCCTCGTGGTTTCTATATTTTCTGTACTTGTAAAATTTGAGGTGGGCAATGCTTGGGTGATCTTAAAATGCAGTGAATTTCTTCTGGCTAGGAATTCAATGATAGAGGAATATCCGACGATAGTCTTTGAACCAATACAATATCCTGCCTGAGGGCCTAGTCAAAGATGTTAATGACTTTATCACCATAGCCTCAGTATTATCAAAAGAAGGTTTTTGATAAATAATCCTATGTCTATCAGAGCCACGGATGAATTATGAGATGAGAAATTGTCCTTGCAAACTCCCTGACTTGAAGTCTGTGTATTCACTTGTATACATTATATTTATCTGGAGCTCATATTTTACCAAAGCCAATCTCAGCCACTCTTGATGTACTTTTATCGCGAATGAAATAATACTCAAATGTGAATACCAATGGCAATATCTCTCCAGCAAGTATTGAGCAGTCACTTGTGTATAGCTATGCAGAAAACTTAAATTGCTAGTGCTCAACAAAGAAAATAGTCATGAACTTCCTTTCCTTCCCTTCCCTTAAGTAAGGTACATCCAATGGCAATCTATAATTACGAGTAGATCTAGTATCTCATACTAAGGGAGAAGTTTTCCTCTGTCCAGCAGGATAGAATGCTGTTCATCCGTTGAGAATTTTAGCACAGTCGGCTACTTGTAGAAGCACAACTAAAAGCATGACACAGTGTAGTTGTATTCCACACTGTGATAGTCTGGACTTCCAAGAATTATAGGAGATATCTGCGTATGATATGAATACAATCCTATATAAGTTTAAAAGTGTTAGAAACCGTAGGTCTTTCATCTCAAGACATACTTGAGTCCCTATTTAATAATTACCTAGCTTTGGATTTCACATGATTTCAGATAGCATTATGTCAATTCTAACGCTGCGGAATTATACGGAGCCTGAGTCAGAAGCCGTCATTATTATGTCCTGGCAAGAGCCCGTTCAGAAAGATTTGATAGAAATACCAGGCAATTGATGAATAATCTATTGATTGAACGAATCAAGCAACTGCGGTGGTTTCCGTAACCCCAACCCACGATGATCGCTTAAATTATGAATCCTTGTTAAGGTTAGCGCTGTACGAATTTTCTAAATAAATACAGTAGTAGCTCCGAATCACGTATGAAACAGGGGCATCAAGCTTCATAAATAAAGGTCTGTACCGAAAGATGGAATAAACCTTGACGCTCTTCCTTCTCCAGATACTCTTCATTCTCCTAACACCTCAATACCAATTAGCACTTCCCTAGGAGATGCTCCGACGACTAAACAACATCGCCGCGACGGAAAGTCGGGACGCATCACAAAGCCTACTGGAGCCACGACAATATCGGTAGGGTTCGGGGTGTCGACGGCAGTACCACAACAAGTACTAGTCAGAATCACTTCGAGACAATTGCAATCAATTTGGTTTGAATACGTTATCAAAGATCCGCTCTCCAAAATCTCGTGTAAGTTACATGTAGTTTCAATCCGAGTCTAACAACGAACCGTTGCCGATGATCCTGAAATCGACTCGCAACCCCGAACTCTGCTAAAATTCCACTTTCGTGGAGAAAGAATTATCATAGTGTTACTTCTTGGTAGCATACTTGACCGCCAGGTGAACCATCGCGAAGCTTCTTTGTCCACGAGCTCGTAATCGTAATTTACCTGTGCTAACATGATCTTCATAACGGCCGCTGCATAATATCGCCCAGGACTCGATGAAGGTTAGCCTTTCGTCAAGAAATTGGCATGAGTTGGTCGAGCATATCGATTAATCTGTGGAAATTCTGGGCCAGGAAGAAGCACTAGATTGACGAATCGAAATCCTCGAGATTGAAGCGGTTCGGGGTATTCTTTTGGGTCCTGCATCATGGCTTGAACCGGAGTACAAGCCCAATCTCCAATCTCAACTCTTGTTCCATCTGAGAGGGTAAATGGTTGTAGAGCATGTCTCCTGGTGCTCACTTTGAGAAGGGGCTAGCCTTTATCTGTTTCTAGCAAGATGAGCTTGGACTCAATGGATTCGACGGTTGTTAGACGAGCTAATTCTTTGATAAAGCTATCAAGAGGCAAGCCCTGGGCCGTTTGTTCAAACAGAGCATATCCGGGCCCTTCAATTTCTTCCCGTAATGGATCCACATATTCTGGGTGCAGGCATAAGTCGTGGATGGCAAAACTTATGGTTGTGGAAAGTGCATGGGCAGATCCAAACCAAATCGCCATTAACTCATGAACAATTCGTTGTCCTGTCCATGGATTCTTCTTTGGTACCGTCTCCATGATCCATTGGATACAGTCGTGCTATTTGTTGCATCTTTAGCTCCAGCTTTCGTTGTGTTGTTGTGATTTGTACCTACATGCCTGGGGATGGTTTGCCCCATTTTTTCCAAATGTTTTTCGAGCAATCGTTGCTCCGCGACTGGTAGCAAAGTATCAAAAATCGTTCGATGAGACGATAGCATCTCGGCTAGAAGTTGTTCTATAGGTCTGCCAACTCATCAGATTTGACTGCTCTTAAGGTAACAGAGGAGTGAATACTTACCGAGCTAACCAACTCGGTAAAAGACGCGCAGTTTCTGCGGTCATCAATGTATCCTCGATGAAGCTCAGGGCAGATTTCATGAATTTTTATTTCCAGCTATTATACGTACTTGTCAGTCATTTTGAGTAGTCAATTGAGCTATCACAAAAACTTACCCAACTCTTCGCCGAAAAATGCTAGGGAATTAGCGAGCACTGTCAGTTGCACAATCATCGGGTATAAAGGCGAGTGCCTGGATCCTGGGGTCCGGTTAGTAATTTTCAAATTAAGTTTCTCTACCACTTACCATTCACAATCTTGTGTGCGTCGCGCATCTTGGAAAAGTTATTTGCGGTGACAATCCGGAGGCTAGGGAGTATGGATGGTAGGTTGTTGGTCAAAAGTGTACGGAGAGCTTAAATGAAGACAACACCTTCAGTTCCTCTTCGATCAAACTAATTGAACCCAGACATCGTGTATTTGGGCTGAAGCATCTAAAAAGTATTAGTTTGCGGTCTCGCTTTGGCTGAAAATTAATTATATTACCTGTTTTGATGCTGCTTGAAGTGATAACAGTGACACTGTATCTAGAGCATTGTTTAGCTCGCCAATGTGTTTCTGTGATGAAACAAAGACATTTCTGTTTTCGGGAACCAAAATTTTAAAAGGCTCGCCATTTGCCTGATCAAGCGGTCAGTTTATCTCGCCTAGTATATAGATAATTCCCAGTCTCTACCTTATTGTAGGCTGTCTGGATGATGAGAGGTCCGGAGAACAAATATAACCACGCTTTCAGCCGTCTTTTAAAACATCATAAGGATGGAGAATTGTAGAAAGAGTGCTGAGAGATTCGGAACCTTCCGAGTTCTGCTTCCACCTTTGGAAAAGGGTGGCCAGAGTCACTGCAACTACGAAAATAGTGGCAACTTGAGAGAAGAACATCTCAAATAATGTGTTTAGTCAAATTTTTCAAGTTCTAGGGGGGTTGCCGAAGTTACATACGCAACTAAATAAATTTTTTCGTTGAAAAGGGCAGTCGTATGACTGATGATAATTAATGTACGGTTTTCTGCTGTAGCCGTTAGGAAAGCAACAAATTCAAATACAGAGTCAAGGAAATATTACATTACAATATATCTTACTACGGTATGTTCGTATAAATTGAGTAAACTTTAGAATCTACAAGTGTAGATTACGGATATTTTTCATGGGGGAATATAAAGGAAGGCAAGGCCCAATAACGGTGCTTATTCAGAAATATACGCACAAGAAAACACACTTTTCCCTTTTTGTTCTATAACTTTTGAATGGACGAATCAAAAGTAGATGAAAACCCCATGAAGTTTTGATGAAGTTTAGGTTTCACTTCCGACTACCCAGAGCTACCACAAAGGAGAAACTGTCTTTGGTGTTTTCTTGTCGTTGAATTTAGATGATACACCGAAATGCTTCCGGAGCGTCACATCTTCTGTAGAATACTTAGGAAACTTCACTCTGAGGTGAACTCTATAAAAGATGTCTGCCGGTAATGCGAGATCGATATTGTGGATTTTATTACGCGCCCGGAAAAACGAATGGTGCAGCTTCTTGTCCTAGCGAACCGAGATGTAGTATGTACAGTACTGTCATTTTTTTATATAAATAAAAACAACAGCGTAAAAACAATGTTGCAACTCTGACTAAATTGTGAAACCAAAAACTTATGCAACACCCGGTCAAAAGCATCTTCTGAGTATTTGTTGTGAACTCAGTATCTAGACGAGGGATTCCGTAGACGCAACTTCGCAGGATCACTAGTAGTCGGCCCCTAGATAGACCGGCTATTGCCTAGCATATTATATTGAACCGGTTGCTTCTGCATGAAATCCCCAGAATAAACGCAAGGCGGCATTGAAATGGCTGTATGAAGAGTCGGCTTACAACAGGGCTGCGAGGGCACCCCACCATCTCAATCCATCACGGTAAAGAAACTCCGGAAGCTGCTGTTTGCCGTAAAGGAACGCCGAGTACAACTTCATGTGCCTCTTGCACCCCAACTGTGCCTCTTGAAATTTTTGTTGGGATGACCGGTAAATGGATCGGAAACAGTAAAAACACCGAGACTTGCATCCGACATCCTTGATTTTTAATCCTGTGGCTTCTGCAAAAGTACGGCGAAGATCCGGGGAAAACTGGTACTAGGTATTTACTCTACTATTTGGGACAGAGCTTCATAGTGAGTGCGTAATATATTATTTACTATTACACGTATACCAACTGATACCAACAGTTCATTTTGTCTGAGTCCCATAGGCTTGCATCCAATGACAAGACCCACAGGCACACATTTAAGCGACATAGTTTCTTACCATACAAACGCGAAGTCGAAACTTATTTAAAATGAAAGTCTCTTTGTGTGGTCATCTGTTACTCTCTCCAGCTGTTTTCTACAACTTGCAACTTCACCTTACTGGCCTATCATCATGAACTGTTCGGTGTTTTCGATCAATTTACCGGGACAGGTGTTCCTCCCAGGAAGCGTGCAATACGCGGCAAGCAAAGCCTCGTACTTTGCAGCCTTTGAGAACGAGCTTTCCCCGGCACGCTTCATTCAGCCAAACAGCACCGCAGAAGTTGCAGAAGTCATCAAACAGTCTCAGTCGGATAGATCGGTCAGCACTGCTAAGCTTGCTATCCGAAGTGGTGGGCATACCCCATGGGCTGGCTCGGGAAACATCCAAAGTGGGATTACGATTGAGTTGTCAAGATTGATTGAAGTCACATTAAACTCAAAGACGAACATTGTCTCCGTCGGTGTGGGTAACTCATGGGGTAACGTCTACAAATTTCTTAGTGACAAGGGACTTGCTATTGTCGGTGGAAGAGTATCTACTGTTGGTGTCGGTGGGTTAACTTTAGGCGGTTAGTTAAATGCATAAGCCACATGCAACACTCCCCCCCTTCTCTTTCTAGGTATACGTATATCTAATCATTGCTAGGTGGCCTGTCGTTTTTCTCTGCAGAAACAGGATTCGTGTGTGATAATGTGGTGAACTTCGAAGTTGTCCTAGCATCTGGGGAAATAGTTCAAGCCAATGCAACTTCCCATCCTGACCTTTTTATTGCTTTGAAAGGTGGATCCAACAACTTTGGTGTTGTGACAAAGATTGACTTTCCGACATTCGAGCAGGGCCAAATGTGGGGCGGTTCTATTTTCTTCGAAAAATCTGCATACCCTTCGCTCATCCAATCCTTTTATAATTTTGCTACCAATACTACGCCAGATTTGAAGGCACATGTGATTGTGTCAAGTGCCTGGATTGGAGGCGGAACAGGAGAGTTGGCCACGGCAAATCTTTACCATACAACCCCCATTGCCGACCCTCCATCATTGAAGCCTTTTGCAGAAGCTCAGCCACAGCTCCAGAGTACTCTACGCAACGACTCGTTGCTTGGATTCACAGAAGAGCAGTCCACCTATGCTAAGAACGGCGATCGACAATGGTTCTTCACCACAAGCTTCCGGCTTGACGAGCAACTTATGCTCGACATTCATCAACTATGGCTAGATGCAGTCTCAGGCATGAATCAGACAGGCCTTTCAATTGCTCTTGTATACCAGCCCGTCATCAAAAGCCTCATATCCAATTCATTGAAAGCCGGTGTCAATTCCCTCGGCTTAAATGTATCCGATGGACCTTTTGTTGTTTGCCTTCTGGACGCTGTATTTATAGACTCGACTCTCGATGATACAATCTCCGCCGCAATGCTTAGATTAGTTGGGGACATTGATGCATTGGCTGCCAAACGAAACTTGAGTTCTGAGTACAAATTTCTCAATTATGCGTTCAATAGCCAGAGTGTGATTGAGGGTTATGGAAAGCAAAGTATCGCCAGATTGAAGAGTACAAGTGAATTGTACGACCCAACACAATTCTTTCAGGAAAGGGTTCCAGGTGGTTTCAAGCTCACTAGTGTAGATTGTTAAGATTGGAAATATGTCTGTGAACAACGTGTTTCTGGGAGGATAAATATTTATTTCAACACAAGTTGTTTCTCTGTGCCATCTGATAAGAATCTTGATATTGGAAAAACCCAACAAAATACTCATCTATATCCTCGTTTGCAAACCTAGTCTCGACTGATTTTTGGAAGCGTGATTTGAGGTTTAGCCTGCTTGATTTGCTTAATCTCGGTTCGTCTTTGCCCTGTAAAGATAATTTCTTAGCTTCAAGATTAAGGACATTTGGTCCTCATATTTAATATCTTACTCATTTCGACTAAGACCTTAGCTGATTCTTGACACGTTAGAGCTCACCGGCTCTAGACGTCCTATATAGTCTTAGACTAATACATAACGTAAATGGAATAATCAATCAATCAATCAATCAATAGCTGATTCTTATCATTTTGAGCGTAGAATACCTGTATAAAATGATAGAATTTAGGATCTAGATTCCTAATGAATTATCCTCATAGAAACAATTTGAAGACACTATACTAAAAAGTATATTGAGACCGAAGAATCTATCAACAGATCTGTTTTTTCATGTTTTTAGAAGTTTATATATAATAAAGATATATATTGCAAGTGATTAAAGACATTTTAAAGACATTAATTCACCCAATTAGGCATAGTCAATAAATTTGAAGATTTTATAAAAGGGATATTTCCAGAAAGAGGCTAGGTAGATCTGGGGGGGGGGGCTAACTTGCTTTATTTACTTGTTTTAAACTCGTAAGACTTAGCGAGATTCACTAATTAATTAGAAAGGAGTATCGTAGAGTTCGAAATGTTAATTATTACTAGTCTACTATTATATTTGACTAGTTACTCTATTGGGGATTCGACTGAAATTAGAGAGATTATCACTAGTAATCTCCTAATCGAGTAACAGTAAAATAAAGCGTGCAGAATGCCTTTATTAATTACTAGGTAGTTGTTGGTAATCTTACAACCACTAATGCATATCACCCTCTGAAGTCTAAAAGTTATAGGGGGTGGACACCATCGGTGCAGAACTACGGCACACTACATCCGTACACAACATAGCCGAATAGCTACTGCCCCCGTACACTAGGTACTGTGCCGTTCGGCTTGGGGTCTGTCTTCTCAATCCATTCTTTCTGATCATTTTATTTCCGTTTCCGCGATTATGATTTTTGAGCATCAATATCTACGATGTCCAGATTCCCAGAAACGAAAGAAGCTATTGCTGAGGTCCCTTCAACAATAGAAACATCTCGCAACGGTACTACCAATGAGAACTCGAATACACTATTAACAACTCACTCCTGGCGATTTTGGTTCATCTTCTTAGCGCTATGCCTCATCTCTTTTGTATGTAGTATAGATGCAACTATTGTTGTGACAGCGCTGCCCACAATTACGAGAGAAATTGGAGGTGAAGAGCGATACATATGGATCGCCAATTCATTCGTTTTTGCGTCAACTGCACCTCAACCTCTCTTCGCTCAGATTTCCAATATTCTGGGAAGACGCAATCCATTTATTTTCGCTATTTGCCTCTTTGCTCTTGGAAGCGGTCTTTCTGGCGGTGCCGCAACTCCAGCTATGCTCATTGCCGGACGAACAACACAAGGAGTTGGCGCAGGGGGCTGTTATGTACTTCTTGATGTTGTACTTTGCGACATAGTGCCTCTCCGCCAAAGAGGCAAGTATCTTGGTATCATGCTCGGGACTTCAGCGATTGGGGTAACGATAGGACCTCTCATAGGTGGAGCTTTTGCCCAAGCCAGTTGGCGTTGGATATTCTACCTGAATCTACCCTTTTCGGGCCTCTCTTTAGCTTTCGTTTTCGGTTTACTAAACATGCGTTGGAATCGGAGCCCATCATGGAAGCATGCTCTGAAACGAGTTGACTTTCTTGGTAACGCAATTCTCATCCCATCGATCGTGGCGGTCATGTTTGGTCTAACATTTGGCGGTATTCATTACCCGTGGAACTCCTACAACATCATTGTTCCGCTTGTCTTAGGTCTCGCCGGATGGATTCTCTTTCATCTTTACCAGGCATCATCATTTTGCAAGGAGCCTAGTGTCCCTCCGCGTATACTCAGCAATCGAACGTCCGTCGTTGGCTACTTTCTTGTATCTGTAACTGGTCTTTTGCTGGAATCGATCGGGTTTTTCATGCCAGTATACTTTCAAGCTGTATTCGGATCAAGCCCTTTAAAGTCTGGTATCCAACTGCTTCCCACCACAATCACCGTTGTCCCTTTCGGGATTGCTGCGGGGATTATTATGTCGAAGACCGGCTTGTATCGTCCTTTGCACTGGGTCGGTATGGGCCTCGCTAGCATTGGTGCTGGACTCCTCTCAACTCTGACAATGAACTCAAATAAAGCGTCATGGATCTGTTTTCAGATGATCATGGCAAGCGGCGCTGGTATGATTGCTGCATTAACATTACCTCCTATACTCGCCGCATTACCAGAATCAGACGTTGCGACTGCCAGTGGAATTTACTCTTTCTTACGATCATTTAAATACATAAGTCGGGTACCCCACTTTCAGGCCACTTCTCTTTTAGGCCACCTTAAAAAAGCTTATTGCAAGAAGAAACCTCTCTTATTTATTCTTTAATAATTTCACAATACTTAAATTAATTAATTTAAAATTTTGATATATTATTATTTATATTATATCTAAAATATATATTAAAGTTAATATTAATTTAGTTTTATATATAATAATGAATGGGTATTCAATTCAATAAGCCGCTTTGAATTATAGGATTTCGAAGATTATTTTTCAAAACTATATAAATGATTATCTATCTTATAAAAAAGGTATATAATATATATAAAAAATAATCCCGATGTAAAAGAAACAATTGGCAGATTGGATATTAATTCAAAAATCTTTAAATACTAATTCTATATATTAGTAAATTCGGAAAATTAAAAAATGCCTCCTTAATATTAAAAAAGATAATTCTATATTTAAAAAACAATAAATTATAAACTTTTTTTTTTAAAGAAATCCAGAAATTAGAATTAAAAAATAAATTAGAATTAATTCAGTATATATCAAAAATATAACTATTAATATTATTAATTAATAATTCCCAAAATTGAATTTACCCTTAATTTATTATATTAAATCTCAATATCAATATAATATAAATAAAGTAAGTATACAAAAAGGCTAGGGATTAAATAAATTAGTTCTAAAAAACTCAAAATATTATTTTATTTAGAAAAAGAAGTCTAATTCTAAAATTTGAATGTTACTTATAAAATACATTTCAATTATAAAAAAAGCTTTTAATTCCCTTATTATATTAAAAGAAAAATCAATATAATAATAATAGTTTTTAATTGATTTAAAGTTCTATAAAGAGTAGTATTTCATTATTATAAATAATAAATAAACTAAAAATAACATTACCCTAAAATAATTTAAAAAGGTCTTTATATCTCAAATAGTCTTTTCCTTATTAAATAAGCTAAGACTCTTTATATTAAATAAATATAAAAATTATAAAACTATTGAATTTATATATAAATACTTTAAATATAATATATACCTTTTATTTCTTTTATTATATATTATATATCCTATAGCCTTTTGATTTATTTATATTCTTATTTCTCAAAAAAATATATAAATATTATTTTAATAAATTAATCTCTTTATTAGATTCTAAAACAATTAAAAAAACTAATTTCTTTATATACTATTAGAAAATATAATTAAATAGTTTAATAAAATATAATATATTATTTAAATAAAAAGCTTTAGATTTATAATCTCTAAATTATATTAAATCTATTATATTTAAATTATTATTTAAGAATAATAATAAGAAAATTATAAATCAGAATTTATATTTTGATAATGATTTTATATATCAATAAAATAAGAAATCTATAATTTCAATTTTTAAAATACCTCAAAAAGCTAATGATTTAAGATTATATTCATATATATTCCTTTAGAATAAAAAAACCAATCTTTATACTCACCATCAGCTTTTTAAAAAGATTATTAAGAAATTCAATATTAAGAATTATGAAATTCTACAATCTGAATATTGAATAAAGTAATTAGAATATCAATTGAAACAAATTATTTTTAAAAAGAAATGTAAAATAAAAACTAATTTAAATTCGAAATTTTCTAAGATTAAAAAGATTAGAAAGGTACAAATTGTAATGGAAAATTGTGAAATTAATATAAGAGATATTAATAATAATAATGAAAGTATAGCCTCAAGTATTTATTATAATACTGAGTAATTATTAAATAAATGATATTTTAAAACTATATAATATGAATTTTTAAGGTGGCCTAAAAGAGGGGTGGCCCGAAAGTGGGGTAACCGACTTATGGGGCGTAACAGTTCCTTCGATCGTATTCAACGGCCAATTTCAAAAATACGCACATCAGATTGGCGACGCAAAAATCCAAGCGCAGCTAGCGAATGGTGCGGCATATGCGTACGCGAGCGGAGGTTACATTGCGACATTGCCTCCAGGAGTAAAAGAGAGGGTGATCGGGGTATATATTGATGCGTTAAAGACAGTGTGGCAGGTTAGCATTGCTTTCGCGTGCATCGGATTTTTGAGTGTTTTTGCAGAAAAGCACCTGGAATTGAGGAAGGAGCTTGATACTGAGTATGGTATAGATGAAGGACCGAAGAATAACAAGATCGGGGATTCAGAGGAGGACAGAGTTGATACAGTGCCACCGGTAGCCTTGAAATCGGCGCAGTCAGAGATGTAGATTGAAATGCTTTTGCTGAGCAAAGTCTCTAAATTTTAATACAGTACCCGCCAGCCATTGGAAACCATGACGGTTCGCGTTGGTTCCATGGTCTCCTTATATAGCTGAGTTTCCCATGAACTACTGTATACAATGATTTCTAGTAGAAGTTGAAAATACTCTACATCATGCATGCGTTCATAAAACTTTCCAGGTGATGTTACTGACCCGTTCTTGTTTTGCTATTATCCAATGTATTTGAGATGTTATTCCCTTGATATCGATTAAAATCAAAATAAACTCAAACTTCACTATTATCGATCATCCGTATCAATTACACGTCTCACAATTTGCTTATAAATATTTACATAGTGAGTGGCTTCAAATTCCCAGTTTGAAGCACCCCATACTATCCAATTAAATTCAATCCTGGCATACATTGGATTGATGTTGATCTTGAAACCCAGAAAACCCACCCCACGATTTTCAACTGAGCCCCAATTCAACGATTTCACTCCGCTCGAAATTTTCTATCGTTTAGAGTTCTTCTCACACATTCCTCAACAGGCTCACAACACTAAATGGAAGCGGCTCGTCTTTAGCGCCCCCTTTGATTCCCACCAATTGCGGATACATCCATGCAGGCACTGACCAGACTTGGAATAAAAATACCCAGACATATGTACCCGAATACGTTCCTCAATTTCTCACTTCGCAAAATGCCGAATTTAGATGAAAATTCCTTCACTATATCCTCAAGCACAATCCCAAAATAGATGGTGACTTACAAAAATAAAATCTTTCCCGAGGTATCTGGAACTGAGAGTTCCCAAACACGTCTCATACTTGCAAGTGCTTCCGACTGTGTGCATAGATAGATACCGGATGCCATATCAAGTATGTCAAAATTCTCTCCGAGGTGGATAGGTAGTCATTTAGCCTGAGATTGAATTGTAGTTTCTATTAACCCCATTCCAAAAATCCATATAGTATGCGTTAGAAGTATCGTAAGAGAGTTGTAGTGGCCAACAAACAATGAGAGGGTGTCATACTTACATTTAACCGGCATATGTATCTGGTGAATAGAGACCACTGCATTTTTGCTACCTACTGATCTATTGAGGGCTGCATTCGCTACCAATCCACTAGAAACTAGAGATCAGTCCGAGCTCAACGTAGTTACCGAGCAAAAGCACGAAATAGAAATTGCCAACAGTTGGAATCGAGAACCTACCCTATGATACCTTGGGATAGATGTGCCATATATTGACATTGTCAGCGGTACTGTGCAGCGCAAGGTATTCAAAAGAAGTTTGACTACAGCAGATAAACAGGGATCCGAGAATTTGACAGAGGCGCAGCAAATTACTTCCTCAGAGACTAAGAAAGTATCACTATATCTCTAAGAGACTGCCATTCTTAGCAACCTTCAGGTACGAGGGAAAAAATGGAGAACGTTTTTATACCATTGCAAGCCATTGAAGGCAATCTGCTTACTTTGATAGCTTGCTTTCTGCTTTTAATTTCTTGGAGAGTCTATCGATTTACGATTACTCCATGGCTACATCCAGAGAATCCTAAAGAATTGCCGTACTGGATTCCATGTGGGTCAATGAAGTCCCAGCAAGAACCATTTTGTGTGCGCTGACATTCCAATCTCCCAGTTTTAGGTGAGTATCCTTCGATATTACGTTCAAACAAAAATTCAATTCAGCTCGATATTTGCCTTTTAGAAGACGGGCTGACTTCCAAAGGACATGCGGTGGGTTTCTATATGAATGCGAATGATATCTTGGAACGTGGGAGGTATGTGCTCCGATAATCCGCAGAACTTCCTATAAGCCGAAACAAACGCTGAGAGCTCAGAGTATATTTTGGAGATACTAAAGCTCTATATTCAATCACACTCGCAGGTGAAACTCTTTGTGTGATCACTGGAGTGAGCGATATACAAGAGCTTTACCGAAATAGCTCGACGATAACATGGGATAATTTGATCAAAGATATGTACTCCTTTGTGGGTCTATCTCCTAGAAGCATCTCCCAGGTGTGGGGTGAAACTCATGAACAGCTGGTTACCCCAGACTCCAAAAAACCACACCAGATCAGCACACGAGATGACTTCTGAATATCATCGTCAGCAATTACTCACGGCGGTCAATTCTGAGAACCTCGTCCAGCAAATAATCCCAGGTCTTGAGAAAAGCCTTTCCTGGAACATATTGAGGAAACATCCCGCTTGCATCCGCACATCCGGAGACTCTATCACGCTTTCTCTGTGGAATTGGTGTAACGAAGTCATAATCAAGAGCTCAGCCACTGCATATTATGGACCCAAAATCTTCGAGATAAATCCGAATCTCTTACAAGCAATGATGTCATGGGAAGCTACAAACTGGAAATTTATGTACAAGTTAACTGACTTCATGGCACGAGATATAATTAATGCCAGAAGCGAATTTATTGACACGCTGTGCAAGTACTTTGAGACGCCGAAGAAAGACCGTTCCGATGCACTGTATTTTGTAACGGCCATGGAAGAAGAAATGCGGGCAGCTGGCTTGAGTGACCGCGAAACTGCAGGCATACATATGCTACATTTATGGGCGTAAGTGTTATATCCAAGGCTATTCGAAACAGCTAACAAAGTTATAGAATTACCGCCAATGTATACAAGGCTGCATTCTGGGCAATAGCTCACATTGTCCATAGACCAGAATTGCTTGCTCAAATCCGCGCAGAGATAGCTCCAGCTATAGGAACAAATGGAGAATCAGTAGATCTCAAGTATCTCACAGAAGACTGTCCGCGGCTCGAGGCTTTCTTCAACGAAGTCCTGAGGATCAACTCGGCAGGAGCACTTGCACGCGAAGTCATCACACCCACATTGTTTAGTGGGAAAATACTTGCGAAAGGCACAAAACTTATGGTAAGGAAGCGGTCTTTTTCTTTCACTTCCACCCAACTAATGTTGCGACCTAGATTCCATACCGCCAACTTCATCTTGATGGACAAGCATGGGGACCAAGCGCTCGTGACTTTGACCCAGAAAGATTTCTCAAGGACAAAAGCCTTACACGCAGTCAAAACTTCCGACCCTTTGGAGGCGGTCATACACTCTGTCCAGGCCGCTTTATTGCTAAGAAATCAGTTTACACCATCGTGGCTCTTATTTTTTCTCGATACGATGTTACTTTGGATACTGACGCCGCCAATCAAAAGTTTCCACGCATAGATGACGCTACTGCAGGAATTGGAACAATGGCACCGATGCCTGGAGAAGACGTTAAGCTGCTTATTAAGCCGGCGAGTAATTGAGGAAGAAAAATTCTATTGGGACTGATGATGTGGCTTTGAATAGCAGGATAGTGATTCGAATGAAATGTGTGCTTTTTTAGCTAGGGATTTAAAGTGCATAGTACAAACTATATACCTACGTTATTTAGCTTAACTTCTGTCAATTTGGACTTTTGGTACCTTGAATAGTGCTTTCAACGGCTAAGACTGCTGCTCATTCGATTCAAGATTCTAATGGTAATGTTCTGAATATACTATCAATTTAGTATTTCTTGCGCATGTCCGCGTGGATTCTTACAAACTGGTAGATCGACTTAAATGATAGATCTAAGACTATTCCCGAAGAACCCCTCTTTGTATGCTCACGGGAAGCCTACTCCGAAAACAACAGATTAAGGCAGGATAACATCTCAAAAACTAGCGGATGAATACTGTTTAAAGCTGTGATTGCATTAGTTCCCTCTATGTTATTCATAATCAAACTAAGAAGAATTCACATATGCAATGCTACTCAGAGAAATTATGTTACTCATGTACAAGGGATACAAGCGGCTGAGATTGAGAACCTTTACGAATTCTCTATAAATCAAACAATACCTACTTGTTGATAAGCGAACGGGATTTACTTTGGCTACAAAATTTGAAGAAAAAACTAGCTTCATTTTCATTTCATTCCTCAATATATCACTATTGTATTAAAAGTTGATTTACGATTTCAATTAATTCGTGAGATTGAAGCAGGTTTTCAATTCCGGTCACTTCTTTCGCTTACGTAGAGCGGGTCTTTTGAAAGTCCGCTGGATACAATACGCGATCTGACCAAACATTCTGCGATTCCTCAGAACTTGGAAATGATATTGAGAAAGCATTACAATAAAAAGGCCAAGAGCTATGCAATGTTTGAAGTCAATACTCAAAATTTGACTCTGATTCCAAAGTGAAAATTTACGAAGTTGACTTTGATCTGTATTTTGAAGTAGTCAGATCTGAGTTGATTTTGTAAAGAAACTCGCTAAATTTCAAGTCCGGTCTTCAAGGGCGACTCACCCGAGTGGTATTACATTAGATATAACGGCTATAAGTAAATTACCTACATAACTAGATTGTTCTCACTAGCTCGAGCATACGAGACCGATGACTGGCAATAAGCTCTGTGTGAGGAAATGACCCTACGCCTGAGCGGGACTTGATCGACTAAACAGTAGAATTCTTCTTACACACAACTAAACTTAAGAGCCCATATAGTCATCGCGTCTCATTTCAAACATTGATAAGTATTGCGAAGCACAGCATTGATTCAGAGAAGATATCTCTCCGTTATTGTACCCAGTCTTGGATACTGAAGACTATTGCACTGAATTTGGGTATTTCCTGTTGTCAAATGAAAGTTGAGTGCTCGTCTTTGATTACTGCGTGATTTTGGTCACTTGATAGGCCACTTCTTTTGATACGGATACTGATAGTTTATAATTTCAGTAATCTAGTTCCATGTAGTGTAAGATATAGAGTGCTAATTGAGTAATGTTGAGAATCGTCAAAAAGAACAAAAGTGATTAGTACAAGCTTGCTCGCAGCGGCCTGCGCTGTAGACACTGGGTGTAAGTGACGCATGATCTAAACTTAGAAATTACGAAACAGTTTTTTTGTCACAAAAAAACATTGATTAGGTATTTTAACGATGCCGGGTTTATCCCACCATCAATTCGTCTCACAACCGAAGACGCTGTTAATGGGTTGAGATAAAACTACACGAAAGGCAAAGATCCCTAGCCAGAAAAGATTGATCCGGGTACCTTCGTAGCAGATATACCAGATAAAGTGAAGAAATTAAAGAACACTGATACAAAAGACGCTGGATCTGGATCTTATAAGAGCACGGGCTCCGGTTCCGAATTTGTTAGAAGTCGTCCAAAGACATAAAGGTTTCAAGGCAATACTATAAGATATTTGACATTGTACGAATATTTTGGAATATCAGAAGGATGAGAGATAAAGAGATCGATGGTCAAAGCAGTGTTTAAGTCTTGATTGTAAAGTGGATGTGTTTGTAAAATTGTTTTTGTGTTGTAAGATTACAGTTGCTGAAGAGTTTGTTGGGAGGTTAGAAGTTAAAACGAGAGAACAGTTTAGATCTAAATCTTTACTTTTAAATTACATTAGTAGTGAAAGTGATATAGGTAGACAACATTCAAGAGTATCGAGATGTAACGATAAAATCCTGTCCCTTCCAATTGTTTACTTTGAAATTGACCAATAACTCATATATACGAAATTTCACCAAAGCAACACCTCAGATATAACTTCTCATTAATCTATTCGAGGTTTCACTATCGTCTTGCTCTTCAGCGTTGGTTTTTAGAACGAAGCTTCAAGTCTCAAGTTCGCTTCCAACAGTTCAATGACACTCGCACTGAATACAATCACTTCAGCTGCAAGAAAAATAGGACTCAAATCAACGATAGCTGAAAGCAGAATCGCGAAAGGATAAAGCGAGTAAAAATGCTTTTTCGATTCAGAAGTCAATGGACTATTAACTGAATGGATGTACTTCCATCAAACTATGGGGTTGTTGAAACGCTACTCGCTAACCTTCACAACCACCTTTCCAAAATGACCCCCGTTATACAAATACTTCAACCCCTCTTTGGCCTCCTCAAACCCAAACACCTTATCAACCACTGGTCTAATCTTCTTTTCCTCATACCACTCCAACATTTCCTCAAATCTCTCTCTTGGTCCGTTCAAAATTCCCTTCAACGTAACGTTTCTTCTCAGCGCAAGAACATTGGTATTTGTGCGATCTGCATTGTCGTCCTCCTTCCCGGAGAGATATCCGATAGCATTAATTAGTCCACCAAAAGCAATTGCATCGAATGATTGACGAAGCGTCAAGGCACCACCTGTTTCGAAAATGTTGGAAACGCCCTCGTTATGAGTGATCTTCATTACTTCTTCGGACCAAATGGGTGTGGTACGGTAATTGATTGTGTGATCTGCGCCAAGGGTTTTGGCTTGATCGAGTTTGGCATCGGAAGAAGAAGTTATGATTACTAGATAATTTTTAGTTGCTTGAACTTTTGAGATGAGACGTTAGAATTACCTTCCATGCCACTGGCTTTGGCAATTTGCAATCCGCTGATTGCTACTCCTCCAGTTCCTTGAATCAATACTGTTTCTCCCTTTCCGCCCGGTTGTCCAAGGGGTCTCATGCCATTGATTGCCATCCAAGCTGTGACTCCAGCAATTGGCAATGTACAAGCTTCTTCATCGGTCAGATATTCTGGTTTTTTGACCAAACCCTCCGCATCAAATACACGGTACTCTTGCAAACAACCTTCGGTAGGCAATCCTAAACCACTAGCCATATCCTTTGCAGTCACTTGACCACGAACATGTGTCTGATTAAAGGTTGCAAGTACTCTATCACCAGACTTCCATTTTGAGGATTTGGATGATACAATTGTTCCAGAAATATCGGAACAGGGGACCAGAGACGAGGACTCGTTGCCAGTAGTTTTGTGGTGGTTGTAAAGTCCCATTATCACTTCAGTATCTCGATAATTGAGAGCCACAGTGTGAATTTTAACAAGTACTTGACCATCTCCAGGTGTTGGGACTGTAGATGATCCTAGAGTAAGATCTTGAAGACCGGACTGTTGGGTAGTCCATTGCTTGTTGATGGTTGGGAGTGACATGATTAATTCGAGATCGAGGGAATAAGGAAAGAGAGGAAAGAGAAATACGAATTATGGAAAAAGGAATATGATATAATGAAGGAGAAAAAACAAAGATGGAAAATTTCAAATCCATCTTGAATTACAAAGATATTGCTCTTTGACCCACCAAAGATTCTTGCGATTAAATCATCGTTGTGGGGAAGCCCGAATTCCCGATGAATCTGGATTCTACACATTCGCCCCACACGTAAACGCCTCGGTGCATGAAGAACAATTTTAGATTCTCGCCCCGTCAAATTAAGCAGATATGACAGATCTTGATGGCAAAAGTGTTATTGTAATCATTCCCAAGTAAGAATTGCCTCTACCTTGTCGTCTTATCGTCATCGTCATCGTCATCATCATCACTATCTTCTCCAGCACCCATCATTTCTAGCTCACCGTTCAACATCCTCTGCCAATTATCCGCAAATTCTCTCATACCACCCTCTCCACTTGCACCGGCTTCTACCACTTCTTGTGGCATCTTATGTGCACTGTATTGTGGACTTGAAAAGCTATACGCTTCTGGGTCATCTTTCTTTATTAATCTGAACTCGGGCATCCATCCGAGTTCCTCAACATCATCACTTCCCTCATCTTCATCACTACTTTGAGTAGGCAATGGCGGAACTGATGCTGAATCTGCCACACCAAGTAATGGCGAAGGTACAGAAAGGGTGAGTAGTTCTAGCCACGAGAACAGGAGTGGATCCGTCCGAGGAGCCCATGGATTTATATCCACTAGCCGTACTTTATCAAAAGGATCCGGTAGGTAAATATCAAATGAGAAGTTACGATCTGGAAAGGTATCTTTGAGAGTGTTATCAAAGTATTCTTGAATGACTTCTCTTAGAGTTGGAATAAGAGGAAATAAGAAGTCAAAATAGTTCAGATCTCTTTGGCATATGCCAATGATTCTACGATCTCGTACGAAGCATCGAAATTCGCATGATGGATTAACTTTAAACCATTTCCGTAAGACTAAAACATATTGTGTATTTTCCTTCGTAATGGACGGATCCTCTGCACAACCGTCGAAAGCGTGTTCTAGATCGTGGGTAATGAAGTCGGAAGATTTGAGGAGAAGGTAAATGTCGTTTGGTGTATTGCATTCCATGCTATTCTGTTTTAAACTAATCCATGTAGCATCCTTCGGAGCAGACCAGTTGAGTTTGGGAACCACTGATCCCCCAAGTTCTGCGATTGTCTCTTGTATTTGCTTGTGAATCTCCGAGAATTTTTCCGAGGGGTCAGGACCCGTATCTGTATCTTCATCCCAGCCATCACTGGTTGAATTGTTGTTGTATGTTTCTGGTGGAGGAAATGTAGCAATCTCAGATGGAAGAACTATACCATCTTCCCGTAGATATGAAAGGAACTCTGAAGTGAGAGGGATGATTCGAGATTTGAGAGTTGAGGATCGATATCTTGATATTTGTTAGCAGTCTTCGGAGGAACATATGGGAGCAGAAATCATACTTTGCATGCCAATTGTCATATGAGCAGTTCAAGATGTGGGATTTAGTGATAGGTTCGAATGGAAGTCTAGTGAGGGGTTCAGCCTCAGTGATTCCAGCTTCTGAACCTATGGGAGCCGGCATTTTTCATATAAGAATTTGACTTTTGTGAAAGGGTTTGGATTGATATGGAGACCTAGAAGAAATGATTATATCTGAAGAACGTATATGTGGTGAGTCAGAGTGATCCCTTCACATCAATGTTCCATCTTATCGAGGGGCAATCAATATTTTTGGGGGATTCTGCCACGCTAGCTGTAGACCGCCTGCAGCAGCAAGGATTTGTCAATTGTTCTCCACTCCACCCACCACCAGCTTTCTCACCAGCCAGCAATCATCTGGGAAAGAACAACTACTATCACAACTTGAGCATTTTGCAATCATGTCTTCCAACGTCGGTCTTACAACACCTAGAGGAAGTGGAACTTCAGGTTATGTCCAAAGAAATCTTGCGCATATTAAACCCCGCGATCAAGGCAAGCCATATCCTACGGATATCGACAGTCTTAGACACAGACAACGACAACCAGATAAAGGAATCCTTGAGCATGATAGAAAACGAGAAGTCGAGGTCAAGGTGTTTGAGCTGCGCGATAAATTAGAGGAAGAGGGGTACGTTTTTGGACACATTCATTAATCGCCCAGGAGCTAATGATGTATACAGAGTCGACGAAGAAGAAATTGAAATACAGGAAGAGGCATTGCGTAAGAAGCTATTGAAGGAGATGGAAAGAGGTAATGGACCAAGCAGGAAAGGTTTAAAGATGCATCAAGTCCATGAATTGGCAGAAGCAAAGATCAAGCAAGATAATAAGTTCAGGAGTGCCTTGGGTATTTCTAAGGACTACAAGGAGGGTGGCCACTGGCAGAAGCAGGAAGAGAGACAAAAAGCTGCAATGGAAAAGAATGGTGAAGGATCTGCAGCTCCATCCGATAGATGAGTGCAAAAAGACGACATACTAAAAAGGCATCGACTACATACCTAGGTATTGAACGATTATTCGGGGCGTTGCGCAATCAGAAAGCTGGCCTTCCGGATGGACTTATTGTTGGGATATAAATGGTTTTAATTATTTGCATTGGGCTGGAGCCCTACATCAATTGGTATGAATGTTCAAGGTTAGACATATACCCTCATAATTCCTTTCTCTATACATTCTAAGCTTCAAATATTTACAGCTTATGTTTCTTCTCACCACTTGCGATCTTTCTAAACTCCTCTTGTGGTATGCCAGCCGCAAATCTTTCCAGCCCACCGAACACCTCCGCTACACCTTGTGCGTCAAGCAAATCCCTCTCTGGTTTTCTGATCAATGCCTTGATCTTAATCAAACTATCGCCGATCAAATGCGTTCCCAACCGATTATCTATCTCTTCGAATACCAACTCTTTGAACTTCTCGGTCTCTCCCTTTTGAACATCAAAAATCTTGTTCACGAACCCAACTTGCAGCAATTCCTCGGCAGTGATTCTCTTACTCATAATAAGGGCCTCATTTGCTTTGCTGATTCCTAAACGTTGGACGAAAGCTCTCGAAGCTCCTCCTTCTGCGACGAGCCCCAAACTAGAAAAGGGGGTCAAAAGGAAGGTCTGAGGCGTGCAGTATATGAAGTCTGAGAAAGCGATCAAAGCAGCTGAGAGCCCAACTGCAGGACCATTTAGGGCCGTTACAAGGATTTTTGGGTGTGTGTAGAAGGCGTTGGTTATGTTGAGGTTATTCGCGACGAAGCTAGTCAGCCAATGACGAGCTAGATCAGTTCCAACAGGTTTTTCTCTACTGATCGATACATCGGCTCCTCTATGGATTGATCAATATATGGCAACTACTAATTAGAGGAGAAGTCTTACGCTGAGAAGTATCGTCCTACGATTTTAAGTCAGCAAGGTCTCTCTCACAATTGATATTGCAGAACATACCCTTTCCTGTCAAAACCGTGACGAAAACTTCATCATGGGTAGCAATTTCCCTCATGAACTTCGCTATGAGATAATACCCATCTTGAGTCAAAGCATTAAGCTTCTTCTCATTATCAATAGTGATAACTGCGATTCTACCCTTGTACTCGAGAGTTACTGGTTCGTTTTGAGCCATTTTGAATGCTTCCGTGGTGATTTTCAGATTTTGGAATTGAAGAATGACACTTTACGACTGCAATCAACCAACAGTTATGATATCAAGAAAGTTACAAATAGATCTCGAATAGTCCAAACAATGGGGCACAGCAAGCTATCAAGCTCATTTGTGGGGTAGCCGATTGCCTCGGTTTCCAGAATGCGACCAGAGATTCGGAAAGCCTCACGCTAGAGGACTCAACTACAAAAAGGCAAAGTACGGGACAATATTTGACTGAGTATTGTAAAATAATTCGATAGAGATATTGATAGTTTCAATTGTCAAACATAAATAAGAAGATTTAATTATCAAAACTATAATGGCCATTTAGATGTTCTCGGCCGGCGCTCATTGACTATGGTTTGTAACCAAAGATTCACATGATATGATTGGTCGATTGTAAAGTCTCGATACTCGCATGATTTTTTGTGGAATTTATATCGAACTTCGATTGTATTGTAGGAACAAGGGAAGTCATCCACATAAATAAACTCATTATATCGCAATACAGACCACATACTACAATCATGGGAGGCCCCAATCTCGAAGTGTTCAAGGTAAGCATTACCATAGCCAATCCCAATTATTCACTTTGCCCGTCTCATTGCCACCTTGAAATGCCCCTCCATGAACTCTAATCTGACAATTCAATAGTTCGGCATGTATATCATGTTCCCAATCGCCATCATGTACTATTACGGTACAAATCTCGATCAACGATTTTCGGTTCCGGATTTCTGGCCAAGAGTTGATCAGACTAATCGTATACCGTTTGAGAGGGACGAGATCAAATCAGAGCTTGAGAGGTTAAGACAGAAGAGACTGTACTTGAGAGAGCAGAGGGTGCGGGGTGCCAATGGATCAAACGAAGAGCAGAAATAGGGAAGAAGATGGCTATGAAGAATGCAACAATAGAATGGTGGCATATGAAGGGAGTTGAAGGCAGAGAATTTCACGGAACGATATTGGTATAAAATGGGCTATAAGGCAGGCTGGCGTTCTATGAGTACAAATAAGCAATATGTTGCAGGGCTGGTAGAGGACTGGCAGAGGACATGCATATTTTGCTCGACTATTGCGGAGTTTCAAAGGATGGAGACGAATTATTCAATCTTTCTTGAAGCATGGCTGAGGGGAGAGGGATGCTTTCTGCTATAGTACAAATCCCTCCTATTGTACATCCTATTGTACATCTAGTCTACATTCTATGTTTATATGCGTTTAAACCAAATATAATACCCCTCTCAATCAATCCAATCCACTGATCAAATCTTCCCATTTTCCGTCATCAATATTTCCCTGTACCACATTCGCATATATTCCTTGGACATCTGAGTTGTCTCTCGTAGACTCAATGAAAGAAATGAGTCTATCCGTAGCCTCCCCAGCGTCGACTGGCACATTAGTATCTTCATTCGGATCCCATAGGATATCTGAACTTCCGATTTTAATGTCGAATTTCTTCTGTAGAGCGTCCCCAGCTACTGTTACCATATTTGGTTCCGTCCAAACGACAATATTTCCCTCATCGTCGACTTCCAAATCCTCTGCTCCTGCTTCGATTGCTTCGTCCATTACATCATCTACGCCTAGATTTTTCTCGTCTTTCTCGAATGTAACGCATCCTTTCTTCTGGAATAGATATGCAGTAGGTGTAACAGTTCCTCCATGAGTCTTTACCAGATGTCTTAGGTCCATCATAGTACGATTAACGCTGTCCGTTTCGGCTTCGATTATCATGGCAACTTGTGGCGGCATTATGCATTCTAGAGTTGCTTTCTGTAGCGCAGCTCCAGTTGTAGATTTTCCTTGTCCACGGGCTATGGCAGCTTCCATAGAAGCTTTTGGGAAACCAGCTATGGCATTGTAAGTATATGTATGTACATGTCGATGTCGAAGGGAGTGTACCCCATTATGTACCTTTCTTCGCAGCAGCTAAGACAGACGCCAGTCTTGGATTTATGTATGGATCGGCTCCATGTACTTGAATTGTAGGTTAGTATCATTAGCAGCATGAACGGCGAACCAGAAAACACACATTTTACAGCCAGCGCAATATCATGCGCAATGATAGAACGAGCTTTCGTTTTTTTTGCATCTACAGCACCCTTGTCATGCTTGATTTTCGACCATCGATTGTGACCTGAAGATACCGCTGACGTAGTGGAAAATTGTAGACATTTCGAGCAGATATAATCGGTTCGAAGGAAAGGTCTAAGACCTCTAGAAAATGCTGGCATGTTTGTCATACCGAGAATGGAAATTTAATATTGAGTTGAGACTTAGGAACTGAGCTCTGAAAATAAATATTGTTGTGGCTTCCGATTGGCTGAAACTCGATCATCATCGCGAACACCTCTGGAAATTGGTACAAGTAAAGGAGCCAGCAATGAGGCCAGAACCACTCCACAAATGTCCAGATTTCACACGGACATTGAACACAACAGATACAACGGATAATAAATAATGTCATCGACAGGTCGTCCAACTTCTCATAATGGCTCAAGTGAACTTCCTGGCAGATTAGAGCCATCGCCCACCCCCGAGCTAGACATCAAGAAGCTCCAATCCCTCCCATCGGAACAACAAGACTTGTATCTCCTTAATTTTGTCTCGACGCTTACGAAACATGTGGAAGGCTTGGAACCAGACGACTGCACCGCCCAACAGCTTTACCTCAAGAAAGAACTCTTTCAAATCCTCAATCTCGCAGCTCCCCCTCCTACGAGAGTCATTCGAAATAATTTGGGACGATGTTTCGCACATGTGCTAGGGGAAGGGGATAGGAAATTGCTGTTCGAAACGATCAATGATCTGGTTACAATTATCAGTAATGGGAAGACAAAGACAGACGGGGATTTCAGGACGAAACATGCAGCTGTTTACTGTTTAGGGGATGTGTTCGCAGCCGCTGGAGACAGCGCAATTGGGTTACATTCTCTAGCATGCAGTGCTATACTTAAGCTGTTGAAGTCTGCGCAAAACAATGCGGGTCTACGAGCGGCGATATTCAAAGCTGCGAGCAAGATTGTAGGAATGGTTGCGACAAGTATGGACGACA